CTCAGCTGAATTACAAATAAAGAAATTTTCTAATATTGTTCTGTGTAACGTGAATGACAAAATAATCTAGTTTTATTGTCTTTTACCATAAAATGTTGAAGCAAACAAAAACGTTTTATCCAGATAATACAAAGTCGATAAAAACCATAATGTATCTAAACTTCTGTATCGATAGTGTGACAGGGTGAGTTGACGTCGCTTTTGTACCTTTTGCGCTATCATAACGATAACATCGGTCGTCGCGTGCCTGAGCGTTGATTAATGATAAAGTACCTGTCTATGATGTATGTTCGAATGCCTCTTCAACGGTAACCTTATAATATCTGCTGAGTAACTAATGTATACCCATAAACCCGTGAACATTTTGATAATGTATATCTAAAGGAGTTAAGAGTTTACCTCCCATGGATGTATTTAAAATATTGTCTAACAGTTAGATAATACTTGTTACCAGGCCACTCAGAAAGTTTGTGATTTAAAATTAAGATTTCTGACCATTAAAAAGAATAGTAGTGCCACTTTATATTTTTCTTTGCATTTTATTAAAACTCAATGTCATTTTCGTGTTATTCTTCAAATGAACGAGAACATTCGTTCAGATTTTAAATGTGGGCTATGGGATTTTAAATGTGACTTAAAATTGAATTTGTGGTTACTGAGTTTTACCTAATTCTGGCGAAGTTAACAAAATTTAAACCAATGAGAAAAGATGCAATGAAAGAAAACTCAATATAAAAATATTTATGTAAGAAGTTTGACAAATCATTCATGAAGAGGTTCTGTAAATGCACATTGAATTTTCTTTCAGGGGGCGCCCACAAGATTTAGACAAAATGACGAATCCTGGATTTGTCAAAACGATTCAGAAACTATGCAAGAGGAAACAGTGTTGGCTGTCTCAAAATGTTTCGGTTTTCAAACTAACCCGATCTTTAATTTTTTTTTACAGGACTGGAATACTAATGAATGCTTGCCAGAAGTGTTAATAGCAGTCAGAAGAAAACGATAGACTTCTTGGGCAGCATACTGGTGAAACTTCTTTCTCTCATTCTCCTGACGGCCTAGTTATAATTTTCAATATTCAATAAAATTTAAAGTTGATCAAAATCTATAAGAAAAGCCTATCGCAAAATCACAATGTTTAATTTCTCTTTAAAAATTAAGAGATAAGCAAATGCTCTTTAATATGCATCTTCAAGGCGCCCCAATTTCAGGAATGAGATTATGAATTAATATATTAATATCTTTGGAATTTGATTATAATAATGTTCAAACTGTATAAATAAATGTAGAAACGCCTTCCCATTACATATGGTTTGAGTGTTTGTTTATTTCATCATTTATAGTGTGATTGATTACCTATTTTGAGTTTTTAAAATTGGTTTTCTCAAAAAAAATTAATCAATTAATTATTTATATTAGTAACTAGCCTGCAAAATCCGTTCTTAGCTGACCTCTACTCGGTGAAAAGAATATTCCTACCAAATTTCAAGTCTTTAGCTCTAATGGTTCCAGAGATATCGTGATGAGTGACTATATACATGGAAATCTCTCATATATATATATATATATAGAATTAAGTTTTTGGATTCTGAATTGGAAGGAATTTGGTTCTTTTTGAAAATTTCTACAAATATTAGTAGTGTTTATGGCAGTCTATGCTAGTAATTGTTTCATCCAAAAACCTAATTAAGTCAAGTTGTAACAAAATTGATGTATTTATTTATACTTCATTACTTACTTCTATTGTGGAATAATTTTACAAGACCACAATGAAGGTGGTTGAGCAGTATAATGTTAGGGTTTGTGTATGTATGTGATTTTCCTTATTCTGTCATAAATTTTAAGTGATTTCGATGTTTGAGTGCTGTTGAAATCCTTACATCTTTCCTAGTGGCAGTCAGTCAATGTCCAATGTAAATAAAAATCAATTAAGTATCTTTGCATAATGATAATATCATCATCATCATCAACAGCCTATACTAATCCACTGCTGGACATAGGCCTCTCCTAAGAAAGGAGGTTTTGGCCTACTATAATAATCTGATATTAATTCAAAAAATAAGAATCAACTACCGTAGGGTTGTAAATAATGTTTAGTCCCAATTTCTTAACTTATTTAATGAGATGGGTGAAAAAAAAAGTGAAAAAGTGAATGAAGAAATGAGTCACTAGAAAATGTCAGACATGTTTTTTGAACTCCATTAGAAACTTATGGAACTACAAAATACATGTTACACAACTGTGATATGGCTAGCAATATGTGAAAGTGGACTCTGGATTCTGGTTTGACTTGGTGTATTGGATAAACCAAGCCAAACCAGCCATAGTTGTTTATAGGAAAATTACAGCAGTTCTGAATAATAAATTAAACTAAGAAGATTTATCACCTGTGTATTATGAATCACCTGCTTGTAATAAGTCTTAAGCAGTTTGCAACTAATCCATACTAATATTATAAATGCGAAAGTGTGTCTGTCTGTCTATCTGTCTGTTACCTCTTCACACTTAAGCTGCTGAACCAATTTAGATTAAATTTGGTATAGAGGTAGTTTGAGTCCCAGGAAAGGACATAAGATGGTTTTTATCAGTGAAATCATCGTTTAATCAATAAACGATGAACCGATTTAGATGAAATTTGGTATGGCGATAGTTTGATTCTTACATAGGCTACTTTTTACTGTAATAACGGACATACACGCGGGCGGAGCCCTGGACAAAAGAAAAAGCTATTTTCTACAATACTTCCTCTTTTGATTCTTAATTTATTGGCAGGACTATCTACAACACACACACACACACTCACAAGACAGGCACACTCTAAAGAAAGGAAGAAAGGAAAAGTATATTTATTTAAATGATTGAACACAATAGCTACAACACTAATAGATATAGTCTTGATTAACAAAATCTTTTATTAATTTAAAAAATATTCATTTCATTAGAATGTTTTGAACACCTCAACAATGTAAATCATATTATTAATTTAATTAAATATTGATTTATTATTTAGTCATTTTACACAAAAAAATTGGTCGAAGTTTTCTTTACTCTTGAATGCAAGAATTAGAATGTGACTCATAGAGGCTGTAATAGTGACTAACTCATGGATTTTGAATAGCATATAATTCTCAGCATTATAGTGTAGCATTTAAAGGATATTTATAAATTCAATCTAACAACCCTTTCGACTAAATAGAGCAAAACAAACTACACTCTTCCAAAAGGTGTGAACTCTTTCAATTAAGAGTTAATTTGAGAAAGATTTTTTTTTGAGTTTTCTCTTATGTGTTTAGTGTTATTGTATTGCTATTGGTGATACATAACAGATTATTAAGTTATTTACTGTTAAGAAAATGATGCATGAGTTATTGATGACATCAATAAAAAATTAAAGCAAGAAATCAATAAAAAAAGATTAGAAATTATCTGATATTCATCTATATGTATTTACCTATATACAAATAAAATTTTGTATAACACACATGTACAATTTACATGTTTATATAAAAGTTGTAAATTTCCTGATAACAATGCTAAATTAGTTCATTATATGGGAAGGATATATATGAATATATATGTTGCAATTAAAGCACATATTATGATGTCAATGATACAACTTTATAAGCAACGTAACAAAATTAAAATTACAAGTTACATCATACTAACTGTTGTTTGTCTTAGTTTCTCAAAGAAGTGTACTGAAAATTTCGTAATAAGACTGAATAATGTTCTTAATTAATATACTTATAACAAACTATGTTACATACTTTCTAGGATTAAGTGTAATGAATGATGAATAAACTGCACAGCTGTGTTATATAAACACTCACACTGTGTCACTGTTTCATGCTATATTGAATGGGAGTGCTAAAGGTATCCTTTTCTAATTACCCTTTTAAAGGGTCTACCCTTTATAGCAGAACTTTTATGTCATAATATTATTTTGCATAACAAGGAATAGTATTAACTCATTTATCATACATTTAAAACTTATAATTTTATAAGTCATAATCAGCTTTAGGCATAAACCTTATATCCATAATAATTAAAAAGTAGAACCATCATATCGCCGAAAGTTCATAGTTAGAATCGTTGTTGAGCATAAATTTCATATCAATAGTCATTTAAAAGGCAGAACTATCATATCTCAGGAAGTTTACAATAAGAATTATCTTTAAGCATATATTTCATATCTGTAACAATTCAAAGACTACCAATCCATCATTTTTTATTTCTTACTATAATAATAAAGCCAGCAAGAATGCAGCATATCTGTCATGGCTCCAGCGCTGCACTGCTCAGGCGGTCCCATGAGAGCTTATCGTCACAGATAAATTCAAGCCGAAGCTTGCATGCGTATAAACCACCTCCTCCACAGCTCGCGGGCGCCTACGCAGGCTTAAATTACACTAGGGGTAGGGCAGACAAGACTATTTGAAGTCGGTTTTGCAGCGATTCGTTTCTGTCACAAGCTTTTGTAGCAAGAGATTATGACTTTCTAAGATAATAATTAAATTTAAGGTTAACAATGCTACTTTACCGCATTATGCCTAATAACATTATTCCAAATGATATTCTACCAAATAATTGTCACTCTAAATAAACATTATGCTAAATAAAATTATGCAACATTTTAACTCTGCCAAATAAAATTATGCGATCTTAAAAGAATGCCATTGTAAATTCGGACATATTAACATTTGACCAAACAATAATTGTACTAAATAATTTGTATGCTTTAAAATATTTCTTTAAAGAAAATTATGCCAAGTATGTTATGCGAAATAAATTTTGGAGCATCAAGATTCAGCCCGATAGATAGAACTCCCTTTTAAACCTAAATCATTACTGGCATTTTAGTACACCGGAAATAGTTTTGTATCAATGACCTTATCGTGTGAAATCAAAGCTCAGAAATTAAGCTCAAAAAATTAATAAATGCAATAATATAGTGAAAGTTGACCAATCATGCTGAAATGTGTGTTTTGTCAAAAGTTTAAATATTTGTAACTATCTAAATATACTTAAATTATAATTTGACAAGCTTATTATATTTTTAAATATAGTTTAAATTAATGACAGTAAAAGTGTAGGTATTATGTATGTGTATAAAACAAAATTGTTATGATTCCATTCGAATGTAAATAGATAACTTGCACAATTTTTGTTTAAAATGAATGACATTGTTCCTCTGAAATATTGGCAGCCATTCAAATTGGTGTCAACAGGTATGGTTGTAGTGATTAAAATTCTTCAAATACAAGTTGAATGTTTACAGACAACATTGCATGCATTTGTATAATAACTTGGTTATAATAGGGTGTTTTATCAGAAATATTAAATGATTTTTGACAGTTCCATCTTCTATGTGTTCGGGTGTATATTTATATAAATATCTATTTTCACTATTGCTATATACTTTAGTGCTTTTGTAATTCAAAGTACACATTATTAAGGTTTTCTATGTTAATAGGAGGAAAAAGCAGCACAAAACGGAATTTATCTTCAATGTGCGGTTGCAGACTAAAGGAACTATCATGAATAGTCAGTACAGACTAAAATGATATTGTGCTTCTAAGAGTTAAAAATATAGTTTACTTATAAGAGAAAATAATTGTCAATAAATAAAATAATGACTGTTAAATGGTTATAAACATAATTTAACAGCTAATGATAAGAATATAAACTACAGCAGTGTGTTCAAAGTGTTATCACAAATATACATATTCATTTGCCTATCTCCAGAAAATAGTCAGAAGATAAGTGGTCTGCATATCTTGTATTAATTTCAAAGAGAATAATTGTAATATGCTGCTTATTAACATATATCCTAAAACACTTAAGGAAAAACAGTACCATAGTCATTAGTGGCCAAAGAATCCATAACATCATTAAAATACTCAATATAATCGTCATATAATAGGCATGAGTCAGTTTCGAGTTCGAATAAATGATTCCTAAATGCGAAACAAATAAGAACTTTCATTTGCGCACGGAACTACCGTACATACCGGCATAATGATTAGTGAAAGCTACATACATTTTGATTTGTCGTTAAAATAAGGACCAAACGTGTAAGACACACCTGAAGCGTTAGGACGCTACATATAGGGATATTGAAAGTTACAGTTCGAATCTGTAACACTAAGTTTCCTGAAACAGTCTCGAAACATGGGTGCGGTCGTGTGTCGCGATCAAATACTGGACCTACAGCGTACCTAATAACAGCAACTTGATATCTTTGGAAGCCTGGATTCCATCAACTTTCAGGTTCCTCTCGATCTCACGGCTGCGAGCAGCCGCCGCTCGCTCTTCGGCCGACTGGGCGCACCCCATGTCGGCAGCTGTCCCTGTTTTATGGCCGCCGGCCGCCCCGACCCCTGAGTCGGGCGCGCTCTCACCGCTCTCTCTGCATACGCTCCACACGCGTCCTGCCGCTCCGGCGCGACCGGAGCCACCCTACACAACGTTAGCACCCAACACAGTAACCTAACAGTACCACTTTTCACTGTATGTTCTACTGTTAAACACAAAATTGTTACAAGAATAGCCGCGAGTCGACGATTTTTTCTTTTTAATACTGCACCGAACACTATAACACGATACTACAATGCAAACTTTAATTGATTTTATAAATCCGTTTAAATATGAGCTAATGGCGGCCGGATGACAAGCACCAACTCCGTTCGCTCCGTGACAGCGACCGCGCCCCGCTCGACTGACGTTCGGGTGCGTTCGGAAATCTTCGTTCGGGCTCGCTCACACATGCGTGAAAGCATATTCACACACGAAATAGAACAAGAGCAATGCGCTAAAATCAAAGATTTATCAAAGACAATATCAACATTTTATAAAAAAAATAAAAGCGGTACATTCAAATAAATGGTCTTTGATATTATATAAATGCTTATTTTTAGCTTTACTATAAGAATTTGTCCCAGTATGGTGCAGTCTAATATTGATAAAAACCCTCTACAAAATTTTTGTCGAACTTTTAATGGATGCTAGTGAATAATACTACTTATTGGACTTAATTAAGTAGATAAGTTGATTTTAAGTAGAACCTGTGTACGACTTTCAGAAGTTGTTTGAAATAGTATGGTGAAAGGAAGGGTAGAGATATTTTGTTTTAATTACCATGGCTTTTAGGTTTCACGGCGATTTATCCATACTCAGTCGAAATCTGTCAAATGAACTGCCTTAACTTGACGCTCAAACTATTAAATAAGATAGGTAGGTATACTAATACCCCTAGATACGTTAATTTAACCAATAAGACCATGTAAAAAGTAATATTTAGTTCTAGACGACAAAGGTGGTCTAGGTATGTTTGTTGTAGAAGTGTATCCCGGTACCGTCGACCACGTCTTCTTCTATTCTATCACGCTACACTTTGATCTTTGATTTAAGGTCATCCTTCAGCAAAGACCATAATGTGTGCAACCGCTGTTTAAAAAGGTCGTCATAACTTGAATGTGTATATTGGTAGACTCTTTATACAGCTACAATATTAATTACAGCATAATAAATACTGTTGATATCACTAGACACTCTTGTACCTTGAAGGAAAAGGTAGCAACATTCAAGTGTCAGAATGTAGGTATTATTTGCAGTCAGTCGAACTAGTAGACTATTATTCATGAGATAAAATTGAAAAGATAACATGAAGTTTTAAAACACAGCTGTTTTTGGCTTCAATAAACAACTCAATTCCTATGGCATTACCAGAAAATAAATACAGGTAATATAACTGAAAAGAGTAACAAACTTGTTACGTTAAAGGTGTCATCATTTTAAAAGGTCGTGCCTCCAGGATTGTGAACAATCTTAAACACAGTAATTGAACTTTAACAGAGTTTTTAAATCATCATCATCATCTGCCTACCCTTATCCCAATTATATTTGTTAATTATAGTTAATTATATTGTATAATGCTTCCATTCTACTCAATCATTCGTCATCTCACTGTTTACTCCTTTCCTAGCCATATCTTCGCGCCTTCCTTTTCTCTTGTACCATTCAACTAGCATACCTAAAACTTTCTTGCCCACGTTTTTCGCATCCCTCCGCATAACATGTCCATACCAAGATAACCTATTACTTTTTAACTTTTCATGCAGTGGCGCTACTCGACTCCCTCTTATATGCTCATTCCTAACATTGCCCACCTGAGTCACACCATACATCCATCTCAGCATTCGCATTTCGGTTACGATCAGGCGTGTCTCATCCGTTCTCTTAATGGGCCAACTTTCAGAACCATTCAGGACGTCAGGTTTGATGATAGTTTTATAAATTTGACCTTTCAGTGTTAAGGGGAAACTAGGGCCACAAATTGATCCGGTTACCTGCCGCTACTCCATCCATCCCGTATTGATTCGAAACTGTACAGTTCGATCGATCTCAGTATCACACGGGAGCCGAGGTAGGTACTTGAAATTAGAGCAGACTGTTATCGCTAACCCATCCAGCAAAATGGTTTCAGGACTGGAGAGACCGCCGAAATCCTAGAACATGTACTCAGTTTTGGTTCTGCTGATTTTCAAGCCAACAGCTCCCTTCCACGAGACTGCAGTTTAAACCCGTACTAAACGTTGCACGAGAAAACCCCTTGTTTGTTTATTTCATTGACAATTAAAACTGAAGATCGTTATTCATGAGTAGGTACCTACGTATGTAACAATTGTAACGTAGAAGCTGTACAATCAGTAAAGTAACTTATTAGGTATATATATTAGAACTAGTATCATCATCAACAACAGCCTTTAATAGTCCACTGCAGGACATAGGACCTTAGAAAGGAGGTTTTATCCTACTATTCCACGCTAACCAGACGGGTTGGTTTAGGGTTTGTTTTAAGTTATCCGTCTCTTTGCAGTGATGTTGTCCTGCGTAGTTTGCTCCCTTAGTCGCTTCTTACGACACCCACCGGATGAATAGATCACCCCTATTCACAGCGTGGGTGTCGTAAGAATCGACAATCTGTATTCTTAATGCGTTACCACACGGATATAGCGTATATAGCTAGTAAATATTTGTTTTATTATTCGCATTCTCAGACGACATCACGATGTAGAACTTATAGGTGGTATACACAGCACATGTTGTAATTATAAGACTTTTGAGGCACTGAGGAACTCTATAACCGGATAACGCGGGATTGGATTTAGCTGGACTTAACCCACCGTGTCGAGTGTTATCAATATACATACGACTCCTTATTATAACTCCTTGTAATAAGAGTTATGTTTTGCCATAAAAAGATACATTACAGTTTTTTAAGAGATATGAGAGCCGAGAAGAAAAAGAAAACAAAAACTTGAAGACCTTATGTCTATCAACATATGCTATTAGAAGTATTAATAACTAGCTGCTTCGCTGTGGGACATTGTGATTGCATTGACAGAGAAATGAGGAACACAAGTGACACGAAAAATAGATAAAAACCATCTTTGAAGTAGTATACCGTATCAAAATTTGGGCTCAATCGGTGCAGAACTTTATGAGTTTCTGAAGCGTACACAAACCAACTTAACATTTTTATATATAATATATACCTAGATAAACAGTCTAAGATATACAGTCTAGATATACAGTTTAAGTCTTCTTCTCATGCATAAACTGTATTTCCACCTAATAGTTGACTAGGAAAAGTCGCAAAACATAATGAGGTCGTCAATTGTACAAAGTAACAATTGCTTATATTTGTGTAAATAAAGAGTTCATCTATATATTCAGAATTTTTTTTATCATGAAGTATGCTCGTTTCCCAGATATTTATGATTATATATAAAAAATGAATTTACCTAATCGGTAATGGTAAAGTTACAGGTTTTTCAAAAAGATATTTGTATCATAAATCATTCTATATTTCTGTCACCGTAAATAGCTTTCCATAATATTTACTTACGTCCAACTAAATGAATGACATAATAAATGTACTTAACGCTAAAGTTCAGGGGTTTGGATCGACACCTGATAAACTCTCAATGTCAATGAATGTATGTGATAGTGACGTAGATTGCCAGCTCGGAAGTCTCAGTCAATAGGGCTTTATTTCGTGTGCGCGCGCATCTCACTAAGTAGACAGAGATAGAGGAACGCTCCATTACCAAGGAGTAGCAGCTTAATATCTTTGGCAGCCTGGATGCCATCCTCCTTAAGGTTCTTCTCGATCTGCTTGCTGCGCGCGATCGCAGCGCGCTCCTCGGCGGACGAGGCGCATCCCATGGCGATAGCCCGCACGGCCTGGCTCGCTACACGCGGCAGCGCCGTGCCCCTTGCATGCTCGCGGCCCGTCGTCGCGCGCAGATAGCGCCGCGCACGCGCTCGTTCGCGCACGCGTCTCCGGCCTAGCTATACCAGGAACACCACGAGACAGCCGGGACGATAATCCGGCCCTACGCGCGCGACACGATACGTTCGGATGACTCGGAGGGCGAGCGGAGTGACAGTAACCGTTTGTGGTGGCGCCGCGGCGTGGACCCGCGAACGAATGACGGATCGCGCAGGTCCCGTGCGCCGTACCTACTGCGCACGCTCGCACCTCCTTCTCACTAGTCGCCACACGCTACTCACGCCTGGTCCCTCCCTCAGATGCTAATTACACCCTACACCATCCTTATGCAGCCTTTATTCATCATACTACGCAAGGATTGACCACTTTTCCACTGGACAAACGTGGATAGCATTATCAATCTTGATTTACATTTGTTACGATCAAATTGTAAATATATAGGTAGAACGTATGTAACGTAGAATTTATTTACTTAATGTGATTATTTCTATTAGCAATCTAATAAAATAAAAAACTGTTGCAACCAGACCATCATCGAATAAGATTTAGTATTGCTCTCACAAATATATCAATAAATATAATATAACTAATTAAAAGTTCCGATCTATGTAACTCAAAATATTGTGTACCCACCTGCCAAGTGGTATTTAAGTATTAAGTAACCAGAAGTGTTTAAGTTACACATGCCGTTCTGTAGAACAGGCATCTTAACTTACATTAAACTAATGAATAAAATTAATTTACCACAGCCAATGATCAATCAAGAGGTAGATACGCCACCAAAATCCTAATTAGGACTAATGGGACGAGTGCACGTACTTATATTCGAGAAAATTCATAAATTGCCTTCCTGTGAATTTCTAAAGTGCACAAATTACGACAAAAAATTTAAATAAGGGTAAGGGACTATCATACCACAGGTGAGTGTATGTTTTAAAATGAATTAACAGATGTACGGTTACGGAACAAATATTTTTTGCGTGCAGTATGAATATAACGTATCTTCCTTAAAATATCATTGACAAAAGCAAATCCTCACATTTATTAGCGAATCCACGAAAAAATTGATAACCTCAATTTTCTTTTTGTATCCAACTTTACGATTAACATATTTCATTTTAACGCGGATCCGTTAATGGGAACATTATTAAAAAAATTAGAAAAACTGTCAAAAACGGTTTATCGCGTTTTAGGATGTGCGCTTTGTAGCCTGCAGTTAGCCCACAAAATTATAGCAAATCGGCTTGAAACTTTAAAAAAACTGAAGAAATGGCCTTCGGGAGAATGGCTCTAAAAAGTTTTGGGACAATTTGGAGTAATTTAAAAAAACGTTTTTGTTTATCGGGACTTCCTCAACAACATGGTAAAATGCCGTTTATTCAGGTAAGTAGAAATACTGAAAAAGTCGATTTACAACAATCGCAAATTAATTTAAGAAATATTTTCTTAAATTAATTTGCGATTGTTGTAATTGAATTAATTTAAGAAATATTTTCTTAAATTAATTATATGAAAAAAAAAAAATATTAATTAAAATTATAAATATTAAAAACACAAAGAATGTCGTTTTTAATGTTTGATGTAGGTCCAATATAAACAAAGTTAGGTAAATTGAAGGGAAGTAATGTTTCAACGAAAATTTTTAATTTTTACAAGTACATTACAAGATCTTTAAAATGCGTTTTTACAAAGGCTTCTAGCATAAAAACTAACGCAGTTATGCCGAAAGTGAAGTTGGTTTCGATTTTTTTACGACAAAAATCAACAATGAAAGCCTTCTCATTACTACCCTAATTAAAATTAAATGTTACAAATTAGTTTAGTTTAACATAAAAATAGCATCTTTATGAAATCAGTACACTATCGCCCTTGAGCCATTTCATCGTTGACCTTTATAAAAAGAAGGGTTTGAGAAATATGAAACTTACATGAGCATATAGGCCATAACATTCTCTATATAATGGTTTTATTTTTATCTCACATCAATCAACAGCCTATACTAGTCCACTGCTGGACATAGGCCTCTCCTTAGAAAGGAGGTTTTGGCCTACTATACCACGCTGGCCAGACGGGTTGGTATACGGTTTGTTTCAAGTTTTCCTTCTCTTTGCAGTGCTGTTGTCCTGCTTAGTTTGCTCCCTTAGTCGGCTCTTACGACACTCACGGGATGAATTGGGGTGGTGACAATTTGTATTCTTAATCCGTCACCACACGTACTTCTTTTTATCTCTCTAGTCCAAAATACAACCAAGAAAATATCAAAAAAACAAACGAATATTTAAGCAATAGCAAATAATAAGCAGAGAAATGAGTATACTACACAGTGATCATCATTGGCACCTTGTGAAGAGGTCTTGTGTGTGTGTGTGTATGTATATGTGTGTATTATATATATGTAGTATCTCCCCCCCTCACAAACACAACGCGCGAAACTAACATCTTTCAGAATGTGAATCTTTCAACATGGTATCCCGGTCACAACTAATAAATAAAAAAAAATGGTAGAGAAAAGAGACAAGGATTTAACTTTGTAATTTTTTCATTTTTGCTATTTTTTTTCTTATGAGGAATAGTTTTTAAGAGATGATTGCAAATTAATGTTTTGAGAAAACGAACTCAAGAAAAAATATTGCTTTAATGAAGCATTGTATATTAATGTTTTTCTTGGATTTATGTTTTATTTTACTCTAACAGGTGTGGTTTTTAGGAGATGAAAACTAATTATAACAATTTTCTTAAGTTGTATAGGTACGATTTAAATATGCTCTTATTATTTCAAATGTTTAAAAGGGTATAAAGAATAAAATAGGGGTATAAAGAAGACTCGCAAATAGTGTTTTTTTAACCATAAAACTATTTTTATCAAAAACTATATACTTTATTTAATTCGTTAAATGCCTAAATTTATAAATTTATCCAGTGTAGTAGTAGTAATTAGCACACATCGGCATAGGGTAGATTTTGAAGAGGAAGGAGAGCCTAATTTCAAATTTTCAAGAAAATCTGTCTGTCTGTCTATTTTTACCGTCATCACCGGACTATAAGTACTTAGTGCGATTAAAACAGTTACATAAGTATTATTTATAATTCAGTAATTTATTTTTTAGATACCTACAGGATAGCTCAGTTTGCCCTGTCTCATAGACTCACACTACACTAATACGACTTCGTCCAAGAGATTTTAATTACGGATTTTAATGTTGTTATTAATAATAGGGAGTGATATTCAAGAGGAAGGCTTATATGTAAAATACATACATATTATAGTAGAGAAAATCCGAGAATTTCAAATTTTGTGATAAAAAACATGTTTTTGTGCGCTTACATTGCAAACGTAAAAATGTACTATGGAATTGTAAAATCTTAAAAAAAAACAAAATAGTATATGTCTATCTCCTAAGGATAAACCACTGTAACCATTTTGAATTTAACAAAAAAAAACATGGCTTATTTACGGACCTATTTTAGGAATACATTATTATTTCTTATCTAATTAAATACATTGTGCATTTAATGTAGATTAAAATTGCTTTTTGCAGCATATCATTAAAATGAATATTTTAGAAGATATTAGAGGTCTAAAATGCGGTGGCAAAGTGGTCGTAACCGCGTTCGCCGTCAGGCCGTACGTCCATCCCGGGTGGCAACGGCCGGCAGGAACGGAGCGATATAATTAGAATTACTAGCGATCTGCCGCGGCTTCGCACGGGTGCAATGTACTAACTAATGTGGTGTCAGTGTGGAGTAATTAATTATACTATTACGTATTATGATAGGACTATACCACAGGACATCTTTACATGCAATATTTATAGGCCCGTTCCGACCCTGCCTGCTGCTACCACCCGGGACGATAAAAGATAAAAATGGTTAGTGGGTTATCCTTAGGAGATAGATACCATTGCGGAGATTTTTAAAAGACTTCAAAAAGGAGGCTCTATGTTCCACTGGACGTATTTTTTTCTTTATGTTCACCGATTACTCCGTAATTGTGGACCGATTTCCAAAATTCTTTTTTATTAGAAAGAGCATAGTCCTGAGGTATTGGTCACTGTCTCAAAGTCAGGATCCAATGAGGCGATCCCAGGGAAATCGAGGGAGCGGCGAGCGCGTTGCGAAGCGCGCTCGCTTACAGGGAGCACAGGGAACATGGGGTTCCCACACGGGGGGGGGGGGGCCGTCTACTCGTCTGTAGATGACCCGAGGTATGTCGGGGCACCAGGGACTTCCTTTCTAGGGTATACCTGGTTCCCCGGCTATTAGTACCCGAGACGGCGTGCGGTTTTAGTCGGTTCGAGTCCGCCATGCCACCGATGGTGGTATCCGAGGGGATTTCAGCACGAAAAAAAAATAAAAAAAATAAGGGAAATCGAGGGCAACCCTCAAATTTTATTGGCACGTATTATGTGTTTCATTTATATTCTAAAGCTATTCTAGTATTTGCGTCTGGTAGTCATTATCTCCTGTTGATGAGCTGGTGATGGAGGGTACAACTGCTAAATGGTTAGGAGTTGGAGGATAGTTCTTTAAATACCATATATATGTTTAGACTTTTAGTTGTATTCTTTCAAGTCATTCAGGTGAACTGATGATGGAAGTTAAAACTCCTTTTCGGTTAGGAGTTAGCTGATTTTTTTGGATGCCGATATAGTGACCTGTATTGCGCAGGAAAGAAAAGACATACAATGCTGAGGGTTGGATTAGCAACCTGCATTACATACCTAGCTTGTCTTAGTGTTCTATTTTAAATATTTATAATTAGTCTTAATCGTAGCTTTTTTTGGCTTTGTGTGGCTCTAAGTCTCGAAGTGTAACATCATCACTATGCCATCTTTCCGCGACTTAGTGCAACATAAACATTGCCTTTGGAAATTTTTGTGTAGTGCCCTGGAGTTCATGCACCGTAACCGCCTGAGGATTAAAAGTAGCATTGTCCGTTTAAAATCCGCGTAGCTTTAAAAGCTACGGGGATGTTGAACGGGGTCAGTTGCCATAGTGTCGGTGTCAACAACCGTTCGATACAGGCGCTTTTGATTTTGTGGCAATAGAGTCGTCATCATCTATACACTATTCACTTTGACACGATATACAACAAGCTTCAAAGATGGTTTTTCTCTATTTGCTACCACAGTGTGCGAAAGCGAAGCGTGCCAGGGTATAGCAAAGTATTTTATAAAAACTGAATCGGGTAACTCGCCTGATTCTATTTGATCACGGCGAAGGGCAAGCCATTTAAGGATTTAGGATAAGATACTTGGACAAGGCCCTTTTATAACAGAAATCTCGCGCCTCATATAACTCTAGAGCTTATACAAAGGTTCAATACGTGCATCAAGCCACCACAGTTATTCGCATCAGCAGGTGAAGGTGGTCGTCTACCGTAGGTTGCTACCTCTCGCGACTTATATGAAGTAAATCAACCTACTACGTACCTATGATTATTTTTACTAAAAATGAAAAAAAAAAGAAAATACCGATTTAAAAAAACAAACAAAAACGCCCTACCTAAAAACGAAAAATAAACTGAACAAATCAAAAACTTTACCTACTAACTATAATTTACCCATTCCCAATAAAAATATGATATAGTACATCTATATATATAAGAGATTTCCACGTATATAGTCACTCATCACGATATCTCTGGAACCATTAGAGCTAAAGACTTTAAAAATTGGTAGGAATATTCTTTTCACCGAGTAGAGGTCATCTACGAACGGATTTTAAGAAATTAAAAAAAAAACATTTTAAATAATGTAAATAGCAAAACAACGTTTGCAGGGTCAGCTAGTAAGATATAATACCACAAAGCGAAAGGAACTTCGTTCCGACCGGGGGTCCATAGACCACTCACGCCGGTTTTTTTCCTTTAATGACAAATATTGAATTTAGAAAAAATATCGACCTTAAACAAGTCAATATAACTGCTATATCTAATATTATGTTTTAGTTCTTCTTAAGCCTTAAGTCACCCATTGTTGAGTAGGTATAGGTCTCTTCATGAGCACACCAAGTAGTGCGATTCCGTGCCATTTGCATCCCACTGCTGCCCGCTATTTTCGCGATGTTGTGGCTATCTTAGGACCTTGCGGTTTTCTGTCCGGAGTACCACTCTTCGATAGATGGCGCTGTAGTATGTTTCTTTGTTTCACCGTATGTGGAAATAGCCACAAACTTCTTGCAAGTGCGATAGCATCTCTCCGTTTACGTTTATTCTCTGACTAATCTAGTGTTTTAAAGTAAAGAGCTAAGGTAGGATAAATTGTGTCCTCTTGCCGTACGCCTCTTCCGACTTGAACTGTTTGTTGTTTGGGTAAGCTGATGTAATCTGACTAGTAGTAGCACCCTTGTAGATTTCTCTGAGCACTTTCACAAATCTACTGTCAACTTGACCTCTTCAGAGTGCCTAAAATACTGAACTTGTTCAACCGTGACGAAGACTTTTATAATCTACGAAAGCTCCTGAAAGTATTAAACACTTTTTTCGACGACCTGTCTAACGATCGTTTCTCGGCGGTTGGTCACTTATTTGTCAACATATGTGACCAACCGCGCGAAAACGTTTTCTGAAGCCCGACTGTTCTACTGGTTGGGTAGCCTAGCATCGAGACTGTTGCTTAGAACTATGGTGAAAAGCTTACCAGTTTACCAAGTTTGATTAGTCACTTTACTTAAAAATGAGATTGACTATGGCGTTTCTCCAATCCCTAGGACTTGTTTCTTTCATGAGCACTTCATTGAACAGTTTTTGTACAGGTTATGCCCCCAGTGGTTCCACAGGTATGTTATGTCAGGTATGTATGGTCAGGACGATGAGGATGATGTTTATATAAGCTATGTCCGGGAGATCCACAGAAATGTGTCGAGTGAGTTTCGCCCTAGCGATTGTTCAGCATCTTTAGAGCTGTACAATTCCTTGTAGAATAGTTCCACGGTGTTAATGAGTTCCTTCAGGTCTGTTATCAAGTCTGCTATCTCTATTCGATCATTTACTTTAAGCTTATTTCGCACTTTCAGCCTCTATGCTTTTCGACATTCATTTCGCTTTTATACATTACAGTCTTATATATGGTGCTCTCTCTGGTTTTTTCTGCTATTTCTGCCTTTACGCGTTTGGACAAGCAGGCGATAGGGTTTATTGCTTGTGTGTCATGTTCATTACCCATTTCAAGTTTTTCGTAAGTACAGACTCGCGACGGCTGGTATTTTTACCAACTACGATACGACCTCCAAACCTTCAAGACAAGAGTGTACTCCTTCTTAAAAGCCGGCGCTTGTGACTCCTGAGCTGCAAAAGTTCATGGGCGACGGTAGTCGTTTTCCATCAGGTGACCCGTCTGCTCATTTGCCCCGTCTTCCATGAAAAAAAAACTTAGGTAAGCGTTGGTTCATCTGGTGAACTGTGTCTGCAGGATGGTTTTCTAGAAAATGTTCTACACGCTTTTGGTAATTCTTTTTGCACCTTAATAGCTTTAAAGTCCAATCGACAATGTCGGGCTAGGGGCATATTCTTTCGTTCCTTATTTCATATTGTGCTCGAACCAACCTGTGGTCGCTGCACATGTTGAGAACGCTCACATCTGTGGTAATGTGTTTTTTGTTCACTAGTATGTAATCTATCTGGTTTTTGGTCTTTCCGCCAGGGTATGAACTCGGAACATCAAGGCGCTGGTGCCATCAGCACGCGACAGTTCCTCAATGGATAATAAATCCGTACAATATCACAGCCATGAAGAAGCCAATGTGATAATGCAAGAAGAGTTGATCACCATCAGCACAGAAGAGGAGCTATCAGAAGTTCTGGTTGCAGCGCAATATTGAAACACAGAATGTGGAACATTGCTAAAAAATACATCGCTTTTCCTCATCATACCTAGTCGAAAAAGGCTCCAGTGGTTAACATTTCGACAAAAAAAGAAACCGTCTGAAAATCAACGAGCGCGGAGATTTAAGGCTTCAGCTCACCAATATTGAACCAGATTTAGCTATATTTTTTGTCGTTAATCATTAATCAGTATTTTCTTTTAATAATTACCTACTTAAGTATTTTTATGTCATTTGTATTAATAATTGATGTCAAGTTTACTCACTTAACCAACTGCAGTTTTTAAATTGGTAAGTATTCTGTATCAATAGGTAAACTAGTTGTTTTTTTTAAGTAATTGGCCATGGGGGTCTGACGTATCAATTCATTATGGAAAACAGCTCTTGCCCAAAATAGTTTGGGAATCCCTGATCTATATTATGCCATTATATTCTAAGACCTTAATGCCAACAGAATTATACCCACTACTAGATCAGTGTAAAGCAATCTATACAAATAAATAAAATTGAAGTGTGTTTGTAATATTATAATAACCGCTTTTTACTAAATGCATATGTATGTTTACACGGTACATATGCCAAAATAACATTTTTTACAATTTTTGTCTGTCTGTTTGTTCCGGGTAATCTCTGGAACGGCTGGACCGATTTCGACGGGACTTTCACTGGCAGATAGCTGATGAAATAAGGAGTAACTTTTAGACTAGCTTCGCCCCGCGGCGTTGCCCGCGGTTATAACAACAAACACGGGTAACACCGCGGGTCTCAGCTAGTATGCAATATACAAACTGGTAAGCCTGTAAATATCTATTTTGGTACTTGATTTTTCTAATGCTAAGTATAACGATTATACGAAAGTGCCTGATGAAACAATACGCTCACAATGTAGGTACAATTAGACCGCGGTGATGATAACGGCCGGTTTCCTAAAACCTATAAGCTTCCCAGCACCATGCGCAGCAGTTATCAGTTAGAAGTCGGTCGGTAGTTAGTATCCTTGAATAGATAGAACATCTCACCCACATCACCTTGTCCAACAAAAAATAATCTGAAAAATAGCAAAATATACCTACCAATTTCTGGAAATATTGTCAGTACAGATTCAGTCAGTGGGTTATCTTGTAGCGGCCATCGGTTTGCTTGGTCTCTCGATTTAGGCCATGATTCTGTTCTCATCGGGAGCGCATCAAATTCTGTGAGAAGTTGACAAGCACCAGAGGCGGCGGAAGGACAACAGTAAGTACATAAGTATCACTGCGTGACAGGAGCCGTCACGCAGACAACTCATCGGAAGACAAAGATTGCAAGCCTGAAGGCCACCTCTTCCTTGATAGTACAGATCTCATAATAATAGTGTTCCGCTATCACCCTTGGGTACGAAACATAAAAAAAATATACAAGTCTCTGAGCTTGAAGAGTTTCATTTTTATGATCAAAAATTTTAGAGATGACCTCACTTTATACCGTTGGTCCGTCGTTCTACAGCTAGATAAGTAGGGTCGGACCGAGCTAGCAACTTACCCCGACTCTACCTAACTTCTAAAACAGCTACACAACATAACAAGGGATTATGATTTACACTATACATTTAAACAGCATCAATTAAATACCAATAATCATTACCATCATTAAATACCAATAAAAAGGGGTTGCTATAATATCAAATATTGACTGCACAGATTACATAATAGTTCAAGCAGTCACCTCGCTGCTTCCTAATGCGCTGGGTGTTATGGGTTCGATCCCCACATGGGATAACACTTTGTGTTATCCACAAATTGTTGTTCTGAGTCTGGGTGTCTTTTGTGTCTGTTTAATGTATGTTTGTAAATTCCCACACCCCGCGCCCCACTCCCCAGTCTCGACACAGGATTTATTCCTAGTGTAGTTGTCTTTAAAAAATATATATATATTCTGTCATAATAACACAATGACATTAAAGGATTTTAATAAATTATAAACAACATTACAATATCACACAGACAGTATTGACTAAGAATTAAATATACAGTGAGCCATCAGCAGGGCCCAAATGATGGATTCCAATTAACAAAGCATCTACTAAGGTCCATACTCCTAGTCCTCCAAAACTGAAGAGTTTCCCTATGCCTTCTTGCCAATGACCTAAGTAAAAGCGGTCTGCACCAAATCCACCAAGTGTCAAGGCTAAAATTAATGCAGTACCCCATCTTGTGCCGGAAGTCCAAGAACATCGAATTTTTTTTAGAAATCTTCGTTTTCCTAGGCACACTATATCATCTGAGACTGTGCAGTTTGTCCTGGAATAATAGAAAACCACTATATATATTATATGTGTTGTTTATCTAAAAATTTTGTAAATTTACATTACAATAATAATAATAACAGCCTGTTGGAAGCAATCTTAATCAAAAAATAAAAAATAAAGAAATTTATTATTTATATATATATATTATATTATTATATTTATATTAATATATCCGTGTGGTGAAGGATTAAGAATACGGAATGTCACCACCCCTATTCATCCCGTGGGTGTCGTAAGAGACGACTAAGGGAGCAAACTACGCAGGACAACAGCACTGCAAAGAGAAGGAAATCTTGAAACAAACCCTTTTTTTTTTTTTTTTTTAACGTGTGGAAATCCCCTCGGACCGTCACCCCACCGGGGTTTGCGGCGGGGTGGTGTGTCGGACTCGAACCGACTAAAACCACACGATGTGCCCTCTTTGCGCTTCCAGTTTAGGAGGGGTCCAGGTAGTTATCGCCTTCTGGACCCCTCCTAGCGCCGGCCCGCTCCTATTGCGGGCCCCGTCTCAAATTTTTTTTTCCTCTCTTTAGGCGACGTCCGGCACACGCGGACGCCGCCCCCTCGCGGCTGGCCAAACTAATGCGGGTGGAGGGGAAACCCACCCCGTCCACCCGCGGCCACACTCAGGGCGGCATGAGGCGCAGGTAAGCGCGCCTCCGCCGCCCGGTTCGCCGGCGGCGGATCAGGTCCGAGTGGAGGTCGTCCTCCCGAGCCTTCTCCGCCGCCTCCTTCTGCGAGATTACCTCCTCGCAGAAGGTTGCGACCGCGGTAAAACACCTGTCGCTACCGGCCATGGAGCGAATTACGGCCGGTAGCGAGAGATCTGCTCCGATGACTGCAGTGAGGGCCCGGCGCTGCGTCGCCCATGCGGGGCAGACCGCCAGCGTGTGCTGGGCCGAGTCCTCACTGCAGTCGCAATGGTGGCAGGCGGGACTCAGTTCCCTCCTAGCGACCGAGTGCAGGTACTTTCCGAAGCAACCGTGCCCGGAAAGCACCTGCGTCAGCCGGAAGGAAAGGGTCCCGTGCTGCCGCCCTGCCCACTCGGCGATGACTGGCGATGACAGGCTGGAGAGCCTCCACGGCGGCGAAGCCAGCGCGTGGAGTCTCCAGCCGGAACGACCATCTGACCATGGTGGCTCGGCGAGCGGCTTCGCGCCACTCGCGCACGTCCTCGGGCGGAGGGCGAAATCCGCTCTCCGCCCGGAAGTCAGCCACTCGCCGATAAACTTCGGCGAGCACTTCCGCCTCCAAATCCCACGGGGGTGCTCCGGCCAAGCGCAAGCCGCCTCGGTGGACACCGTGCGGTATCCGCGTATGGCTCTGACCGCTAATATCCTCTGGGGGCGCCAGAGGCGCGCCCTATTCGGGGCGGTCAGAGCCGCCACCCACACCGGTGCACCATAAAGCGCCATGGACCGGACAACCCCCGCGTACAGCCGCCTCGTGGGAACACTGGCCCCGCCCAAATTGGGCAAAAGTCGCCCTAGGGCGGAGGCAGTGTCCACCAGCTTCGGACCAAGCTGTCGGAAGTGCTCGTCGAAGAGCCACCTACCGTCTAGGACCAGACCCAGGTACCTCATCTGGGCCCGGACCGGTACAAGGACCGAGCCGACCTCGATTGAGGCGCCGGCGGGTGGACCACGACGGGGCCCATGAAATAATAGGGCCTCCGTCTTATCCAGGGCCACCCGTAATCCCAACGCCTCAATGCGCCCGACCACCTGGGAAACTCCCGTGGCGGCCAGGCGCGCCGCCTCCTGGAAGTTAGCCCCCCGGGCCGTGAGTAAGGTGTCATCCGCGTAGCAGATTACACCCAGCCCGGGGGGGGAGACGCCCTCGTAGGGCCCAGTCGTACCCGATGTTCCACAGGAGAGGTCCTAGGACAGACCCCTGCGGAACACCGCACGAAAACAAACCCTTTTTTTTTTTTTTTTTTTTTTTTTTTTTTTTTTTTAACGTGTGGAAATCCCCTCGGACCGTCACCCCTCCGGGGTTTGCGGCGGGGTGGTGTGTCGGACTCGGACCGACTAAAACCACACGGTGTGCCACTCTGCGCCTGTAACAGGAGGGATCCGGGAACAGCTGTTGTTAAGACATCCGGACCCCTCCTAGCGCCAGCCCGCTCCTGGTGCGGGCTCCGTCTCGATGTTTTTCCTCTCTTTATAGGCGACGTCCGGCACACGCGGACGCCGCCCCCTCGCGGCTGGCCAAACTAATGCGGGTGGAGGGGAAACCCACCCCGTCCACCCGCGGCCACACTCAGGGCGGCATGAGGCTGTGGTAGGCGGGCCTCCGCCGCCCGGTTCGCCGGCGGCGGATCGGGTCCGAGTGGAGGTCGTCCTCCCGGGCCCTCTCCGCCGCCTCCTTCCGCGAGATTACTACCTCGCAGAAGGTTGCGACCGCGGTAAAACAACTGTCGCTACCGGCCATGGAGCGTACTACGGCCGGTAGCGAGAGATCCACTCCGATGACTGCAGTGAGGGCCCGGCGCTGCGCCGCCCATGCGGGGCAGACCGCCAGCGTGTGCTGGGCCGAGTCCTCACTGCAGTCGCAGTGGTGGCAGGCGGGACTCAGTTCCCTCCTAGCGACCGTGTGCAGGTACTTTCCGAAGCAACCGTGCCCGGAAAGCACCTGCGTCAGTCGGAAGGAAAGGGTCCCGTGCTGCCGCCCTGCCCACTCGGCGATGACCGGCTGGAGAGCCTCCACGGCGGCGAAGCCAGCGCGTGGAGTCTCCAGCCGGAACGACCAACGAGCCATCGTGGCTCGGCGAGCGGCTTCGCGCCACTCGCGCACATCCTCGGGCGGAGGGCGAAATCCGCTCTCCGCCCGGGAGTCAGCCACTCGCCGATAAACTTCGGCGAGCACTTCCGCCTCCAAATCCCACGGGGGAGTCCCGGCCAACGCGCATGCCACCTCCGTAGAAACGGTGCGGTAACCGCGTATGGCTCTGACCGCCATTACCCTCTGAGGGCGCCAGAGGCGTACCCTATTCTGGGCGGTCAGAGCCGCCGCCCACACCGGTGCACCGTACAGCGCCATTGACCGGACAACCCCCGTGTACAGCCGTCTTGTCGCGACGCTGGGTCCACCCATATTGGGCAAGAGTCGCCCTAGGGCAGACGCAGCGCCGACCAGCTTTGGAGCAAGCTGTCGGAAGTGCTCGTCGAAGAGCCACCTCCCGTCGAGGATCAGGCCCAGATATTTCATCTGGGCCCGAACCGGTACGAGGACCGAGTTGACCACGATTGAGGCGCCAGGGGGTGGACCACGACGGGGCCCATGGAATAACAGGGCCTCCGTCTTATCTAGGGCCACCCGTAAGCCCAGCGCCTCAATGCGCCCGACCACCAGGGAGACTCCCCCTGTGGCCAGGCGTGCCGCCTCACGAAAACAAACCCTATACCAACCCGTCTGGCCAGCGTGGTATAGTAGGCCAAAACCTCCTTTCTAAGGAGAGGCCTGTGTCCAGCAGTGGACTATTATAGGCTGTTGATGAAAGATATTTATTGCAGATTTTATGTTTTTGTATCATTTTAATAATGGTTTATTAAGTATTAATTTAATTATATCTTTATACATATAATTCTTCTGTGGGTGTGTATATAACTCTGAACTCCTTCTAAACAGCTGGACCGATTTTAATGTTTTTTGTGTGTGTGTTCAAGTGGATTCCAGAATTATTTAGATTCACAATTCGGTCAACCACAAAATGCCTTTTAAGTTTAAGACATGTATTGTATATAGGATAACCTCTGTTTTGACCGCTAGTAATTTAGTAATTCTTGTTGTATAATTCACTGGCCACCTGCATTGATATAGAGGGTGCCTTTGACAAAACCAATTTCACCAGTATAAGTCAAGCTCTGGCTACACATGGTGTTGATTCCACAATCTCAGGGTAGATTGAGAGCATGCTAAGATATAGATCTATTCAATTTACTGTGAGCAAAGTGACTAGAGGGATGGTAGCGAAAGGATGCCCCCAGGGCGGTGTACTCTCCCACCTTCTATAGGACATAGTTGTGGATGAACTCATCACAAAACTCATGACCGTAGATTCCGCACAATAGGCTATGCAGACGATCTGACTATCCTTATCAGTGGCCGTTTTGAGAGATGCATGCGATCAAATGAGACTTGCACTGAACATCGTTGAACAGTAGTGCGTAAGACACAACTTGACAGTGAACCCATGGAAAACAGAGATGATTATGTTCACAAACAAACATAGTCTAGGAAATTTCAGACTTCAAAGCTATTTGGAACGCAACTAGCTCTTACCAAAGAGGTCAAATACCTAGGAGTAATACTGGACAGGAAACTTCTGTGGAATAAGCACCTCGTTGAAAAAACAAACTAAGCCCGCATTGTCTTCTGCCCATGCAAACGGCTACTCGGCAAAAGCTGAGGACTATCACCAAAGATTACACTATGGCTCTACCGGACAGTCTTAAGACCAATAATCACTTACGGTGCTATTGCCTGGTGGCAGACAACAGAGTTAAGCACCGTCATAAACAAATTGCAGCAATTCCAGCGACTCCCATGCTCAGCGGTCACTGGCTGTATGCACAACGACACCAACTGCCACACTGGAGGTGCCCCTTGGTCCCCCCTGGATTTGTTCATACAGCAGGAGTCAGCCATGGCGATGATGAGGCTCAGACACCTGGGTCTGTGGCAAAAAGGTGAGGGATCGCACTCCAAACTATGGGATCAATTAGTGGAATACGAAACACTAATAACAGCCCCACGCGATAGGATCCCAAAACACCATATCTTTACAAAAAGATACCAGATTCAGATACAAGAAAATGACCGAGATCAATCCGGTATTAACGAAGTCCGAATTTACACTGACGGTTACAAAACTAGGTCAGGAACTGGAGCCGGAGTTTTCTCGCAAGACCTAAATATGAATTTATCACTAGCGTTAGGCCAACACAGTTCCATATTCCAATGCGAATGTGTGGCAATAACTTACGCCGCCACAACGGCATTAAGGACTATAACATCCAAATACTGTCAGACAGCATGGTCGTCCTAAAGGCACTAGAGGGCAACACAATGACGTCTGGTCTTCAAATACCATCAAGTACCACCACAATAAATAGTGTACTACTCCAACTGATTAAAGGGCATAGTATTTCAGACGGTTCAACACTTGACTGAAGTCTCACCACAAAGCATTTTACTAATTAGTTATATAATATATAATACTAATTAGCATCTCTACATGCAGACTGATCAGTGTTAGTATACTAGACATATCTATAATAATAGTTGTAGGAACCATAACAGGACACCTAGCCCTGAACTGAAAACTATTGACCATTAATGCGACGGACAGTCCTGTCGGCAGAGGATGTCTGAATGCAGAAGAAACGGCCGCCGACGTAATCCTGGAATGCGAGGGTGTGGTCACACAACAGGCAAGTATCATTCCTGATACAAAATCGCTCCTAGAAGCCTGTAAACGCCCCAGGAGGCTTCTGCGCTTCTGTAAGAAGTTTGGTTGGCTCAGCTAGTCCTCAACGCATAAAGGACCACCTTGAGTCTAAATGTGGAAACCGGAGCCCACAACCAATACCAATGCCAGTACCAATGTTGTATAATTCTCTTTCTCTAACTCCTATGTTAGATCTTGACTTGTTTCTTTAATACTCAATCTAATGCAAACCTAGGGATTCTGCCCATTTTTTTTATGGGGCAAACTGTTCATTGATGGAAAGTAATTACCGCCGTCATTAGTGATACCTGCAACTCAGAAGTTACAAGTATGTTTAATTAAACTTGCACTCAATATCCAAAGGGGCAGCTGCCCGCCACCTGTGCTGCATGTGCAAAATTATTTTGAACAACTCATAGGAAGTAATTTTTATTTTGACCTAAATGCAATAAGTTACTTAAGCACAACTTACAAATAATATTTCAAAGGTGATGACAGAGAATTACAGTTTGCTTTTTGCTCACAGCGATGTTCCCATCTCTCAGTTTGATAACAGAATCGGCACATTGCCGTTCTGTTAAATTTGATTGGACCCTGAAAGTATAAAACATTTAATAAGTAGCTATACCAAACAGAAGTTATTTATGTATAATAAATACTATGTTATGTACATATTAATTCACTTGGTATTAATAGCCAGACAGTTGTTTATATATATATATATATATATATACTATACTATATAGTATGTATGACAACAGCACTGCAAAGAAAAAGAAAACTAAGCAAACAATACCAACCCATATGTGGCCAGTGGTATAGTAGACCAAAACCTTCTAAGGACAGACCTGTTCCCAGCAGTGGACTAGTAAAAGCTGTTGATGATGATGAAATAATAGGCATTGAGGTCTATGTTTGTGTCTATTCTAAATTGTTAAAAGCATATACTGACTTAAATTTTGCTACTTGTTACATACTAACATTGCAATTAATTTTTGGCTTCACAGTACAGGTGTAGTTGTAGAATGCTCCATAACGGCAATCTATGCTCCGCTCACAATCTATGCAAGGATATTGCAAAGTGTTACACTCAACTACATCCTTATCCATAGATGAACAACTTTTCAAATACTCTTCATTGTCACTGAAATTTACACCCTTGTCGGTCATGTCATCTTTTATTTTATTCTCCTTGCTTTGGATGTCCATGTTATTATTTGCTACGGTCAAACAATAATTATCATAATTCATTCATACATAAATATCTAGTGATACTGATCAAAATATTCGATTAAAACACTTGCCCATATCCGTTATTTGAATTGTATTAAATATGACTAGTATAACTAAAACTAAACAGTCTCTTATACTTATACGTAATGGTAGATGTCTAGGCATCGTGAAATTTAAACCATTATACAAATATGTAATATTCTTTGGGCAGCAATTGGAATCCTTCTCGAAAACAATGTTCAATGGGTAAATATGGCTTTCCTCCTGACATTAGTTGTCAATTGTCAAGTTACCCAGCGTTACTTGACAGTTGACTAATGTCAGGAGGAGAGCCATGTTAAATTGGTAAGTGTGATAAGGACAATAATATTACAATGCCCAACTTAATACATTTATAGAATTTGAACAATTAATTTATCAATTCTTTTTTTGTTCAATAGGTACTGTTGAATACTGTCAAAAAAACAAACAACCAATTTGAATTATTGTCTGAATACTACAGCCACAGATAAAAGATATATGTACATTTAATAATTAAAAGATATGTTATGGATATTGAGCTTATAACAGCTTTAATGTTGATCAGATGTGCGATTATAGATGTAAGGCCGGTTTAAACCCAATTCTTTAAAACGAAAAAAAAACGTTTAAAACTGAAATAAAACTTTTTTTTTTCGATTTAAAACGGTTGGTGTTGATGACTATGTTTTTCTCAATTATAACTACATTTTCTTGATTTTACCGAGGTAGGGATATGACGAGGTAGGGTAGGGATATGATATATAAAAAAAAAACTTGTATCTTTAGTTAATAGGTACTTCACCTATTAACTAAAAATACAAGTTTTTTTTTTATGTGTGATATACTGATTTTGATATATTTAGCGGGTTTAGTTCTGGTTGGTTCGTCCGACCAAGCGAGTTTCCACCGTTTAAAACCATTTATTGGGGGTTTAAAACGGTAATTTTTATTTAAAACGTTTTAAATCGTTTGTTTAACATCTATATGAGCGATTAAATTGAAAAATATTATCAGTCTACCTGTACACAACAAAATCAAAAAAAATCTGTCAATTTTATTTTCTGTGTTGGATGCTATTAAGAATAAGTCCAGTTTACTTATTTCTTTTCTTTTTGAAGAAATGCTACGACTGGTACCTACCGCCTGTACTACTTAGAATAATAACGCATAGAAGGATATTTTCATATAAAAAAACCGTCGAGTTTGAGGCAAAAACACAATTGATGTAGTCACGCGTATTTACGCATGGCGATACGCACACTAGAGTACAATTAATGTTTCTATCGGAATCAGATTTTCCCTAAAAGTAGGGAAATTGGTACTGCTACTTCGTAAGCCCTTAGAGGTTTCTGCACTCATAAAAGGTAATTTCTTTTTTAATTTTAATGATGAAAATCTGTAATAAGTAATATATACAACCAAAAAAAAAGTTTAATAGTAGAGTTCGTTTTAATGTTATTATAGTGTTTCGACATAGATTACATCTTCCACAAATGTATACTGTATGAACATTAAAATTTATAATGACAGCCTCGATGATGCAGTGGTAGCATAAGCGACTGCTATTAAGAAATCTCGGGTTCGATTCCCGGGTCGGACCAAATATTTGTACGATTTGTAAACATTTCTTTCAACGTGTGGCCTGCACATCACTACGCCTGAGGCTAATGTTCATTCACTCTCCGAAGCGACGACGTAGGTCTGCTGTCAAATGGTTCGAAACACGAACACACGGCTCGTTCATACATAAATTGTTGTTAACAAGTTAATATCAGTGCTGATGTCGGTTAAATCGTATTCGTGAACTACTTATACAAAGAAAATTTATAAAAAATCAAGTGCTTTTCTTTTGGACCTTAACAAACTAAACACCCAATACAAGCGTGTATCTAGTTAGGTATCCCGTATAAGTACTTGTACTACCGTATAAGTGACGCGCGATTTCTAAACCGAAAAACGGCACTTTAATTTTCTAGTATTAAATGGCTATGATGATATCAATTACCTAATAAATATATTCCAATGATATTTTAAATAATATTTGGTTTACTTACTAAAAACATCACATGAATAATGGACGACACCTATCCAGTTAAACTAAATTAAAATAATTCAATTCAAAAAGTCAATAATTATTTCAAATAAATATTATATTAAAGTACACTAAGCTCCTCCTATCAACCGCAGAGGCCTGTCCCGCAGTGGACCTCTTTCGGTTGAGACGATGATGATGATTGGCATCGGGCCTGCGTTACCCTAAGACAGGGGAACTAGGCGAACTGTATCATGGGTACATATTCCGTGTGGTGACTGTGTTATTTTTAAATTTGTTTATACTATTCGTAAAAACAGATTTAAAAAAAACCATACCATTCAGATGTAAATATAAACGTAAACTAAGGTTATTAGGTCCTAGTACTTAGTGCTTTTGCACTAGGGTCTACATCATAACGTCTATACCTACCTTGTAAGCATCTACAACGTCTTACCAAGTATCATTGATGAACTCTTAGTAATTAATGAGCTATGGGATAATTTACCATGACTGGACCACTGTTTCAAATGCAATATTATGCAGCCTTATTGCACGAGATTCTAGAGGAAATGCGTTATAAAACCTATTCCCATAATTATAGCATTAATTCAACTATGCACATGTAAAATTTCATTTCTTTACACTCACTAATTAACAGAATACAATTAAAATACTGATAACCATAGCAATTCGTACATAACTCGACCGAGTTCTGATGGCTACAAAAAAGCGGCCGTGCAGTATATTTACGTAACATTCTAAAATTTACAGTATAGTATAGGGTTTTCTAATAAGAGGTGTTATTTTAGTATTCAAAGAGAAATGCAATTTTTTAAGATAAATAATCGGCTGTTTATTTTATAATAAAGAGGAAGGTATGCCGTTAATAATGGAAGATAACATCAGCCAAATGGCCACCACGACCACGCTTACAGGACCATATCCTTTTAATGAAATTTTGCATAACCAAATCGCAAAGTGGCTGCCCTATGTCCTCGATAGCCTCACGAATTCCATCTTTGATGTCTTGAATCGACGCTGGGCTATTGGCGTAGACCTTATCTTTCACGTGGCCATAAAGGAAGAAGTCGCAAGGTGTTAAATCACAAGATCTCGGTGGCCAATTGTGATCACCTCTTCGAGAGATAACACGGTCAGGAAACTTTTCCCGTAAAAGAGCAATGGTTTCGTTGCTTGTGTGGCACGGAGCGCCGTCTTGTTGAAAGTAAATGTTGTCCAGATCATTACCATCGAACTCCGGCCATAAAAATTCATTAATCATATCTCGATAGCGCAATCCATTCACCGTAAGTGTTGATCCAACCTCATTTTCGAAAAAGTAAGGTCCAATGACCCCGCCGGACCATAAACCGCACCAAACAGTCACACTTTGAGGATTGAGAGGCTTCTCAACAATAACTCTTGGGTTTTCCGAGCCCCAGATGCGACAATTTTGCTTGTTGACGTAGCCTCCTAGGTGGAAATGGGCCTCATCAGTCAAGATGATTTTTCGATGGAATTCCGGATCATTTTCATGCATTTCAAGTACCCAATCAGCAAAGACACGACGTTGTTGATGATCGGCCGGCTTGAGTTCTTGTGTTAACTGAACTTTATAAGCCTTAAGACCCAAGTCTTTATGCAAAATTGTAATGACGTTTTTGAAAGAACGACGAGGAATGGACAAACCTGCGTTTTCTTCAACACTTTGGGCTACTGCAGCAATATTCTCAGTTGTTCTTGAGCGACGTGCACGGGTTTTATTCTTCACATCACTAACTTGTCCCAACAGGTCGAATTTTTCCACCAATTTCTGTATTGCGGTCCGACAAGGTGCTTCACGACGACCAAAAAATGCTTTAGTTTTGCGAACTGTGACTGCAAGATTTTTACCATTTTTGTAGTGAATTTTGATAATTTCAATGCGTTGTTGAAGCGTGTATCGTTCCATTTTTAGTAATGGCGTAGTTTCCACTTGTCAAATGTCAAAAAATAAAAGCTTCAAAAGTGACAGCTACCGAAATACCGGGGTGATTCAAAATAACACCTCTTGTTGGAAAACCTTTATATGGTGATTTTGTACCGTTGCGTACACAACGGATAGGTTTAAATTGGTTTACCATTTTTATGAAAAACTTCAAGAAGTAATGACTCTTATAGATGTGAGTATTAAACATAGGTTAAAAGTATATACGAGTATAGCGTATCTGAAAATGTGAGAATCTAGAAAGAACTCGCCGAAGCAGAAAACGCAGGACGGAATCAGTCTCCCTCAACAGCTATAGTGGCCTGTTTTACTAAGAAAAATGAACGCAAAAAAATAATTACAAAATTATGACGGGCGATGAAAATATCATGCTATATATTAATATAAAATCAAGTGGAAAAGTGACGTAATTGTTATTTGTAGCTTCCTCGAAGAATGTAACTGTCGTGCTTTTTCACTACTGATAATAAACGCGACAAAAATGTAACTACTGTGAAAATGTTATATTTTTATAACTGTAAGCCTACTGCCTAGTAAGTGCATAGGTAATATATTAGAATAATCTTACCTTATAACTCCGCAATGGTTGGATGCACAAATTTTTACTTACCATCCACAATTACACGACGTCATACACTAAATATCTGTTAAACTCAAATAATGAAATTTGAACTTTTTCCGCTGGGGCAACGCACACGTCCACACTAGCTGTTAATGATTTAGGTATTCTAGGTGTGCAGGTTTTCTCGCGATGTTTTCCCTTACTGCCCTGGTAGTGTTATAAATCCGCAATCAAGGACGCCTCCTAATTAACAACTGGACTAAATGCGAAATGGACCAATTGAGAACTGGACAGTTGGACATTTTGCGCTCAAACAAAGTCAGATACATGTTTTGATTTGTTTCGGGTTGAATCATTATGATTCTAGTATAATATAATAATAATATATGATTCTTCTAATATTCTATTCGCGAGGAAAATATACCCCCTACTCCATGATATACATATTTATTGAAATATTTTGTTTACAAGTAGTCGCACGTGTTCCATCAGGATTTCATCTCTCCACAACACTTTAGACAAGTCATAACTCGTCCACGATCTGTGCCGTTTTAGAATTGTAATTCGAAGCTCCCTATAATTTGCTTCCATGGGTTTTTCATGTCGGTCCGTTCGTGCGATTTAATTAGATCCGTTTTTGGGCGGCCAGTTCGAGGCATGTTTTCTACTGTCGTACAATAAGCCTTATTTTAAGTACTAACAAACTACCAGAACATCTTAAATCTACTACTATCTAGTACTACATGTTGAACATGTTTTCCCCATTTAGAAAAATACTGCTGTAGATAAGGGTCCGTAAACAGAATCGACACCGAGTGTACTCGCGTCTATCAACGATTGATCGAAGGTAAATCGACCGCAACATCAATTTTACAAAGCCACTATACCAATCAATAATGGACTGATTGGTATAATGGCACTCTAACACTTCTCAATTTTCATTGACTCAAATTGTAAAGAAATTGAAATCAACATTATTTAACTAAATTAATATTACGTTTATTCTTTAAATACCAATTCATTAAAATAACAAATTAAAAAATTAAAAATGGCAAACATATTTTACAAAGCCCCAGGCTAATAAAAATGACACATTAAAAATTTGAATCGAAAATACTTTGGGAATCGAAACCTTCACCGCTAGCTATCTCGTTTACAGGTCTTCGACTATTATTACTTTCTCTAGATATTTCTGTGATAGTAGATAAGTCTGGCACGGCACAAGTAATAGGGAATATCTGTTTAAGATTGGCACCAAAACTAGTAACATTGACGGGGTTGTCAAGTAAATTCGTGGTATTCGTATTTCTAGTTTCATCTTCACTGAGTAGATACCATTTATCGTTGTTCACTGATTGCTGTAAATCATCAGAAAGATCTTCAGTTATTAGACTAGATTCTGTGCCTAAGGGACTATGGTACACTGTCTCACAGGTTTCGATGTCATGTGGTTTAGAATCTGAAAATGAATTATAGAAGATCTACTAATAACGGCTAATATATATACATTTGTAACAGAATTATATCAAATTGAAGGAATTGACTATAGCTTTTAAGTAAAAAAAATATCTATTATAATAACTTGAGTTTCATTCCAAATAAAGCAGTTTATGTGCAATTCTAATCAAATCTAATCAGATTTATACATCTATACAAATAAATAAAATTGAAGAGTATGTTTGTAATGTCAAAATAATATGTTTTTTCATGCTCACACGGTTATTTGCACGATACCTATGCTTAAAAACCAGTTTAATATTTTTTGTCTGTCTGTATGTTTACTGCGACAGCACTAGCGGCTACCAGCTATAAAAAATAGTATAGTATTATATACAGGGTAGTAATGGAAATGTAGTATTTCCATTACTAAAATTGAAGTTAACTTAACCGACTGGGCCGAAGTAGATGGTTAACAATAGCAAAAAAGTAAATATTTGGAAGAAAATTTGTTTTCTACTTTTCTTTTAAATATTAAAAAAAACTATGACGACAGTTAAACTGCAGAAATGTTAAAAAAAAACATGTTTTTTGAATATTCGTCAAACAAAAGAAATTACTTTTTTTCTTTTTGCTATTACGTGGGGCATACTGAAAGTCTCTGGATCTGGCGACTTACAATACGCGGGCTGCTATTTATGTATACGAAACTGGCCAGTTACAGACTAATATTAAAAAAGTAATTATAACATTTGAAATTGGAACTATTAGGCTGAAGAATACAAAATGTTTTACGTAGCTGTCATTTGTTTATCTTTTGTGTCGTCATTTTGAAAATTGCGGATTTATCTCGTGAAAATTTTCGTGCAATGATTTAATACGATTTTCGGCAAGAGCTGACTCAAAAACAGTGCATCGATCAACTCACTTGCACCATCAAAAACAACTGTGTATCATTGGTTTAGTGAGTTTAATCGAGGGCGGTCTGTGCTCACGGACGAATTTAAGGAAGGTCACCCTAAATCGGTTGTTGTACTTCAAAATATTGATGCTGTGCGGGAACTAATAATGCAAGATGACGATTTAGAGCGACATTCTTAAAATTTTTGAAGCACTTTGAAGCAAATGGTCGCTTGTTTTTCTGGTATAAATGAAAATGTGGCTACGGTGCCACTAGAGGATCGTGAAACGGTTAATTCTGAATGGTACACGACCATTTGTTTGCCAGAAGATTTTGAAGAAATAAGAAAGATAACCGATTACGCAGAATCCTTCTTCATCATGATAATGTTAGCTGCTACACTTCGGCCTAAACAACTCAGTATTTGAAAGATCAAAAGATCGAATTAACGGGTCATCCGCAGTACAGCCCCGACTTGGCCCCCAACGACTTCTATTTATACCCAACCGTAAAGAATAAATTACGTGGTCAACGTTTTTCGAGGCGTGAAGAGACTGATGATGCGTTCAAAATGCACGTTTTGGAGATACCACGATCAGAATGGAAAAAGTGCTACGAAAATTGGTTCCAACGTATGCAAAAGTGCATCGATCATTAAGGCGACTATTTTGAAAAGCAACTATAATAAATACTATATGTTTGTTTCACTTTGTTATTCCAGATACATAAATAGCAGCTCTCGTACTTTGAAAAACAATAAATGTAACGTAAGTCTTATTTATCAGAATCCAAAAACTTTCAGTATGCCCTAAGTATTAATCATCTATATCGGCCCAGTCTTTAACTTGGGTTAAGTTAACTAGAAATTGTAAAATAAAGTTGTAAAATCTTTCTTAGTTTTTGCTAAATATTATATTACTACTATCTACTCTGATAAAAAAGAATGAATTGAAATTTTATTAATAGAGATCATCATATAGCCATTTCTCTCTTAATAAAATTTCGTGTGTATGTGGGTTGCACTTACTGTAAAAGCTATTGACGTCTTGAGCATCGTTACAAAAGAATTCTGGAACAATGTTTTGGTCGTCAAAAAACTCGCTTTGACTTTTCCATAAAATGTCGTCAGCTGACTGAATAGAATCTTCTATAGTAAGTATAGATTTGACAGAATTTTCCACAAATTCGAGACTATCTATACAATCATTGGCTTGTAGACACGTTTCAGAATGGTTATGTATGAGGTCCACACTCTCATCTCCACGAAGAAACACTCCAGATTCTGTATCGTTTATCCCACTGTCAATCAATAGAGATTTTTTACTTTCTTCTACTGACTTCGTAGTTCCATTTTCAGATTTTTTTCTTTTGGGTTTGAGTATTTTTACCTTAATGATATCTTTTTTCTTTCTGCTTTTTGATTTGACATTCTCGCCAATAGTCAGACGAGCAATATCAATTTCTTCTTGCTCGTCAGGCATTAAGGCTTGAATTACAGGCGGACATGATTGCCTGCCGCCTTTAGCAAAAGATTCAGTATGCTCCTCTTCTACAAGAGTTTGTACTTTAGGAACTTTCTTAGACCTTGTTGAATTTTGCCGTTTACGAGGAGTGGAACATCTTTTCTTATTTCTTGTTTTCTTTTGAACCACTACATTAGTTTCATCAACATCCATTTCATTTTCTTTACTAATTTTTTTAGCACTTTCGAGAAGCAGATCTCTTAGTTTCACATCTAGGATGTCTGTTACATTAGATTGATCAGTAATGTTTATCGTACCTATTTTTTTCAGTAATGATTCTGTCACTAAAGTGTTTGGTTGATTTTATTATTGGCAAGTTCTACATTGGAACTTTCAAAGTTACATTCCTGTTCCATCAAAGGAACGGACACATCAATATCCGAAATTAAATATTGGTTACAAGCGGTAGGTATAATTAGTGTTTCGTTACATTGAATGTCATTAATAGTAGGCCCAACTTCCATAGTTTTAATCAAATCTTTTGAAACAGAAAAGCTTTCTACAACCGATAGTTCTGGAGACAACGGCAAAGATATATTACTAGAGCTACCAAATTCGCTGTCGGCCTGGCCAGTGTTCTGCTCAACAGCACTCCTTTCAGAAGAAAATTCTTTATTTTTTATGGTTGAATCTAAATCAACAAATTGTACTTCAATGCCCATAGGACTTGTTTCATTAATAGAATCTAATTTTCTTAACGGTTTTTTTGTTCCAGGCATCAATAACTCATAAGATTCAGATCTGTAGACATTTGAATTAAGGGTAGAATTATCCCGATCGCCTATTTTTCCATGAGATAAGTTATTAGACTCACCTCCGTCGTAACGTAAATACGGATGTGATTTTTTTCTACTACTGCGACGCAAATGACTAATGGTTTTATATTTCATTTCAGAAACATTTATCATTTTCTTTTTTCTGAATTCCATCTTCATAGGACTAGGGTCACTATCCTGGTAGCCTTGAGTACTCTCCAAAGAATTCGAACAAACAGTTTCAGGCGAAGAGAACCTCTTCGTGGTGTTAACCGTACTGTTAGAAAGAGAAGCGATAAATGCTGTTAGACATGCCACAATAATAGCGCAAATAAAAAGAACAATGCATTATCAAAACAAATTGAAAGCGGTGGTGTAGCAGAAGCTAAAGAGCAACTCAGATTATAAAATAATAAGCAAATGAAACATGCAATTTACAAAATGTTAATGGAAGCAGGTTCACAAAACACACAATGATATATTTAGAAACCACTCACCTAAATGATTCAAATTTTATAGAAAATACATAATTAAGTTACTTAAAATGTTAGTACTGGCAAGAAACCAACTTTAAAAGTAATAAAACCTACTCATAATAAATAAAAAGAAAGAAGAAATAATACACACTTTGCAATTAAAACGTTTATTGATCTGAATTATTCACCTGCTCCCATTTTACATAATCCATTTTTATAAAAAAAATACTGATAAATTAGCTCCTTTAACTACTGCTCCTGATATTTAGGTACAATATTATTTCATTTCACATGCCGACTTATATTTGTACACATACACAATCACAAACGCCGCATGTAAATAGTCAGATTCAATACAAAAAATTAAGAACCGCATATTCAATTCAAGTGGAATTCTTGTAAAGTTAAAACTTCTATTTTCTAATTTGTAGTGTACTTTATATGTAAATTTCTTTTCTCACAATTGCACACACTTGTAAATATAAATCTTTTGTCATCTACATAATATGTTTCTCCATGCTTAAATCATTTGTCCCTAGTTGAATGAAAACACGGCATTTTATATGTCCAACTGCATTGAGCATGGTTTCCTAAACTAACGTTGAGTACATAAAAAATTGTACTTTAAAAACTTTACTAACTTTTAAACTTTCGCGTTCCATGATAATTAATATTATTTTAACGGGAGTTAACGCGATCTCTTATTTGTGTGTCAGCCTGTGACCACGGCCGGTGCAACCTGGTCGAAACGTCAGGGAAACTAGAGGTATGTAATACCCTAAATAAGAGATCGCGTCAATTCCCGTTAAAATAATATTTAAAAACTTTATTTTTATATTGTCCGAAATTATCGTGATATCCTATTCTATTGTATAGGATTATTTGTAATCAATATTATGATTTAATGATATATCAATTAAGTAGTCATAAATACACACTTATTTTTTCGATTGACAAGAATAATATAAATGCAACATATTTAAGTCAGTTAAGATAGCAGATCAATTTCAGAAGATTTGAAATTGACTTTTAAAAAAACAGTTAATAATTGACTCTTGATAAAATGATTCTATATAAGACAAAACATATATTTCGTGAAAACATATATTGTTGAATACATTGAAATAAGAATTAATTTTGTGTTTGTAGAATATATGATGGAAAAAAATGCATAGAAATATTTCAAATATACTATGATAAGATCAAACTAGCCTGTATCTATAATAATAACCCAACTTCGAGGCTATTTTTAAAACCTTAGACATTTATTTTCCTATTTAATGTACTGACATACTACCTTTTATGAGATTTAGCTTTTGAGTTTTTATCTGTAGTTATAGCTTTCGCTGTCTGTCTCCTAGTTTTTGGCGGGAACATATATCGGACTTCTTCATCATCCTTCGCCTCGTTGGTTAGGCTTGTGTTCAGCTTGGTGCGTCTAGTCTGAACAGTTTTGGTATCATTGTTCAAAGATTCTGTTAGAAATAATACGGTAGTTAAACCCAACACCATATAAACATAATCTTCAGATAATAACAGGTGATCTCAGTAACATTTTTATTTAGAATATAAAGAATAGGGTAGTTGCTTGCAACTTGCTTTGAGAGTGTATTAATTTTTGTAGTCAACAATTAAAACTAATAACAATATTTTTTGTTAGTGTATAGTTAATTTCAAAAGGACAAAATTGCTAGTCTGTGTGAGTCAGGTTACCGGCAACCCCCTCGCCCCCGTCCTGACCAATGGGCTGGAGTGACACTCAACACACTTGTCTTTAGAATTGTAAATATCCGTGGGAGCCGGTTATCACTTACTATCTATCAGGTAAGCTGACTACTCATTTGCACCCAAAAAAAGTAATAGAACAAATAACCTACCATTTAAAGTTTTCCGCGGCGTTCGAAGCTGTTTTTTTGATGAATCACTTGTGTCAACGTTTACAGTTTCTTCTGTGACCTTGTCATTTGTCGCATTGATTTCAGGTTTATCCAAGTCAGATATTTCAGATGTTTTAATTATTTTTGCAGGGCTTTGGGAAACTGATGATTGCGATGATTTCCTAGGTCTGCCTACTTTTCTGTAAAAATAAAAATTATACATACGTTATGTGTGCTGTTTCTGCTTCTTTAATAAAAAAACACACAAATATACGATTAAAGACTTTACTAACTGGGCTTTATATTAATAAACTAAAGAGAGAGAGGATAAGGATAAAGGAAAGAACACAGAAATATAATTATACATTTCTGTGTTCTTTCCTCGACATAAAAAAAGTGACAAACCTAAGCATTGGTTTTTCTTTTAATTTAAGCACTTGACATTTACCAACACAAAGTTAACTGATGGATAAGGCGGCGATGGTGCACAACCTACTAGTACTGTTCTCAATACAACACGTATTGGCAGGATTGGTATTGGTTGTGGGCCTCGGTTTCCGCATTTAGACTCAAGAGTGGTCCTTTATACGTCGAAGACTCGTTAGCTAGGTGAGCCAACCAAGCTCCTTCCAGAAGCGCAGAAGCCTCCTGGGGCATTCCCATGCTTCTAGACATCCCCTGCACAGAGGGCTGTCCGTCTCATTGATGATGAATAGTTGTCGGTTCAGGGCTAGGTGTCCTGTTATAGTTCCCACAACTATTCGGATTTCCAGTCTGCCAAGACTGATCAATCTGCAGGTAAGTCGTGGTGTGACTTGAGTCAGCACCAGTTTGGACTGTCTGCAGCAGGGTGAGTTTTTCATCTCTGGTTATGTACTTCAGGAGTCCATTGCCTGGCGTTGATTGCACTAAAGTCTGTTTTTTAATCTCGTAGACTAAACTGACATTACGAGTGTTGTCAGTTTATTGCAATTCTTAAATAGTGATGTGGCACAACCGAAACTTAGCGTTAATAAAATAAAGTATCGTTTTTTTACAATAAGCTATCCTGAAATAATGTGTAGGTACTTATTTAAACCATAATAATACAAAATTAATAATGTAAAACATATATTTTTAATTACATAACTTAATTACAGGTATTCACGTTAATCTGATTCAGATAATGACTCCATGTCTGAGGAATATTCTGAATCATCAGAATCGCCACCTACTTTTATGATAAACGTATCAGTAATGTCGTCGGTTATATGGCCCAGATGACACATTTGATCTTCAATTTTAATTACATGGACTACACAGTCTTTCCACCGCTGCGGGGTCATTTGACGAAGCCCTTCTTCAAAAAGGCTTCGTACTTCATTCATTTTTAATGTTTTATTATTTGTAGCGACATGCCCCTTTACTTGAGCCCAGACCAACTCAATCGGGTTTAGCTCGCAGTGGTAAGGGGGCAGTCGCAAAATAGTGACACCCCGTTCAGCAGCCATTTCGTCGATGACATACCTTTCATGGGCTTTTTTTTGCTTTCGGGCAATTTCATTTAATTCGGGCTTTAACATTGTCTCGTCATATGAAATATTTTTGATTTTAGCCAATCTTGGATTTGCACTTTTCGCCAACTAGAAGTACGTAACGATTCCAGTTTCCTGGTGTGACATGGAGCATTATCTATTACAAGTACTGTTTCCTTTTAATTTCGGAAAAATATTTTTTAACCAGTTTTCGTATATATATCAGAAGTCATCTCCTTGTGGTAATCATCTAGCCCATTTTTGCTTCGAATATTAATAGACCATCATCCACGAAACCCTCTTCGCTTCCAACATGGGACACTACAAGTCGTCTCCCCTTGCCTGAAGGCCCTTTTAACCCAGTGAAATCGTCCAATTTGTTTTTGAAATCTATTTTTTTTTTACAAACGTAACTTAACAAACCGACAAAACTTAACAAAAAACAAACAAACAGAAACAAACTCAACGAAAATATAACAAATAGCACTTGAAATTGTATCAAGACACAACGGACGCATTTGAACACTTCAGAGGTTGAAGGACGAATAAGGTAAACAAAATGGCGTCCAGTGTTGTTCCTGTGAAATTTAGGGTTGCCGTATTCAAAATCTAACTTTTTAAAACTACCATATTATCATAATTATTTTAAAAATTGCAGTTGTTCGTATGGTGTCAAGTTCCATAATTGCCGTATTTTTTAAGTTGTGCCGTTTCTTAAGAGAAAAGGGTTAAGATTGCCGTTTTAACGCGTACGGGAACAACACTGATGGCGTCTATATATATTTTTTTTTTAATTTAAAGGCATCGAAACATGGTCGGATTACGCATGGCGTTGCGTGGTCAGATTTCCCTGGCAGTTTGTAGCACGTCGTGCAGCCGTGTGTACGTACGTGAATTTTAAATATAAAACTTTGAATGAAAATTAAATTCGTCTATTATAAATAAAAAGTTACGATTCAACAAACCGGTATCGTAGGTACAACACTGCACAAACGAGCTGGCAACATTATTTGTAAATTTGACATTTGCATGTGTCAATTTAGTCTACGAGATTAAAAAACAGACCGTAGACTAGAATAGTAGGTGCTCCTTGGGGGAGGCCTTCCTTCAGCAGTAGACGCTGATAGGCCGATGATGATTATATTAAGCCATAGGTTTTGTAGAAAAGGTAATAAGTAGAAGTAATAATATGTAATGTACCTTTTTGTAACATTGTTTTCTTGTCCGTTAGGTTCATCTTTCTCGTTTTTATCCCTCTCTTCAATTTCTTTGAAAATTTCACTTTCTATTTTATTCACTGTTTCATGAACATCTGTAAAACCAACACAATCAGGTTAGAATAGGCAATGCTAAAGTGTGAAGTAACAAAAAAAGTCACACTGTCAGCCATAACTTAATTAATGGCGGAGTGGCGTCTTCAGTATAAGGTGTAAGTGACGTGTTTTCATGATTTAGAACATATGCTGTACCAAGAAGCATACTAAAGAGCCTGTGTTTATCCGTTCACTCTACTATATAAGGGGATGGATGACTACATATAATTGATACATTATGTCTCAGTAAGCCTTATTTCTGTAACAAGCCAAAGCATCCAACATATAAAGTAGAATTATGTTTACACAAATTAAAGTTAGTATTTAAGGTATCGTACGTTTATACCCAATTATTATGTATTTCGTAAATATTTCGGAAAGGGTCTAAATTATTGAGTTTTATAAAATAAAAAAATAAACTCTTAGGATAGAAGAACATGTCATCGTAAATTAATATTATAGATATATAATAGCAGAATACCTAAATCAACAACACCTGGCTCTTGAACTGCTGTTATGACTACTGGCGTTGATATTCCACTTGGTACTGAGCTTGGGGGTTCTACAACACTCTTAGACCGGCTAGAACTGATAGGTTGTGGTTCCTTATGAAATATATGCACCACATGTTCCAGAACATTATGGATTTGGGGCCAGTTACCTTCTAAATGTATTTCCTGTAATAAACAGAATAGATAGCTCGTTAATTGTGGGCAAACAAAAATGTATGGTTAAGGTATAGGTAAGAGGAAAAAAGGACTTTTCATACAACATTACTAAAGTTTTATATACCGTGATCTTTGTAAATTTATTTAAGTGTTTTTAACATGCTTATATTAGCTGAACATGTAACAATAAATTTTGACAATTGTGTCTAGATGAAATTTTTTATAGTATTTAGTTCGAATGACAATACTACAAAAGCATTTTGGAGTTGAATTCATGGAGTCCGAAGGGGATGGTGGTTCTTTTTTTAAATTAAGGAACTTTTTTAAATTTAAAATTTTTAGTTTTTCTCATAATAATGTATTGCTTGTTTACCTCATACATACTGTTAAATTAACATCCACCAAGTAATTAAAGTATAATACAATTTTATTCGAACGTAATGTAATGACTTTTTGACAATGACTATATGAATGTTACCACATTTTGGGTGAACTGCCAAGTATTTGTACAATATTGTTTCTTTTTAATTTCTTAGCTTTTTTTTAATTAGCGACCCGCCCCGGCTTCGTACGGGTGCAATGTAGATACAATAGGGAATATGCATGTATTTTTTTTATTTTTTTAAACAATTCTACTAGTTATTACATTACTAAAAATAAATATAACACATCCGAAATATAAACCGTTAGGCAAAAATAATAATATTAAAATCACTATCATTTTGAGGCAATTTGAACACGTCCATTTTGGCGCGCTTTTTTTGTGACGTCAGATTACACTTTCAGACAAATTCGATGTCAACAACGGAGTGAAGTTCACAAAGTTTGTGAAAGTTAAAAAAGTGAGTGATAAAAATTAACTTATTACCATGGCAAAGCCAATAAAAACTTATTATAAATATTGTGCCGTTCCAATGTGCCCAAATAATATCAAACTGCACCTGACAAAGTATATTCAGTCATCGTGTTGAGTCTTTCTACACGGGAATTTAATAATTTAACACTGAAAACGTATTAGTTATTAACTTAAAATGAAACAAATAATCACCAGAAACCAAATATTACAAATACACACAACTTGTTGACACTCTTGACAGTGTAGGTTGACGTCACGTTTTATTCAACCAATAGCGTTGCGTTTTAGAAATTTGCGAGGGAATCTTAAAAAAGCCAATTTTTGATGATTAAATTTCACTATTAAATTATAATAAACTTCAAAAATAATTGTATGGGTATCTTTTTTTAGCAATGAAAATTACAAATAAAAATATTTTGTCCATTTTGGTGTCACGTGCATATTCCCTATTGTCTTGCCAGTGTCGAGTTATTGGAACTAAGTTATAAGCGCGTTAAACGCTCTGAGCGGATGGAAGCGAGACCGAAAAATGTGTAACAAGCTTTTTGACGACACTTCGTGTCTTCGAGACACTGCGGGTAGCAAACTTCTACCAGAACTTCGTTCCGACCGCGGGTCCATAGACCTCTCACGCCGTTTTTGAATATTATTATTATACTACAGAATATCTTTACCTATCGCTGGGTTTTCATGAGACAATACAAATATGTTTTCTTTAGATATTCACTCTATTGATGAAAACAGCAATAAAATCCTTTGCGTACTTTGGAAGATCTAAGGTGGCGGGAAGCGACTTATTTTATACTATGTAAAGATAAAGATCACAATTCACAATCACAATAATTTTATTTAAATAAAAGGTAATATAAAAGGGTGGTATCCAAAGGCACGATACACATTTGGCCAATACATTTGGTATGAAGACATAAGTTTGTAGTACCATATTTCGTAAAAATAGTTTTCGACTAGGTACAGGGAGTCGATTCCTAGTATTTGAATAGAAAGAGAAATTCGATTATGTACATACCTCATCGTTTTTAGTCGTAAATTTAATTTTAATGTTCTCCGAAGAAGCTGGTACTGGTTCGAGTTTCTTTTCATTATTCTTCGGTATACATACTTCTTTACCTACAACAAATAATAAAAATATGTAAGTTATATACTTGTTTTATTATATATATGCACTAGCGGACCCGACAGACGTTGTCCTGTCAAATTTGACACTGCGATGGTAGCGCCGTCTGTCTGATCCAATGTAAAACATTCCAAAATCAACAACTACTAATAAATTAAAAATTAATTAAAAAAACATTGTCCAGCGGACAAAATTGTGAATCTAAACCATTCCCAGATCCCCTTGAACACACACAAAAAATTTCATCAAAATCGGTCCAGTCGTTTGAGAGAAGTTCAGTGACATACACACTCACAGAAGAATTATATATATAAAGATATACTTGTAAACACTCACCAGTTTCATTCGTATTTCCTTGTGCATGGCTATGACTGCATGTAGAATTTCTAAAATAAACAAACATTCGTATTTTAATATTATTTTTAAATAAGAAATAGCTCATGCAACATACTTGACTTTTTACACGCTTTTACAACGCTAGAAGGACACTTATGTTTTTCTAGAAATAACCGCTTGTAAGCGAATTAAAGCGCTTTGTAAGCGTCTAAACGGCTTCATTGAAATATGCTCAAAATTAAAATCGCCGGTTTGTGAATTTTAAATTCAAGATTTTAAAAGATGTTAGTTTATTCCTATGAAACAGGAGAGTTCTAAACAGATTCGGCAAATAATTTTATATATATGGTAATACAAACCTCAATGCGATAGGATGTGCAGAGGGAGAGGTCGATCTTCTTGATTTTGGTTCTTTTGCTTTCTGTAATAACCTGTTAAAGTATTTTACATACGTAAGAAAATGCAAATCTGAAGGCGAATATACTAACTTATAGAGACAAGGCGGGGTGCTAAAAGTCTAGGCATCAATATTTTTCTTACTATTATAAAAGTTATGACACTTTTTATTTATATACTTTCAGTATTATGTTCTTCTAAACAAATCCAGTCAAGTCAAAGTTTATTAATATAGGCCTCTATGTTTAGACGTTTCATTTGTTACTCTAGATTTTGCCTATTAATTAACCATCACAGGATATACTCCAACAGTTGACAAACTCTTAAACTAATATAACACTTACCTTTTCAATTCTTCGGCCTTCTTCTTTTCTTCCTCGTATTTCAATTTCCAATAGCTGTGCTCATCTTCTGAATCAGCTAGAAATTAAATTTAAAGTTCTTAATAAATTTATCTATCTATCTAATATATCTAATCTGAATCTCGGAAACGGCTCCAACCATTTTCATTAAATTTAGTATGCAGGGAGTTACGGTGGCTATTAATCGATCCAGCTAGGTTTAATTTTAGAAAATTTACCAAAAAAATACCGAGCAAAGCTTCCAGGTACTTATTATATTATACACGGTATTTCACGATACAAATTGTATGGAATTCTTTATGTATATACAAGCCGTAATTTAACGACAAACAAGTGCCTCTGTACATTAATTTTAAAAAAATACTTACATTCAGGTAAATACGTGAGATAATTCTTAACCAATTTGCCATCTTTGACCAGAGGGTAAATTTTCTTGCCGTACATAACAAACAAGCCTCCTTCCTCTTCCAATGAAAGAATTCTGCCAGATTGTGGTTTCCTAAACATTTTTTTAAAATTAAATTGCATTAACTTATTACTTGGTAACATACCTGGTCACATAATACCTAGTCATTATTAGTCCTAATAGAGGTGTTGATAAGACTATCAGACACATACGTTTATTGTTTCATACTACTATAAATGATACAGAAAACAATAAGCATCAATTATACAAAAGAAAAAGCAATTACTAGGGATTATTTCTGTATTGTAAGTATTCCAATCTACCATGCCAGTAACTTATCTTTACCATCAACGTTACCATAAAATTTTGAAACGATCTATAGGTTTTTTTACTTTTGATCATTTTTGGTATTGACTAATTGTTCTGGAAATTAATAATATGACTTACAAATATTTTTTTGTTTGTCTGTTCTTTCTGCTGCGCGGAGGCGACACATAAGCTTCGCTCTCCAAGTCGGATGTCCACTCGCTTGAATCAGTTCTACCATTGTTACTATATAAAGAAATTAAAAATTAAATAATTAGAAATTTTTTTTTAGCATAGCATAGCATTCCAAAGAACAATATTTAATAAATTAAACATCTTTATTATCATTAGTTTAATGACTATTTTTTTGGTGAAGAAGTCTCAAGAAACTCAGTCAGACTTTTTTCATTTTTATTATTGTTGTTACAATCAAGGAAAGGCAACGACAATTCATGTCACTGCCAAGCAGCATGTCCTAAAAAACTTGTTAATCCTATAGAAGTTTATTAAAGTAGTTTATTAAACCATTTAAATGTTATTACAAACAAGGCATGCACCTTACTAAGCAGTGTTATATATGCATATACAGTAACCTGCCAATGAGATACTTATTTTATGGTGTTTGGGCATAGCAGGGTCTTCCTTATTTCGTAGCTTTAAGTTATGATGGTCACTATTCTAATTTTTTTGTTTATTCTTATTGAGTATGAAGTAAATTCTCAAATATATATTGTGAATAGAACACCTTTTGTATAGAGTTTACAACTACATCAGTATCAATGACGTGTTACCTTCGTAATAAATTAAATACCAGAAGTCGCAAAAGAAGGGAAAGAAATATCTTTATATAGCTGATGAATACGAGCGTAGATTATCTTTGGGGATTAAACATTTTCAAAGTTCCCTCGAAAAACTTTTGTAGTAAGAATTTTTCCTTCTCAAACAAAGACCTCTTCTGTTATGCTGCTAACGAATGTTAAGGAACATTTTTTGTTATTATTATATAAGTGTTTATACATACTGCAACACATTATTTTGCGATATTGTCCTCCTACGGCGAGTCAACTGCCTTTGCTGTTTTGAATTTGCTGCACCTATGGACAAAATATATAGTAAAATCATTAACTGGATATATTTTATTATGCAATAAATATATTCTATGAGCATGTTTTATTTGAGCCAGTGTCTTAATATTAATTCATTATTATAGTTAGTAATTACATGCATTATTGCATTAATAAAACACTTATGAAAAAGTTTATGAAAATAAAAAATTAGTACATAATTCATAACATTATTGTGGATACTCTCAACAATTTGATGGTTAGTTTAGCTAGGTGGCAAAAGCGAGATGAAAGAGCTAAGCACAAAGAGCGTTACAAAAACAGTTCACATTATTTTACATCTCTTAGAACCTGGCTTAATGTTACAGTTTTGCTACCTTTATACTTTTTTGTAGCAAGATCAAATATAATTTCAATGTTCATGAATTATTTTTTTACTTAATTATTATGATTACACCTTTAAATTATTAGAACCTGTTAATAAAATAACTATTGTAAGTATGTGTAAATAATATGATTTTTTTAAATTTAACATGCCATTCCATTGAACTTTAAATCACCTTGGTGACCATTACCCAATGAAATATTTCATGCAATTTTAACAATGCATATGGCCTATATATAACTCACCACTGGAAAATCCAAATACATTTGCTAAAGCTCTATCTCTCTCTGTCTTTGATGACATCACTGCAGGTCTATGTTTCTTTTTTGATGAAGTTGGAAGTTCAGTATCAGACTCTGAATGTGATTTGAGCACCACTACCGCTCTTTTATTTTGCTTCTCTGTTACTTTATTATCTTCAGTTTTATCTTTGTTTACTTTTGTTTTCTTCTTAATTGACTCACCTTCAGATTCAGATGTGTTATACTTTGTTTTATTAAACTGTTCATCAAATAAACTCACATTTTGCAAACAAGGATTTTTGATTTCAGAAGATTCATTTATATTAGGGCTTTGATCAGCATCTGATATAATGAGTACTTGGTCTGTATTATTGTTTTTACTGGTTGAAGGTTTTTCTATAGTATCTAATGAAACGGGATCTTTTTTGTTCTGATTTGTCTTATCTGTTTTTTTGGGTATGTTAGCTATTTCTATGGATTTATCATTTGGATGATTATATATAGGTTTTAGTTCACTAATTGTTTCTATTTTTCCCTTACCTTCTGTTTCTGAAGTAGCTTTAGGTTGCTTTCTGTTCAACCTTGTTTTCTTATTATTTGTAATTTTTTCTGTGTCTTCAGAATTTGATCGTTTCCTTGTTCCTTTAATATTGGTATTGTTTGCTTTAGTGTGTAGTTTTGTGTCATTTTTGTTTGCTAATACTTTCTTTAGTGCTTCAGGGTTATTAGGAAGTGAAGCATCTGTTGTGCTATTAGAATTGTTTAAACCATCAGAAGGGTGTATAATTTCAGAGTTTGAATCATGCACTACTACAACATCTGTATTTTCAGAATCATTGGCTAATGATATAGCATTGTCCACCAATTGACTCTTGGTAGTTTTATGATTTTCACTTTCAAATTGATTTTCTTCAATAACTGATTTAACAGCCTCTTGAACTGAGTTATCTGGGGAATCATCTGCTAATTTAAGATGTTTTTTATCTGATGTAGATTCTTGAATATTTTTGTTGCTATCATCTTTTGACTCATTTACTTCAACTTTAGAATCTGTTCTTTTATCTATTGTTGAATCTGTAGCCTTCTTTGAAATATTATTATCACCATTATCTGTGTTATCATGCTCTTTCATAGGTTCTGAGGTTTCTTTAGTTATATTATCTGAATCTGGCACAGTGTGAATTGTTTCAACTTGGTTTTCTCTGTCTGATGTCTCAGGCTCATTCTCTGGTTCTGATTGAAATTCATCCAATACTTCTTGCAGCATTGGCGTTAATGGCTCAGAATAAGTAATGCAATCTCTGAGTGACTTTGTTTCTTTGTCACCACCTGGGGACTCCAAATCCTTTTGAATATCTTCTGCGGTTTCATAACACGTATCAACAATGACAGTATCTGCCGAAGATCTGTTTTGTGAAGGGATCTTTGAACATTTTATATTCTCACCTGCCATAATCTCCTCTTTAATTCCATAGTCATTATCGGTCTGTGGTGTATCATTTTCAGTTTGATCTGAAGTACAAAAATCTGTTTATTTTTAATCTGTAATTAATCTAAACTTTACTCAAGTTCAATAATAATTTAACATACCATTTGACTCATCACTTACAGTGTGGATTTCAAGTTTATTTTTATTTTTATCACTTACGTCATACCTGAAAGAAAGGAAATTTGTTAAATTTATTATAAATTGGATATGAAGAACAACAAGATGCTGTTTAAGATAAAGGTATACCTTTTTTTTTTTTTTAACGTGTGGAAAAGGTATACCTACCCTAACCAATACTACTGCGGCCCATAAACGCCTGCAACTCAGGAGCCACAAAAGCATTACTAGCCTTTGGTGGTGATATTTTTGTTTAAAAAAACAGTAATTAATGTACTCAAAACTTTTGGATAACAACAACAACTGTGTACAAAAGACTCATAGCAATGACTAAATTGGATCATTCAATCCTCATTCAAAGACAAAAACAGTGAGAGTACATAATTATACAGCATAAGAAAGTATTGTTTTTTTACTTCTCGGCTACTTGTTTATGTCTGTTACAGTACCAGTATTAATTAAGGAAATATAAATGCTTTTATAAAATATGATATGATTTTTTAATAAAAGGTTTTAATTGGAACTTCTGGTTATCAAGAAAAATATTTAAAATTAAAACCACCAATAAGGAGAAAGATTCACATAATTAGGTTTATCTGAATATGCAAAATATTTTTAATACAAATAATAAGCTTGGCTTAGCACATTGAGGTTATGTATAATATAATAGCGGTCAAAGGAAATGTTACATTTACAGAAATAAATTAATTCAGTTGATAATGTTTATTTGACGACTGGATGGCGTAGTGGTTTGTGTAACGGACTGCTATTCCAAAGGTCGCGGGTTCGATTCTCGCTCAAGTCAAACATTTGTGTGCATGAACATTTGATGTTTGATTTGGTCTGGGTGTTTTCTATGTATAATATGTATGTATTTACAAAAAAAAAAAAAGTATATATGTATTTATGTCAGTTGTCTAGTACCCATAATACAAGCTCTGCTTAGTTTGGGACTAGATGGCGTTGTGTGTATGTGGTAGAATATTATTATTATTATTATTATTTTTATGAAATTATATATTACAAAGTACAGGCTATGCCTAGTTTGTGATCAGACTGCAATGTGTGAGATGTGTGAAGTTATTAATACTAGGTAAATATACAGATTCTACATCCATTATTAATCTTTTTAATTATTATTAAAAAAAAACCATAAATAGATTGTGAGATTTTGAAAATTGGTTCTAATAGAGAAGTCATGTTCTCTTACTTACCCAGCTCGGAAACTATTGATTTGCTCAGTTGAAAGGCTGTAGTAAGGATTGTGTATATCAGGAAGAATGCGCTTCAAAAAAGTTTCTTTCAGACTTTGCCAGGTTCTGGTAGTGAGCTAAAATGAAAGTTTAATATATTCTGTGTATTGAATTAAGAATTGTTACAAATAACCGTGAAACTAATTATGTAAAATGTCTAGTGTTGGCTATTTCATTGTTTATTACCTGGGTGTTTGCAAAATTCATCCACATCTTTCTACCTCGGATTTCACCGTAAAGTTTGTTCTCTGTTAGATATTCCACTATTGTTTTCATCTCCCTAATACCATACGATTTACTGAAAGAAATAGATTTATACAATGCAGGCAAGTATGTAAGTAGCTTGGCATTAACTAACGACCCCGTGTAAATAATTTAATATTGCTATCACATATCAATCATGTTTTACTTACCCGGACATTATGTTGGTTTAGGTATATTCGCAACCTAATATATTCACTTATTCACGTTTTACCGCTGGGTCGTAGATCTGTTACTGAATACTGACTACTGAGTATATAGGTATATTTTGTTCGCGTCAGCTCATTTTTAGCGTTGCAGAAGGCCGCAATTTAGATACAGTACTATACGCAAAATAATTCTTGAAAAGTATGTTGTTCAAACACTAAAATAGAAATTTCTACAAAATAACCTGAATCTCCGGCGAATTTAGTAATCGACAATTGTAATCGACGAAATAAACATTAACTACCTCCATCCAATCCAAGCACTTCTAAAGTTCCAATACAAGCTGTGGAATGTTACTATAGCTAAAAATTCTTAAAAGAACCTTAGTAACTCTGTAGTACATAACTACATAGTGTTTAATAATTGTATGGACTGTGTGAGTGAGGATATGGCTAGGAAGGGAATTAACAGTAAAATGACAAATTATAGAATAGAATGGAAGAATGCCGATTGGCATAAGAGTAGGCAGATGATGATGACATAATTATACATCATAGTTTGCGTAAATGGTCACTTTTAGGAGTTTGGAACTATTATACTAATTTCTTCGAATTTTCTCCTCGTTTAGTCATTAACATCAAAAGGTTGATTTTAAAATAAAGCCATTTATTTTTTTTTGTTAAGTTTCGTTTTTAATATCATAGGAACCATATCTCAAAAATGACTTTATTCATGTATTATATCCAAAAGTTTTTGAAAACTAGTTACGATTACCAAAAAAAGCCAAATGCAGCAATGGGACAAAACACCTTACCTCTTTTTCTCTTTTCTTATTGTGAAAGATGAACAGTTCAAAAAGAGTATGGACTAATTATGAACTTGCCTTAATCCGTAATGCCATAAATCTGTAAATAATGTCGCTTAACAGTAGGTTCTTTATTTTTCCAGAAACATACAATATTATTTCGTTACTTTTTTGAAATTTATAGCACAAGTACTTGATAACTATATGAACATATCAAAGAATTTGATGATAACGTAAAAAATCGTGACTCCATCCACGTTTTAAATTAAAGATTCTTTTTAAGATTTCCCAAAAATTAGCTACGAAATTGATTTTGAGTTTAATGCTACAATTGTGAAAATCAAATATTTTGATTTTCATAGGAGAGCCATGTTTGGCACACATGGGCCTGCTTGACCAGAGTGATACCACGGCCTCATAGAAAACCAGTCTGAAGCAATTGTTCATTGCTTTTTACCAAATGATTGAGGTTACCCGAGTCGAAAACCGAGGGGGATTGCTTGCTTTCTGGAAAAAGCGACACAAAGGGCGGTAACTCACTTGTGACACTTGAGTTACTCTCCTCTAGATGTCATATGGCAGCGGTTGTCCCTTTTCATCAGGAGATCCGTCCCCCTACACCTTTTTTTTTAACCAGGAATGATCAAAGAAAAGATAAAACATCACTAGGTTGGTAACTCGAATTATTAGTAACTTTGTTAGAGGAGAGTAACTACATATAGGCTGTCATTTTGTTTTTGGATCAGAAATAAAAAACTATTTAAAAACGAACTTTTATTAATAAAATATAAATTAGTCACATATTTTTAGCTAACACAGTACAAACAGTTAAACAGTCTTTTATATTTGTTAATAAACTATATTTTCCAAATTGTGCAATAAACGAAATTGTAAAATATGCACTAAATATGAACTAGATACTCAAATATGGGCTTTTAATATGGACATGAGGATATTTTAAGAAAATTACAATCATAAAAGGCGTATTTAAGAAGAGATCACAGAACAATGATTTTAGTTGCAAAAATCGCATATCCAGGTGTCAAACTCTGTCCCAGCCCAATCATTAAGTGCTCGAAGCTCACACATGAAGCATCGAACCCAGAGTTCTCCCATTGTGTTCCCTGAAATAAATTGTTGGCAGAATGCACATTCTGCATCTTCAGAAATAAGTGTTTCTTGGCTTATTGGGTCTGGATCAGTGTCCAAATCTAAGAGGAAATCCTTTTTACCTTCACTGACACTGATTGTGTAGTTTTTTTTTTGGCGTTTACTCCTTAAGAATAGATTTTTAAATAAGGCGCTCGGTTTGAAAAAAATATGAAGAGTAAAATTTAGTGATCGAATGACCTCGTTACACTTTTTAGTTCTAAATGTAATTTATAGATGGCAGTTCAACTATTTACTTTGAAATGATTGTAATTATATTTTTTGGGAGTTTGTTATTAGTTCTAAGATTGCAATTTGTTTCAGTTTATTGAGTAGTCTAGGTAGGTACTACAAAATTAAAATTGTTTTAAAACGAAATAAACACCACAATAAGTGGCAATTAATATGCGACTTTTAAATATTTTACCAACATTTATATAGGTGGCACTGATCAGCAAATTTGTGTGTAGTCGACATACACAGGGTATGCGTAACTCCAGTCATGCGTCTTAGCTGACACACACACACTTTTTTTTATTTCTAGTTTTTTCTGTTCTTTTGATTATATAAATATAATTTATTTTACCACATTCACACAACGCCATCTAGTCCCAAACTAAGCAGAGCTTATACTATGGGTACTAGACAACTTATTCGCCGTATTTTATATACATCTTTGAAAAAGTCTTTATAATCTAGAAGCCCACGTTTAGTATCTGTAGAGTTACCTAAAATATATAAGATTCATACAGACAAATCCTCAATGCAGATGCATGTACTTTGCCTTTCTTGTTTCTAGTTTTCCCTTCCTTTTCTATTTTCTTAATTTTTTTTCATCAGATTTTTTTCATCTTTTTCATATTAGAAATGCTTGATCGAAATAAACTAGACCTTGTACTTTAAAAATACATAACAAACAATTAATCAACACAAAATTAAACTCATCCTACAAAGATATATTGTTAAACCATTTTACCCACTAAATAGTGGGTAATTAAGAGAACATTATATTTTTACGTACCTTACGAAATTTTGTGGCAGTGGCGAAGCAACAACGTCTTACCCTTTTTTTTTTTCGGATACCACCTATCGGTGGCATGTCGGACTCGAACCGACTAAAACCGCACGGTGTCTCGGGAACTAATAGCCGGGAAACCAGGTATACCCTAGAAAGGAAGTCCCTGGTGCCCCGACATACCTCGGGCCATCTACAACAACAGGTAGACGACCCCCCCCCGTGTGGGAACCCCATGTTCCCTTTGCTCCCTGGAAGCGAGCGCGCTTCGCAACGCGCTCGGCGCCACCCCGGCCTGCTTCTGCTAGGGTTACAGATGGCCTCACCTGTCACCCCCAGGCCTGCGCTTATGGAGGACGGAGGTCATTCTGCGACCTCCGGCGCCTGAGTCGCCTGCGGTAGCAACGTCTTACCCTAGCGGCATCTCGCAACGAACGAACTGAGGAGATAGAGTGGAGTGAATAGTGATTGCGATGTTCGGGCGAATGAATGTGACAGAACTTCGGCGTTTTGTTGACTTTTTTGCGTCTTTTAATTATTTGTTTTTGAGAATTGTTACTAGCGCACATTTAGTTACTTTTCTCTTATTATTAAGAGCTAAGGAAAATATATTGAAACGTAAGAAAAATAATGTTGCAAACGAGTTTATTATTTTATTGCTAAATTACTTTTTGTAGAATAAATTTTCTTTTCTTAATTTAATCGAATTGGCAAAAAGCAAAAATGTTCGGGTATCACTAATTGACAAATGACAATCAAAATGTCAAAGTGAAAACCGAAACTGAATATAAAATAAATAACAACTGAAACTAAAATATTTATACATACAATACTGAAAACTTAAAGTATAGCATAATAATCATAGTGAGCAATCTCGTCTTAACTATCGAAATATTTATTTTAATAATTCACATGGAAAATAGTAATTACTTGTCTGTAACTGATATATTAGTCACTAATGAGAAAATACCTTGCAAGTTTTTACATGATTTGCCCAAAATGGGTAAGTATACTAGAGAGCAATGATTGTTTTGATACGCCGTATTTTATATACATCTTTGAAAAAGTCTTTTGGTACAATGGTATATCAATTTCATTCAAACTTTTATGTTAAAATATATGTACCTAGAATCTAGAACTATACTTTTTCTTGCTTTTTAGGATTTCTTGACCCTTCAGCGGCTGACAATGACTTAAAAGCCGGCACTAATGTGGAGATACCTCTATGGCTAGCAGAATCTTTATATTCTAGAAGACCACCTTTAGTATCTGTAGAATTACCTAAAATATATAAGGATTCATACAGGGAAATCCTCAATGCAGATGCATGTACTGTGGATATGCACAAACTAAATCAACATTTTTATGAACTTGGCTGTTATATAGCTAAACATGATATAAAAGGAGAAGTGGCAAATACACTGATTAATGTATGTACTCTATAGTGTTCTTATGTATTATCTGCTACTTAGAAACCTTTGAATTACTGTTATTGATTGAAATATTATCAATACATTAATTATTTACTTCTGTCCATCACAAATAGTACACTAAGTTTATAATTATACTAGCTATTGTCTACCCCTCCGCCTGTGTGTATGTTGGATATTGCAGGAAAAAGCCTATAACGTTCCTCATGAATCCAACTATCTCCATACCAAAATTTCATCTTAATCAGTTCAGCAATCATTGATTGCCCATACAAACTTCCAGCCCCCCCTTTTCACCAGCTTAAAGGATAATTTCCGAGATAAAAACTAACCTATTTCCTTTCCTGGGACTCAAACTATCTCCATTCCAAATTTCTACTAAATCTCTCTATAATCTGCTTAAAGATCTTGGATTGCAAAGAGCTTCAGTAAGCTCTTTTCTTGAAGTAATATCCAAAGCAGCATTGATAGGCTCATAACAAATATGGTTAGGTAGAGGGGGTAACACAGTGGAGGTGAGCACCACCGGTTTTCTGTGAGGCTGTGGTATCACTCTAGTCAAGCAGGCCCATATGTATGCTGAAGCATGGCTCTACCATGGTTAAAGAACCTATCTTTTACCTAACCTATTTTTGAAAAAAAAAAGTTTGTAGAACCTAGGTATCTAAATCCCAATGTCCATAGTAAGAGAGTGAAATGTATGTTTTATAAATATTTCTACTGTTTCAGACATTCCGACAAAGATTCAGAATGTTGCTCTCGGCATGTGTATCTACAGATTCCGTTGGTGCAATCCAACCATTGTCTGCAAGTGAACGACAACAGGCTGCTGATGCAGGTAGCACTGAGAAAGCACTTGCCACATGGTTACAAAGAGGAGATAGTGTACTTACGACAGCTAACATGGTGGCTAATCATCGAAAGAGGAAAAGAGCAGAGATGGAAATGTTTTAGTACTGTAGATTTGCATAAAATCACTTGGAATAAATCAATAAATGAAATGAAAGCTATTTTTCGTGAACCCTCATTTGCGAAGTCCTTCGCGCACCTCTGGCTTGAATTTTAATGTATTTAATTAGCCATAAATACAGTATTTTACTGAATATAAACGTAATAACCTAAGTTTGGTTATTATTTTGTGGTGGTATTAACACGGCCTATTTACCTATTAATGGGACTAATCCCACCCACACGCCCACCACTGTAACTCCTGTACACCAGGATCCACAGCAGTGACCCACGAACACACCGAGTTATGACACTCGGGAAGTCCCATGAAGAAATTAAACTGTCTTGGAACCCGCAACGAAATTAATCAGAAGAAAATTGGAGGAGTTGGAAATACAGTAAATCCACTTCCCTCCTTAGCAAAGCGGGAGACAAAATGAAGTAAAATAGGCACCCTTTTAAACAGGGAAGCACCACGGCCACAAAATATTACGGGTCCTACATGAGCTATATTTGATTTCTATAATATGTATGGCAGAATCGCCTAAACGCACGGAAATTCACCCTAGTTGACACAAGATCCCCATAGTATACCGCTCCAGATGTCACCTGCAAGCTATTCAGCATTATATTACGTTCATTATACCAAAGACTACATTCCCAGAGGATATGATGAGCAGATTGTTCATAATGAGAGTTAGGTGTTGAGCATTGACACAATGGTGACTCGACTAATTTAAATGAATACAACTTGCTCTTAAAGTTACCATGACCCGTAAGAAATTGAGCGACACAGTGATCCACCTCAAGCCATGTCCTCGACAACCGTTCGCGAACAGATGGAAAAAATTGGTAAAGATGGCGTCCCTTGGATGATTCGTCCCAGCGTTGCTGCCATTCGTCTATTAGTCCAAGATGACGTCACGTATATTCTGACAAACGGAATGTGTACGATTGAGTAGTGTTAGTCTGTACCTGTACTACGATCGCATGCCTGCCTGCTAGCTTGGTCAGACGGCCAATTACCAGGTATCAGGTAATCAAAGTGCATAAAAACATTACTTACCTCGGGGAAATTCTCCAAGATGATTTTTACGTATACCTATTTTAGACAATATCATTAAAAATAAGTCGTCAATACTCCCAGACACTTACACAGCTCTCAAAATAATTACTTAACTTCACGTAAATTCTGACGCTCCATTTTTATATATATTCGCCAGACAACGAAGACAGACCGATCCAAGGGGCCAATCATCCCCTAAACTCAATTTTAATGCCTCTGTGGGTAGGAGCACGAGTGCATAATCCACGCGCATGAGAGTAAGGGCGACATGTATTAGCATATATTGACCTCTCTTTCTCTTACAGTTTACTCATTTCAATTAATTATTAATTGTTAAAAAAATAACTAATAACTCTTGTCTTTCGCGGCTTAACCGCTAATCCGATTTTTATTAAATTTGGAATAGAGATACTTTGTTTCTTAAAGAAGGACATAGGCTTTTTGCCGCAATAACCGACATACACGCGCAGGCGGAGTCACAGGAAAAAGCTAGGAATAAAAATAAACTAGAACATCTTTATCGTTAGAGATCTCAAAAAACATTCGATTCGATTTTCGTACGAGTCGAGTAGCAAACTTGTAGACGACCTAGGGCTCGAATTTCAGTCGCGTAGATTGTTAACATCACAATTATTAACAATGGGACAAACGCCCGATAAATTCTTAATATGAAATTGACTTCTGAACAGTGATTAGACATGACACTATTCTAATACCTAAAAGAAAAAAGAATTGTACTAGTTACTGTGTCGTCTCATAGAAATTGGATCATGATTCTATTATTATACTGATCGAAAATGAGGTTTCACGTTTGAATGTCATTCTATAAATACAGTATGAAAGTTGTAGAACACCTGCATTAATGATAGGTATCAATATTTTTAGGGATGCATCTCGTGACTGACTATATTATCGGACTTAATGCCATGGGTATTCTCTACCAGCCAACCTTTAGGTGGTGTAGAAATCTTATATAGACTAGTAGGTTTATACTTTAAGGTCAATCAGACACTTACAAAAGTTAATTTACGGTGAATAGAATATACGTATACACACGACTGAAGACACAGAATATTTTTGGGAGTTTTCGATCATGAATCTAATCCATTATTTGGATCAATCAATTGCAGTCCATTGCTGAACATAGACCCCTCCCAACGTGCACTATAGCCCTCGTTGCTTCGAGTCTCGCATCCAATCTACCCCAGCTACCTTGTTCAGGTACCTAGTCAGTCACTCTGGGGCCTATCTTTCGTTTACCGATCCCATTATTATTTTACGGATAATGCATAAATGATGCATGTCCGTATTTGCTCTCTATTCTTAAAGATAGCAGATACCTAATGCTTCATTATTGCAAGGTTACTATTTTTAGCAATAAGAAAAGGTAAAATAACTGCATTTAAAGCAATACCAATAACTAGTGCTAATTTGAAAGAAAAAGTTATATTTCAAGTTACAAATTATGTAAGTAGTCTATAAAGAATATAATTGAAATATTCCCAGCGGGGTGATATAGAGATAATTAAATCGTAACATTAAGAGGTAACCTTATTTCTATTTGTATCGGAAGTGGTCGGTCTTACTCTATAAAAGCATTTGGCACACTCCTAACCAGTTCAGTTGACCCATTATTTCATGCAGTGATACCACGCGGTAGTAATATACCTACGCAGTGTACCAACTACGCTTTAAGATGGAGTTTGCTAGTGTGTGTCCAGTCAGGTGGCTACCAGATCATAATTTTGCAATGTGCATGACACCGTATGATGTATTTCAAGACATACAGTCATGTTATTATAGACCCTGGCAACGGTATAATCAAACCACATCCAAAGTATTTAGTTCTACAGTCGAAAATGAAAAAGGTAATTACAAAATAACATTAGATGTTCAATATTTCCGACCAAACGAAATTAACGTAAAAGTGGCAAATCATGAAATAATAGTCGAAGGAAAACATGAAGAGAGACAAGATATTTACGGGTTTGTTACAAGACAATTTAAAAGGCGTTATTCTTTACCGACTCACTGTCTGCCCGAAAATGTTACATCAACATTGTCTTCAGATGGTGTTTTAACTATTATTGCTGAAAAGAAATTGTCAATTAGCCAAGATGTACCAAAGATAATACCAATCGAACTTTCTGGTATATTTCCTCGTAAGACTCAGATCGAAACTAAAATCACTTCGGAACTAACGCAAAAAGCGTTGAAACAAGAAAGGAAAAAGGAGAAGGAAGAAACTAGAGAAGAACATAGTCGACTGATAAGACCGGAACTGCTGAAAGAGATTTTTTTAGAGACAAATGATACCTGTTTGAAGACAGAGACTAAACAATCTATTGACAACATGAAGGAATCTGAGAAAATGAACCAGCTTAATATTAGTAGAAATTTGAACAAAATTGAGGAGTCTGTAGGAAATTCAATCGTAGGATTGACTGCGCTAAAGGAACAGTTTGGTCAAAACAGTTCAATAATCAACACTGAAATGGAGGGCATAAAATATGCTTCAGAAATTAGTAGTATTAAAAGTGCTTCAGAGACATCGTACCCAAAAAGTCCCCCAGCGATATCTGGCATACAAAGTGATACTGATTTGTCTGACGTAGAAAGTATATTAGTGATGTGTGACAAGAAAAGCACATCAGAAGGGTCTGGCACGAAAAAAGTATCACAGGTGTCTGAGATGCAAACAGTATCCGATATATCTGAGGCGCAAACAGTACAGGAGACTTTGGGAACGAAAAGTGTATCGCAACAGTCTGATATGAAAAAACCATCAGGGATGTCTGGCATCAAAGGTGTGTTAGAGATGACGGAACTGAAAATAGGTGCGTCAGAAACCTGTGGAGTAAGAGGCATGTCTAAGACTTTGGTAGAAGAGAGTGCCTCATCATGTACATCATCCTCATCAATGTTATCAAGTATGACCGTCAGCGGAAATGCTGGAGAGTGCATAATCAGTGAAAAACTGAGGGAGGTAGCAGAAAATATTTAAAATGTTGGACTCTTGCAAATATTTATTACATACAAATTTAAAATATTTTGTTTATTATTATTACAAAGTTGAAACTTACTAAGTTTTATTTACATCACCAATTACCTACCGTTAAACTTACTTAACTGCTTATGTTTTACCATTTTACTGAAATAAAACTAGATTAATAAATTTTATCGCAGTCTTTACCGTTTCCAGACTATTTTGCGTGTGCGACTTTTAGACACAAGAAGATACCATCGTTAATAATATCAAATAAGCACAAAGAATAAATAATAAAGTGAAAATGATCATGGTAGTTTAAAATTTTAAATCAATACAAAGCACATTGAAACTACAAAAAGTGTCTTATTTCAGTTATCATATTTCAGTTATATTTTCATTGATTAATAAGTAATCAATGAAAATTTTCACTTAACAATTTATTACAATACTACAATTACAGAGAGGCAATTAGATGAGATCAATAATAATGACTTACATAAATTACAAAAAGCATTTTTTAGGTACATGACAACAAATTAATCAAAACACTATACAGGCTTTGCATAGTTCAAGGAATCAGCAGGCCTAGGCCTAGTGTGAGTTTATTTTGCATCAAGTTATGGTTGATGTAGATTTTAGTGCGGACCATTCGCAACGCCGAATGCAGTCACTGTGACGATCGAGTACCTACCTACATGTTAAATAAATTTACACTAGGCACTCAGTTGGTCATGCGTGAGGTTATTAAGTCTTAAGTTATAATTTATCCATTAACAAATGACTGTGCTAGTTTTATTTTTATCTTCGGGAAATATGTAGGTACTTACATACATTCGTATCTGTTGGAAAGAATAGTTAGTCCAAATAGCCACGCAAGTTACTGCGAGCAATACTAGTAATTTGTCCTTAAGTTTTAAGTAAGTATATCAACATCACTCAAACAATATAATTCCAACATCGAGCCTATAAATATACGTATTTAGTTACAGTCAGCATCATAAGGAGAGATACATCTTAGGTGTCCACATAGATAAGCACATCTTACAATATCATCAACATTGACGTCAAAGGAGTGAACGACTAAGTTTTCGTTTATAAAGGAACGCTGCCATGGTGACACTGAATAATTTTAGTTTTGTACACTTTTGTGAAGTGCGTAACTCACCACTAAAACACTAGTCATTTACTTTTATTATTTTTATATACTATACTTACCTATAAATATAAACGATCCCTATGTTTGTTACATAAAATCCTAACTGCTGCTTCGTATGCTGAATGTACATGTTATTGTTTAAAAATCTGATTTTGATGAAATTTGTTGTCACAAGGTTTCAACAAACATTACGTACATTCTACTTCACTGATAGTCCAGTCTCAATAAATAATATTTATACAAGTTAATCCTAAGTAAATAATAACGTTCATCACTCCAAAGTTACATAAAATAAGTCACCATAGTGTAACAAAAACAAAATAACAATATACAAGAATGTAACAATATTTACGAAAACATTATACTCACTATTCTTAAATTCAATTTAAGTTTGTTCATCACTACACTCCTGCACCTCATCAGTATTTTTATCACTTATTAGTAGTTCAGCGGTGCAGCGGTATGGATGTATTGATTGTTAACATCTGTCATTCTTCACAGAAGGATTCAAGTCGTGGAAGTAAGCGTGTGTCATTGCATCATCAGCAGGCATTCGTAAAGCAGGATTACATGTCAGCAGACGAGCCAGCAGGTCTCTTCCTCGTGCAGGAAGACGTGGAACGACTTGCGCAAGCCCTAAGCTTGGTTGATAAACTGGTAGTGGTTTGTAGTCTGGCAACTGGGTCACACCTGGCCATGTGTCCTCATTAGGTGTACCTTTAATGGGATAAAGAGAAAAGTATAAATCTGTCTACTTAACTTAATATTAAGCAGTCTGGCCAAAATACTGTTAAAACAATATTTTTTTAATGTATTTATTATTTACAGACTACACAATCTTTACAGGTTTTCGACCTAAACTAAACAATAAAAATCAAATTACACTATAAAAAATAAAACTTATCATAATATGACTATTCATAGTGTTTTTGCTAATTTCCGTTTCATATGGACAAATGTTCGTGTTCCATTGATGGTTAGGTACCTATACAGTGAAACAGCTGGTTCTGACAAAAGATCTTGCTGTCTACGTAACATTCATACTTAAAAGGCGATCTAAGCAGTAAAGGAATACATGATCTCCCAAGTCAAGGAACAAGGGCTTAGTCTAAGCTGTAGTTGAGAAACTTTTCAACTCGGCAATATCATAAAACATGCACATTATGCTGCTTCAATGACAGTTTAGTGAAATGTTAGTTAGGTATCAAAGAGCTCATGTTTTTTTACCATTAAGTATAAAAAAGCTTTAAAAACATTAGCCCAGGTGTTTCAAGAGAAGAAAAAGATAATTGGCTCGAGAATCAACACGAGACCCTCTCATATCGGCGTCAGCCGGATCACCGGAAAAGGAGCCAAAGCCTGAGTACCACCAATGCGTTGGCCGAATCGTGAACACGGCGCACCACACGCTGGTGGAACGGCTATCGTGGCTGGAGCCGAGGCGTGGTTTTGTGGCGGCTGTCGGAGTCGGAATTCTTTCGCTTGGTACCATGATTGGATCACTGGTATCAGAATAGGAAGGGAACACTATGATTCCCGCACAAGAGTGGCACGGGGTCCATTTACCACCACCTGGGTACTAGGGCTTTCTCTTTTAGGTTACACCTTGTGCGCCGAATAATGATACCCGAGATGGTGTGCGGTTTTTAGTCTGAGTATGTCCGACATAACCGCACCACCAGTCATCAGGGGTATTGAAAAAAAAGGTGTTTCAAGATATGATTCATGACATTGTTAATAATCAACAGTTCTTTTGAATGAACACACTGGGGCCATAAAGGTAAACCCACACAGGCATAGCTGGAGATGAAAGGCTACAACTAGTTTCGGTCCTAAATTATTTAATTATGACTTGTGGTCTTTTCTAGAGAGTATGCCATGCTTAAAGTGCCTTTACAGTATCATATCATGGTTTTACTGAGATAAAGAGAGATATAAAAGCTAAATGAAAGTGTAATAAACAAACTTACTTTCAAATTTGATCTATTAGCTAGGATTCGAAATTATATTATCAAACTACCAACTTCTATACACTAAAGTACCACCTCTACCTCAGCTCTACATAAAATCCTTTGACAGTTTGTCTTTCAAATACATGACATTGGCGAAATTGTAGTTACATTCTACCACAAAGCCATTAACCAGAAGTTGAAGTTGACAATCAATAAAATTTCTTTGAAAATACACAGCAGGCAAATATTGGATGCTTTTTAAATTTAAATTTTGAAATTTTCCAAAGGTCTGTCATTGTTCTTTGTTAAATCAGAAGGTTTGAAACATCTAATGCGGAGGATCGGATCCGTTGTTGGCATGGCTCATGGCAACTCTCCCGCTGATTATCAAAGTGATCCTACAAAATAATTCCTATCTTTCACATCTGCCAGACATTGGGCAACTACTCAATATTGTTATTTCTAGACCAACACAGGTAAGATTCAAGAATATACTAACCAAGTAGTTTAAAAATCCTCTTTAGTTGATCATCTACATCTGACCCAGGGAATAGTGGTCGTCCAGAGTTTGCCAACTCAGCAAATATACATCCTGCTGACCACATATCAATACTAGTAGTATACAATTTGGCTCCAAAAAGAACATCAGGTGGTCGGTACCATAATGTGACCACTTCTGCAGAGTAACATTTTACAGGAATACCAAATGCTCTAGCCAAACCAAAATCAGCTAACTTTAATTCTCCATTTTTATTTATTAATAAGTTTTGAGGCTTCAAATCTCGATGTAAAACATTATGACTATGACAGAAGGCAAGTCCGCGGAGCAGCTGATACATGAATGATTTAACAACATCCAGGTCTATTTCACCATTCAAGCTGTCGAAATATTTTTTCAAATCTTGGTCGCAATGTTCAAATACTAGGGTTAACTTCTTTTCACTGTGTAACACATCGTACAAACGAACTATATTCTTATGCTTTAATTCCTTAAGTAAACATATTTCCCGTAAAGCCGACGAAGGTACACCTTCATCGTCGTCGTCTAACCTTACACGCTTGAGTGCAACGATTTCATGAGTCTCTTTATTTTTAGCTTTGAAAACAGTTCCGTATGTCCCTTCCCCGATCTTTTCTAACTTTTCGTATTTCTGCATTATTTATTAATATCAAACAAAACAGCAATAAAAGATCGATTGTTTATTCAAGTTAATGCCTAAAATGACAGCTGATGAGCTAAAACACCAAGATTGACAGATCAAATCTAGATAGTGAAGTAAACACTATAAAATTATGGCGTGTCTTTAAATTTAGTTTATTCTATTTATTACATACGACACAAAGTATTAATTTTAAAAACTTTAAAGGTAAATTGTTTTTTTCTTGATAAAATTCTGTCAATAAAATTTTACTAAATTAGTATTTCTCTAGATGAGGCTCATTTTCCTTGGTCGTAAGATAACGCATCGAGGTGCGAACGATTTTTGTTCACGTACACCATAGGGTAGGGCGTCGGGACCACATGCGAAAATCATTTTCATTAGTCCATGGGTCACTCACACGCACGAACACAGGGTACGGCAGTTACCTAAGACTTTTGTTTAAGCATGCCATAGGGCCCGCTTGCGGTAACCGTTTTTCAATTAGTCGATATGGTTCTCATGTTTGATTGACTTCACTTGTGCACTTGCTCTCACATTTCGGTTTTTTTATAAATCACTGCGCAGCATCAATTCGAGTCTAAGAATCTAAGAATCTTATTTTTTTACTTACTTACTTTACTCCACTTACTTTACATTACACCAATCGATAATTTTTTTTGGTTACGGTCTGCGTGAGGGGAAAACATAAGTGGAGCAAGTAATCAGGGACTGCCGCCCTAGGTTAAGCAACTGAGTTAACAATCAATAAAAATGAGCCACATAACACACAACTTTTACAAATTTGAAGAATTTGTCACAATTTTTTTGTTTTGGTACTGTTTATTAGGAAATGTTATAAAACATCGCACTGCGATCCACAGCCACGGTAATGACCTTATAAAATTTTAAAAAGTGCTAGTAAATGTAGATTAGTATGGTAATGGAAACTATAACGCTTGGGAATCAACAATACACTATGTACTTAATATAAATCTAACGTATACAAAAAGAATCAGAGTCCTTCAATAAAATTGTAAAATATCTTTAATTGTAATAATGACATTTGTGAGATCGAAAGTTGATCGGAACTGAATTGAGACCGAACTTTTATTACGATAATTGGTCTTCTGTTGTATTATTATGCATTCTGTGAAAAAAGTTCTATTTTTCATTCGTTCAGTCAGTCAATTCTTAATCATTCGCTATTTTTTACAAACAAGTCAAATCCAAAAAGTTGAATTGTCATTTAAATTGCATTTTATTTTGAAAAATATTTCTTTTAAATCTTTGTTATTGAAATAAGGTGAGAAATATAGTATTTATTATTAATGACTGTTTTTTAAATAAAAAAAATAAGAATTAAGACTAGGAAGTAAGAAAACAATAATATAATTACGTATTAGAATTATCATGATCACAAATCACGAGCGCGTTTTTAGATGAGCGAGGGAGAGGGTACTTTGATTGACAAGTCTGAGAGCAGCTCGTTCGAAGACCTTGCAGCGGCGGCTGCTCATGAGATCGAAGAAGCCAAGCTAGCCGAAGCGGCTGCTGCTACTGAAAAATCGGATGAAACCAAAACTAACGAATGGCACGATGTCATCGGATCAGGAGCACTACTGAAAAAGGTATGCGGCAGCTGTGAGCTCATCAGGTCCCCACAATTCTTTGGCTTTATCTTAGAATCATTACTACCTTCTACAGTACATAATATTTTATATGTCATCAAATGTTTTATTATTTATAAAACACAATTACTAGGTGGCATGTATGTAAATGAAGCTACATGCATATAAGTGAGACTTAATTGTACATAATAAGTATGTAATCCACAGATAATCAAAGTTGGTGATGAGTCAAAGGGATTGAGAGCCCACAGAAGTGATATTTGCAGAGTTAGCTATGAGGTCAAAATTAAGGATACAGATGTTATTGTCGAGAAAAGAGACGAAGTTAAAATATACTTGGGGGATAATGAAGTAAGTGAAAATAGCTTTATACCGAAATTTGAGTACTTAGTTTAAATTAACAATAATATTACATAAATTGTAATGTAGAGAAATGGCACATGTTTTGCTTAATTTTATTATAGCCAATGAGAAGTCTTGTCTTTTGTACTTTTACTTAATATTTGAAATATCAGTTGAGAATTTTTCTTTGCAAAGAATATAGTAACAATTTAGGATTACAATTTTTTAAATTCATATTGATACAAATACATTATTTTCCTCCTCCTTTATAGTCTAAGAACTGAGTGTTCTACCAACTTATCTGGCAACAGTTGGGTGGTCCTGAATGATGTAGTTACTGTAAATACTATTAATAATACCCAAGTTTAAGGCTATTACAGTTTATGATGCCTCAAAGATTTTTTTGGTTTGTATTTTAATATTACAGGAGGATTATCACACACATTTTTATCAATGCATCAAATAATTTTGCAAAAATTTAGGGCTAAGTTTGTATTTTAGAAAAGCCAACTGCTCTATCAAAACTTATGTGTAGAACTTTTACGAATGTGGTAAATAATGACATAGTTTTTTTTTTTAATTTTGATAAATGCAATGTAATATATGAATAACATTTGCAAAATATTATTAGTTTAAATGTTATATGTTTGTGTGAGTAATCATGTAATACTTCATATTTAGTATTATGATATTAACAATATCTTATCTTCCATCTGTCTATGCCTGACAAAGTGTATTGTTCTGGATTCCTGTAACTAGTCAGACTTTAGAAAGTATTGAGATAAGGAGAGTTTATCTGTTGTTGTCTTTTTTTGTTATTGTAGACATATCATTATTATTTTTTAATAAGTAAGCAATAAAATAACAAAAGGATTAGTGTGATTGAAGTACCTTCTAGTATTCTAGGTTACAGAAATACAACTAAGAAAATATGTGATTGCTCAATACTTCAGGATCATGGAAAAAACAATCTCTTTTATTGATTTAAAGAGTCTAGATAATTGATTAAATTTATATTGACAGAGATTTAAGACCATTATCTTTTGTTATTGCTGGATTCTAGATCAAATAGGCATGAATAAAGTAATTCTTCATTTTTACAACTCTTTTTCATCAAGGAAGACAGCTTGACCAACAAATTGCAATATGGTGTTTCCAGGGTAAAGAGGAAAAGGTTCTGTACAAAGAAAGGAAATGAAACAAATATGGAATGAGAAACTAAAGTGGGAAATACTGGTATATTTAATTTTATTTAAAACTGACCATCTTTCTAGGTACTCCAAGGGTTGGACTTAGCGTTAACATTGATGTATAAAGGTGAACAATGTGTTCTACACATGTCTCCACGGTTTGGTTATGGAGACTCTGGTCTGAAGCCAGGGGAAAGCTTGGGCCAGGTTGGTGAAGTTGATAGTCCAACATATGAAGGACCAGCTATAGGACCAGATACTTGGTTAGAAGCAACAGTTGAACTCCACGACTGGGTTGAAGAACCAGAACATGAAACATTACCAATTGCTGAACGAATGGAAATAGGGTAAGTTATAAAAATATTACAATAATTTTAGGTTGAATGTGTACATCTCTTTATTACTTTTACTTTGATTTCATGATATAGGGGGCAAACGAGCAGACGGATCACCTGGTCAAAGTGACTATCGCAATGAACGTCTGCAACAAAGGAGTCACAAGCGCTTTGCCGACGTTTGAAGTAGGAGTATGCTCTCTTTTCTTGAAGGTTTTATCGATTATCCAAGTGATGAGGATGGACGTTTTGCGCGTGGAACGACGGCGGAAAGTTGCGGGCGTTATTAGTCCGATAAATTGCACGGAGCAATCCCCGTGATACAAGCGATGGAGAATGCATACCTGGCATAGTAGGCAATTCGTGTTCTCAGGCATGCCGAGATCTGCTTAGGAATGCCAACAGCGAAATGCGAACATTCGAATTCATAATGTGTCAATGATCAGTGAGGGTGTCTTTAATCAAGTGGTTGCCCGCGCGGTGGGGTGCGGCCGATTCCCAGTTTTGACTCGGTGTCACGTAGACTGCCAAAACTAGCCAAGGGTTGCTTCGGCATCCTTAAGTTTGCCTTGGCTTTCTAAGACTCCTCGACATACTTAAGGACGCCTCGGTAGACTTCTGAGGTATACCGAGGCGTCCTTGGGTATACCTTACGCTGCCGAAGACTTTCGTGATATGTCATTGTACATTGACATTCTTGACCTGTCATGACGTGCCGATTGCGGCCGCTGGGCCAAGAGGCCGCCGTACCTTTTTTTTTTTTCTTTAAGGCATGGTCGCCTTTAAGAGCGGTCATGCTCTTAGAAGGGATATGAGCCAAGGCAAATGCAGAAATTATCGCTGCCTGCAACAGGGATTTATTTCGGAAATAGAAACCTAACATCTGGAGCCGTAGCGAGGCACTCAGAGCAGTCGGAAAGGCAACAGGTTTTTGGAGATACTTGTGTGCTTTGACTTTTAATATTACGTCTATTATCTTATACGTAAATATAAGTTACGGTAATAGTATCGCAACATTTAACTAACTATACCTAAAATAGAAAAAAAAAACTTCTTCTGTTTAGTGATCAAAACAAGCTAATTTATTTAAATACTTGGGAATGTTTCGATATTTTGTATATACCCTTGAATATATTTACGTCTAATTTAATGTTTGGCGTTGATATCGGAACCTTGACATGTAAAATTAAAACATTAGCAAATGTTTGCTTTATTGTGATTACTTAATATTATTGGGGTCAGAGTATTAGCCTCTCTGATTTTTAATGCTAGGGTAACCGCGGTTTATGGCTGATAAATATGGTGAGTTTCTGTCGCTTTATTTTGTGTTTTGTTCGTACACATTTATGAACACACAAAAACTTGATGCTGTATGCCAGAAAACAAACTTTCGACGGCTTATTGTAACATAAATTGAAATACATCATAGTAGTATAATAACATCATTTAATGCATGGCATAGCGTAGCTATGTCAATTTAATCATAAAACATAAAATAAATAACTAGCTTTTGTCCTCGGCTCCACCCGCATAAATGTCGGTTATCGTGGTAAAAAGTAGCCTGAGTCTTTCTTCAAGAATCAAAGTATCTTCATATCAAATTTTAAATCGGTTCAGTGGTTTGAGCGTGTAGAGCTAACATACAGACAGACAGATACAATTTCGCATTTATAATATAAGTATGGATATGTGTGCTTGACTATATACATTTGTTTCGTTTATAAGTAAAAATATACTTTAAATATAAACGAATACTAATTATCTAGATCAAAAGTGAAATTGATATTTTTATATGGCCACCAACTTTCCGTAGTTGATGACCTTGTTCACTGTAGTGTAAATTGGGTTAGCGAGGGAGTGGTTTCCTTTAGCTCTTGGTACAATATATGAAGACATTTGACGAGAATCGGTGTTTACTATATCTATGCTGATATTATAAAGCTGAAAAGTTTGTTTGGTTGAACACTAATCTCAAACACTACTCGTTCGAATTAAGAAATTCTTTCATTGTTAGATAGCCAAATTTATGGAGGAAGTTAAACTGACTGAGAATGTTAGCCGAGCATCAATGAAAAAAGCTGCAAAAACGGGTAAAATTTATCTCTTTCGAGAGACGCAGACTAACGCGGGTCAGCTAGGTTTTAATATGACGTCTTACTCCGATTGGTGACAAGATGGTATCTCGAATAAATTGAACAATTAACTAACTTCGTGTCAATGAACTTTAAGTACTTTATCATGATTATAATAATATTGCAATTTATATCTTTCAATGTTTTATCTAAGGATGTCGGCTTCGAAACTAAAATTGCATCGATGAGTTATCATATTATACAAAAGTTTATTAGTTCCTGCCAGTATTTTTAAAGTAAGTAAAAATATTTTAGCATAACATTCTGGTCACTACTGAAGAACACGCGTTTTTAATTAGTTCATCCAGTAAGGACAGTCAGTCGGCCCTTGGCCACCGGCGAGTGTTATGCTATTCTGTATCCTTGTAGATGCGCTTACGACAAATAACCGTAATAAATAATATTGATGTTGTTTCATGAAATACATATTTGTTTAGAAAAGTTTTCTTGTGGTAATAATTGTTTAGTCTTATTGCTTTCGTCATAATACACGGCAATGGTGTGAACAATTACATGTTATCGTTTACGTAAGACTTCGTAATGTAACGAGTCATACTAATTTTATTTTGAAAAGTGACAACATTAGGTTCTGTGTGTAGTGTAGTGTGAAACTGAGTGAATTATCAGTCTTAATTTTATTGGGTTATCGGTATCAACATCCATAATGCCGTGAGTGACCTTCACAGCCGCGGAATATCCTGCCATGATGTTGATTTATAGGAAACTCTATCAAAACGCATCTTTTGCTTTACGGACAGGTATGGAGTCAATCGTGTATGTCATACAGACTGCCGAATTTTTGTAAGAGCGGTACAAAGATTACGAGACAACCAAAGTACCTACTTTTTCAAGGAGTGACACGTACTGCAGGGTCCGAAGCTAGTCGAGCATTCCCAAAATAAACACGTGAATAAAATCGTATTCTTAATAAAGATTTAAAAAAGCAAGTGAAGTGATTAGTAGGTAGGTAATAAGAATGTAAAGTTCGCCGGCTCGTCGCGGCGGCGTCGCTTTGATATCGCCGACATTGCGACGCTGCCGTGTACAGTTCACCGACTCATGTTACCAATGGTGTTCTAATTCGGTTTTTTTTTATTGTATTTAGTTCTAAATTTGCATTTCTGTATTTTCGTACTAATTTTTTTATTTTTTATTTTAACCGACGTATATTGAACCGTGTTATTTGTTATTTCATTGTTTGTGATATGTATTATAACACGCGTTATAATAATATAATCCTTATATATAATACAAATTATATTAGGTCTTTACCTATGAAATTGCCGTTTTGTATGCAATAAGTGAAAGTACTTATTTCTTCAAACTTTTTTTATTTCTGTTATTCGAAGTAATCACCCATGCAATCGACGCATCTTTGCCAACGCATTGGCAGTTTATTGATGCCCTTCTTGTAAAAATCAGCTGGACGGGAGGCAACAAACTCTTCAAAGGCATTTTGCACTGCCTCTCGGGAATTGAATTTTTTACCCACTAAAAAGTTGTCTAAATTTTGGAAAAAGTAATAGTCGGTAGGTGCAAGGTCTGGTGAGTATGGCGGATGAGGGAGAGCTTCCAACCCCAGCTCTTGCAGCTTGGAGACTGTCTGTTGCGCAGTGTGGGGTCGCGCGTTGTCGTGAAGGAGCAGTGGGGACGACCGATTGACCAAAGCTGGTGGCAGATGTGACCACCAGACCTTGACTATAATTTTATTTTTTAAGAGTTCTCTACATTTCTCCAGGACTGCCAGGTCAGGATTTGATGATAGGCTCCTACTGTCAAATTCTGAGCTAAATAGGAAAGTACACAAAAAATATATATAAAAAAGAAACTAAATCGGTGGAGTTTAAATTATAATCGATATTCAAGTTATCCATTGGCATACAAAAAACTGAGATCTTTTCTGAACTATTCCAGTGTACGACGGAGGGCCCGCGGTAACTGGTGGTACGGACGGGGCGAAGCTCAACTAGCTGTTCAGTTATACAGACGTGCATTGGACGTTCTCGATGAGTCCGAAGGTGGTATCACGGACCCGACACCATCTGGGGATTTTCCGCCCACCTCAGATGCTTTACAGTCGCTGTTAGACGAGAGGCTCAGAGTACATAACAATATGGCTGCTGCACAGTTAAAAGCTGGTGCCTATGAGGCTGCTTTGCAGGTAACTCTTAGCTTAGAATGATTTTTATTATAAAAACTGTATTGCCAATACTTACTTTGAATGAGAGTGTGATTTCCTACGAAATATGATGCATCTTTTTTAATTTTATATTTGATGAAGTACTCTGATTTCGTTTGATTGAGGTGATTCAATTTGTTAATGTTCCAGGCGGTAACACGAGTCCTAAGTTGTCAACCGAAAAATGCGAAGGCGTTGTACCGCAAATCCCGTATCCTATCTGCGATGGGACGCAACTCTGAAGCATTGGAGGCTGCACGGGCAGCCGCGGCTGCAGCTCCCGAAGACTCTGGGGCAAGGAAGGAGTTACAACGTTGTGAACAAAGAGCTACCAGGGAAAGATCTGTTGAGAGGAAACTAGCTAAGCGAATGCTAGGTAATCCGATTGAACCTAAACCGGACTCGTCGCCTGATAAGAAGCCTTCTAGAGCCAAGGTTAGATATTTGAATTCTTCACTAGCTAAAAGCGTAGTCTCCTCCAACTCACTGAGCTGAACTTCTACCTTACCTTTTTAACAGTTCTTTAATGTTTATAGATTTTCAATCACCTGGCAGTTAAAAATATTAATTAATATTAGATTAAAATGAATTAAAGGTGAAAATATCTAACAAAATATTTAAGAGTAGGCAATTTTTGTCCTCATTTGTAAGAAGCCCTAACTTTCGCAGTGGTGCCTACGCGCCTATATTGACCCCGGTCCCTTACTGCTTGTTTTTATTTGGTAATGTATAGATTTCTGATGTTGATCTTCTGATTCTTTCCAGATGTTGATGTGGGGTTCGCTGCTACTGAGCCTCTTGGTCGGCGTGGCCAGCGTGCTGGTGTACCGGTACAAGATACAGGCGCATTGACCTTTACCACACTTACTTCATATACTATAGAAGTTGGTACATTTTTTACATTAATTTGTTTGTTACTTTAAGACTTTGATAGTTTTTGTTTTGATCATTAGATTAAAGGGATATTGTCATTTATAGTCCATTTTATTTCCAGATTGAGAATATTCCAATGGTGTTATTGGATGGGAATGGTGCACTATACTTAAGGCCACGTCATACCTTCGCTGATAAAGAAAATTATAGGCTTCAGGCAGCTGTTGGTCTTTACCATATGTATCAATAACGAGAGAATATATTATGTATAGTTAATAGTTACTGCTGTAAATATTTACTTTATAAACGTTTTTCTGGATTGCCGCCTCGCAAATTCACTATTTTTTATATAAATACGTATTATTTTGGTTCAGCTGGTTGAATCGGTAGGTCGCCCTTCGAACACTACATAATTGTTTAGAACAAAGTTAGTCGAGTCTTCACAAGTTTTATGTTCTATGTACAATATTTGTGCTATGTACTCGTATTTTATACATACGTTACGTAAAACCTCCATACAATCGTAAATTATACATTTGTAGCTACTTTACTGTAAAATCTTATAGTTTAGTTAGATATGTTTGCGTAATATTATTTATGTTGTGTCTTATCGTATCTATTAATATCAAAATTGTATTTATTGAAGTTATATGCCAGTATTGTTTATAGGAAGTGCCAAACTAAATCATGTATGTAGATATTGGTATATATCATATCCTAAACAATGTACAGCAGATATTTAGTGAACGAATGAAGAGTTTATATTTAGTGAAGGATATAAAAAAGTACATATTTTTTTACTCTATATTTTGAAGTTCGGAGGTAGAAAGTTCAGGTAAATATAAATCATTCCAACTTGTTTTGTAGATGAGTTGTCTTTTTGGTGCCTTTCTCTCGCATTTATTTACGTTATGTATTTCTATTTATGTTTCACGGTCTGGTGAGGTTTTTAGCTATATTACAGGTAAATCGAGATTACCTATATATTGTCTTCTAGATATCGCTTACCAGGGGTAAAACTACAAAGCAACGTTGTGATTACTTTTCACTAGGAAAGTTATCTATATCTAGTACTATAATCTTACTTCCATTGGTTACCTTAAAAAGCACAGATGTTAAAATTAGGTTTATTTAGGAAATTGGTTTGGTATGGAGTATTGATTTGCTCTTATAGATTATCAAGTAAAACATATGGTGTTTTCAGTATACAGTTTAACACTAATAAAGAAAATTGATTAAAGTTTGTTTATCATTTTAAGCTCCTGTTTTCTAAATATCATATTTGATTCGTATGAAGAGTTACTAGGAGGTAGAAATATTATTAAATGTCTGGTCCGAAATATCTTATCTGATTGCGTGAACAAACGATTACATTGAAGTCAAATCCACTAAAGCATTAGGCCTCGTAAGCAAATGGCCACGAGGTTCACATCATACCTATGGCCGCACGGTATACTCGCAACCGATATGATTATTAGTACCATAATCTACAAGGCCGAGAGAAATGATGATTACTGCTAGATCCTGCCAATCACCTCTTTGTTTAATATAGATCTTACTGAAGATAACATTTAAAGCGTTACCGTTCAGCGCTATCACCACCTTTTTTCTCTGAACGGAAGAACCACCGTTTCTGAAATTTGCCCTCACTCTTTGTACTTTCTATTTGTAAACGCCGCCTTTATGAAGTTTTCTATCATTTCTTTTGTACAAACAATAAGGTATACACCGGCTCCATTAGCCGAATAAAAATCAAGATTAATGTTGAAGTTTCTTTATTTAGCATATTAGTTTGTTAAAAAAATATGACTTCTATAGAAAAAAGGTATGGTAGTTCAATGAATTATACAACATTTTATATGTAACATTAGTTTAGCTGTCCAAATCTCACATTAAAAAGTACTAAGCTACTAATTAATAATACCACCAATAAAATAATGTCATTTCTGGAATTACTTTCGTATTAGTGGAATGCCATTTCTGGAAGCAATTGCTGCTTTTATAGACGAGGTAGCAAAATGGGAAAGGCGAAATGTCTTGCGAGCAAATAGTTACAGGATCGAATCCCACCCAGTGCACTACCGACGTAACTAATCAAGTTAGTTGGTCAGCGAATGGACAAGTATTTTGTGACCTTCGTTGCTGGTATTCTTTTAAAAATGAAACCAAAACTTATCACGGAAAAATCATAAGTTTGGAGAATACCTAAAGCGTTAAAGAATTGTTCGACACGAAGTCTAAGGACGGTAATCAATGGCAGGTGATACAGTTACTCACTTCCCCTATCATGCGTTTGAAGGTATGAGGTCTTGCAAGATAAGTGTTACTAGTAACCACAGCATCAGAACCTAGCTACTACTAATTCGCCTAACTTATATTAAAATAAAATTATTTATTTTTATGTCAGTATACAATTTTTCACATAGCATGAGCTCAGTGACATTTCATATTTACATAACATTGGATATAAACAAGTTTCAGAATTCTTTCTTCTTATGTGAATAATGGTATCATTTATGTTTTGTTCGGAAACTGCGTCAGTGTATTATAATATTGAGACTCGCGGCCGGCTTTATATATTGTCACAGTTTGATTAATTTAATACACATCTTATACATAACATCTAAAACACTAACAGCAAGAACAAAAATTGTAAGCAATAATTGTACTTAACGAGAGTTCGTTCAAAAATAAAGTAGATTCAGAATGTTGGATTGGCTTACGTGTAAAGCACACGCATAGTTAAGCAATCCCGAACGTAATTGAATGATTTATGACATTTATTTGATATGATGCTGATGATTATACGATCACGAGTAACGCTTTCTTTGAAAGTAGTTTTGCCCAGCTCTTTCCAGTGATGGGTTTATCTGGGACTCACAACACCAGAATCTATTAAAATATGTTATTTATTAACCTTTAAACGTCTATTATCTCATCATTTTCTTGCTATTAGTAATGAACATATGAACTAATATTACTTTTATATTGACAAATGTCCAAACGGTTAGCAAAATTAATAAAGTAACATTTATAATAGTCACTTGTTTGGGTATCGACATTTGTTTCATAAAAAGCAACTACAAACGCTTGACAATGGAATGTGAGATAATACTTTAAGAGATAGATACATTTCTAATTATCACTTATTAATGAGCGGCCATATTTGAGACTAGTAACAACAGTAGACAATAAAACATTTATTGTACTATTTTTAGCACTAAGTCATTCATTTACATTTTACTTTTTAAAATTTGATCACATTTTTTTTGTAATGCTTGTTACGTGAAAATAAAATAACAGCGATTGTAATATAATGTTTGGATATGCAGGATATATCCAACTATTATAACTTAATGAAGTCTATTTACATTTATAAATATTGCAATTATTTCGTCATACAACAGATAAAACTAGGGTTTTAAAACCGCAGTCAATATTTTGGTCACTTGTTTTAAACTTAGGTATTTAAACCGGTAATTTTAATGGTTCGTACACTTAATGGATACTAGTTACTAGGCTAGTTTTCACTAAACTTCGTACGAATGGTTACTACTAAACTACGTCTATTTCTATACACATATTTCTAATATCCAGCTAAGTAAATAACATGTATACCTATTCATATTCATTGGTGACAATAAGTAGGTATATTGTTGAGGCAGGCATTATCGTATGGTAATAAAACAAAACTTTATACAGAAAGGTCAATTTTTACATCGTTATTTGATCACAATGCCACCTTTGTAAGGGTTTCAGTGTCACGTTTTCGTTGCCCGAGTCTTTTATGAGAGTTTTTGGATGCAATTACCAAAACGAAACACTGTATTATTCAGATTCAATTATTTTTACACAATCAGGAATAAGTGAGAAGTGAAATGTAGACAGGGCAAGCCGAACTTATGAGCAACCGCTCATATCTAACAGAAACACTAACGGGTTAATAAACAATAACAGGTCGAAAAAAAGTTTAAAGCAGTTTAAAGTTTTAATCGCATACTACCTTAATCGCAAAATGGCAATCAAGTCTCGAAAGGACCGATCTGCGAATTGATCAATTCTCAAAAGGACTTATTCGCGAAAATGCCAATTCTCAAAAGGACTCGTGAAACGCCTTATTTGCAAAAAGAATGGTTCGCAAAATGCTACTAAACGAGACTTGTCAGTCCACAGTCTCCGATGAAACGACTTGTAAGTACCTAGGCATACGAAATGATAACTTTTAAAACGAGTGTAGGTGGTATTATTTAGTTTAGTAAATGAGCTTCTGTTTGTGTGCAAAATATAAATGTAGTTTGTTGCGTTTAAGTGTGTGCAACTGGCGACAAATTTCGAATAGAACATAGTTCAAGAACATATTTTCAATCAGTCTCATAAAAGACACAAAGATAACGTAGACGGTTTTTCTCATTAAGTTGTGTTACACTGTACTTCTGTATATTCAATTCGCTTCAAAGGCTCAACGTCGAATACCTTAGGAAGTTGATTCTGCTGTACTTTAATCTTAATATTTCGCCATTTCATTTGGTATTTCGTTTTCCGAGAGTTGAATTTTCTCGACTTTATCTTATTACCTTTGTATCATAGTTTCGTCCTATATATGCATATTCTGGCTAGCCAATTAGAAATATGTGCTAAAAGTTCAATTTGGGCAATAGTACCGATGGCTTGGACACTGAATACTGTTGCTACAAAATCGTACAGCAGTTTTGGTGAAAACACTGACCATACGAACAGATGGTGTCGGAAGACTGTTGCTACTATAGAATATATAAATAGAGACCATACTCTGTGCAGAGCGAGGATGTTTGTTGCTCGCCATATTTGTTGTAAGTACCTGAAGAAAAACACATTAACTTTGAATGTTATCTTTCTCAAGAAAGATTATTTGTACCCTATTTTACCTTGGTTTCATAACAGACAGTTTGAATACACGACTTCTATATAATTATGTAATTTAAGACGGGTATTTTATTTCTATGATTATATTGTTTATCAACTTTTTTGCAACACAAAACTTGAAGGATTTCGTTTTTCCTGTTTATTGTAAGGTATGTAAGGTTTGTAAGTTCTGCAGATGTTAGTTTTGCCAATACCGGGACGGAGAAAATAATTACGAAGACCCAGCAATTGTTTGACAGTATGAGCTTTTAGGCGGCATTCGCGTCTAAGTTGAAGTGCACTTCTTTCTACACGGTGCGTAGAGAGGTGTACTCACAGGTGCCAGTGGGGCGCGTGAGCGGCGAGCCCGGCGAAGAGCGCGGCGCTTGCGAGGGCGGGCCCGGCGTAGGCGTGCAGCCCCATGCGAGCGGCCACGCGCGCCGGGCAGTACTCGCGCAGCCCCACGTAGCCCGAGCCCAGCTCCACCGACGCCAGACTGTTCGAGTTGCCCTGCACACACCACACCCATTACTTACTCGACCGACCGCATCAGTATTAACTTTCAGTGCGCATCACCACTTCACCACACTCACCACGGTGCGACACACAAAATGTTTAGATCCGCCTGCGTAAGAAAGGCCGGCCAATAAAAGTTTCAATTTATGATGATTATTTCTTATTTCGTGTTTCTAACTTTGAAAAGGATGAACTTAAATCCCTTATTTTATCGCCCTTAGAGGTGAAATTTTCAAAAATCTCTTCACAGTGGGTGTTTACACCATAAACAGCACCAACTGCCAACATTTTAAGTTTCATGGCAGGTAATTTTACGTGTATAAATTTATACCTAAGGTGGGTGGACCATGGAAGGCCACACTCCTTTGAAGGCCAACTATTAAAAAGTCGTAGTTATTGACATGTAAAGACATATTCCTTCTACTACACACTAGGATCCATCAAACTAAAGGCCACAGACGCGGCTGCGAGTCGCTCGCTCCGCTATTGTGGCAGTACGATCACACGCTTCTTAGACTTCGGTCGTCGACGTTACAATTGTTATTCGCGCGCACAGCAAAACGTTAGTTTTTAGTTAAATAACCTATTGTTTCCTTATATTTTTAACTGTGAATTGTCGTACAAGGATATTTTAATGGAACTCAAGAAAAAAAAAAGAAATTGCCTCGATTTCAGTGAAAATATTGGGAGTGTTCCTAGGAAAGCCGGTGGTTCCTTATAAGGCCAATCAAAAATTTGACGGTTGGCCTTGCTAGGGAACATGGGCTTTACATCTATAAACCATGAACATATGAACACTTATTATGTAGTCATAAATACGTACCGTTAAAGTTAAAACAATGTTTTATATTTATAATATTTTTTTAAGGGTTTTATAACTTTTAAACTCAGATTAAATAGAAATTTTTTTCAAAATTATTTTATTTTCAGTGTATATTTAAATTTATTTTATGTCTATGAAGAGGTTATGTCTGGAAAGAAACTAAACTAATTTACATGAAAAGCAACGAATATAAAAAATATTGGCTTGTTAAAAGCGGTAAAGTAAGTATGAAATAAGTTAAAAATTGTATATCTAAGATCTAATATAAAATATCTAAAACTATAATTAAAGCAAAAAAAAAATATATCAATAAGTTGGTAATTGAACAGATGATTAAAATTTATACGTATTATTTCAGATTTCAAGAATGTCACAGTCAGAACCTAGAAAAAGAGGTAGTAAATGGAACGAAGATAGTTTAAGGCGAACCATGGAAGCAGTACAAAATAATGAACTTAATACAAATGCTGCAGCGTTGAAGTTTAATATTCCAAGACGCACCCTTAGAAACCATTTAGTAAGCGGTAACAGTACTAAAATTATTGGGAAGACAACTATTCTCACAAAACAATTAGAAGAAGATTTATCGCAGCGAATCAAACGTTTTATTATTATTATTTACGTGTTTTAATCTTAACAACCGTTGATTTTAAATATTATTGACTACAAGACTGACTATGTGCCATGATAAGTTTGTAATAATTACAGTACGTCTGTAGTGTCTATTATTTTATTAAAATTAATATAAAAAGTCATGGATTGTTAGTTTGGCCTTCTTAGGAACATTGTGGCCTTACAAAGAACGGAGCCTTAAGAAGGCCATATAAGGTAAAAAAAAAAGTTTTTAATTTGATTATAAAACGCGTTGACAAGTTATTTTATATCAATATAATATTTATTACTACTAGTTTTAAATAATTTCCATTAATATATTCTTAGTTATACGATGGTGTTCAAGTAATGTTCATTGTGTTTTTTATAGATAATAAAAATATATTGTGCATTTAATCTTTCGCTTAAATGAAAGAGCTTATTATGTAGTTTTAGTAAAAGTGGATATATTAATTGTTACAACTCTATTTTTAAGTTGAACGACTGAATTATAATATTGGCCTTGTTTGGAGCCCTGTTCCTTGCAAGGCCATTTGGAAGAGCTTAATAAAACTTAAGTTTAATAAATAGTTATTAAAGCTAGGTAAAAAAAAGTGATTTGTATGGGACACAATAAACCAAAGTATTCCTTAACAATTTGTTTCCTTCATTTATCCAGTAAATATAAGAATAAAAAGTGTTTATTCTTTAGAGTGGCCTTCCATGGTCCACCCACCTTATATAAAAAAATGTTAAGTTGGTTTGTGTACGCTTAAAAAACTCAAGGTTCTGCACCGATCGAACTCAAACTTTGCACGATATACAAACTACTTAAAAAATGGTTTATATCTATTTTTTGTGTCAGTTTTGTTGCCACAACGAAGCATGGCAGGGTACATCTAGTAATATATAAAAATGACTGCAATACAGCATATCATTGAAAGTGAATAAATCAAAATTAAATAAATAAAGAATGAAAAAGAAATATCCCTGACTAAGTATATACTTATCGTAACAAAACTAACTTATAGTCACGTAAGAAACATACTACTCTTGGTCGATTTTTAAACATTGTTGTACATATATTTAAGAATAGTTGTAAAACAGCTGAATGCAGATATAGATAATGCTTACCTGATAGAAGTAGAACAACATGCCGATCCACATGTGCACTAAAGTCCTACTAATAATATCTACCACATCAGTCTTTCTCCCAGACTTTGAATCCAATAACTTGTGATCCATGCACTTTGACGTCAACACACAAGTTAGATATATACTCGGCACCAGTATGACATTGTGTGGTCTCATTAATAAAATAACTATCAACATCATATTGTTCAACATAAGGTGCGAAGCTGACCGCACTAGGTTTAATTTAACCTCGTCAACGTTCCACGGTTCCTCCATCATTGGATCATAAAAATAATCCTCAGTTTTGGCTTTAGGTTTGTTATATACAAACCTTTTAGACTCGGGTGTTTGGGTGTCTAGCGGCTGAAAACCACAATATCTTAACGCTCCTATGTAGGAAAGGATTTCGAATACAAATTGTATTATTAATATAGCCCAAAAGACGTTCACTATGTTAACAGGATCCCATGTTTTGATGTCTTCGAATGGGGATTCTAGGGCTTGGGAAGCGATTCGGTAACAGAATATAGAAGCTGTGGCTGCTATTGTTAATACTGTGTGTATATTTAGTATGTTGTTCATATAGCGCAGATTGTATAGGCACGCTACAAGAGTACTTAAAGTACCTGAAAAAGAAAAAAAATGTATAACTGCAGGCAGAGAACACAGTTTTTTTTTGCGCTAGATTGCTCAGCCTTAAAGTCTCGACACAAAGATGTATTTTATTGCCAAAATTGATGTTTTTGCTCAATATAAACAGTTGAATAAAAATAGATAAAATTTTATGCGACGAAATTTACGTCTAGAAATCATTAATCAACATCCTTTACACCCCTTACCTACAACTAAATGAGCTTGAAGGTAAAAAGCATTTTCTGGTGCGTTCAACCAGTCTGCTGTGTCCGGTAGGAACAACCAACGATCGCCTGTTTGGTTCATTGTTCGCAGATATCTGAAAACATTTTCACAAATTTATTTTGATTTCTTTTGATAATATGCAGAACGAGAGATATAGGTTCTCGTAAAACATTTTGCAAATGTTTCCAAATTTATGCTTGACCGCCGCGATGATGCATTGGTAGCGTATGATACTGCTGTGATGAGGTCTCGGGTTCGATTCCCAGGTCGGACCAAATGTTTGTGTGATCTGCAAATATTTGTTTCGGAGTTTCGGTGTTTTCTATGTATAATATTTATGTACCTATGTATTTACAAAAAAAAGTATATAAGTATTCTATCAGTCAATCTAGCTTTCATAGTACAAGCTCTGATTAGTTTGAAATTAGATGGCGTTAAGTGTCAGATGTCCGAACAAAAATAAAAATATTCTTTAATAGTTTGCGGCAAATCTGTAAAGCTCTTTGAAGGATAATCATAGTAACATGCAGATGTGTCCAAGTTTACTAAGTAGCTAAAGCTGGTTTTACTTAATGAAGAAGATTTTTGTGAAAATTTAAACATTTATTACGCGATTTTACATAAATTAAAATTATTCATAAACTTGTATAACTTTTAGCGCAAAACCGAAACGTATTAAAAACTACAGAAACTAAATATTGCTTGATTAGGGAATTCCTCTTTTTTTCAATTAAAATGAAAACAAAGAACTAACAGAACAGAAAGTTTATTTTTATACTTTAACAAATTTTATCTAATGTTCACTTATAGTACAACTCACCTATGCAAAGCAATGAGCAACAACCATTTGGGCACAATTGTGACACCCACAGTCGTCATTCTCCGATCTAGCTCCGGTTTATCTTGCACCTCAGTCGCCCCAATCAACTTCCTTGTCAAATACATGATCACTATCACCAAAGTTCTCACTAACACAAAGAACATGAGTGTGTTCCAAAAGAAGTACCAAGTCATGTGTTCTTCTTCAATAAAACTCGTTCCAAAGAATGAAATCCCATGGAATATCGTACCACCAATTAACAAATAGTCTATTGTGTTAAGATCGTTTAGACAACTTAAGTCTTTTATCTTTTCAACGCCTGTTTTTATGACGTAATAAGTTACGGTAAAAAACAGGACAATAATTGTGAAAGGAATTGATGTTAAGGAGCTAAAGGAACATATCTGGCTCTTAGTTTCGGTAATAAAACATAGAGTGACCATCATAGCTTCGAATATAAAGAAAATGACGAAAAAGGCGATGATTAAGCCATAGTAACTATAATGATGGCGCGTGAGTTTGCTATTGGTATTCTGTCCGCAGTCCGATTGTAAAGAGTACAGAGTGACGTAGAGGAGTGATGTGGCAATCTGTGGGAAAACATATAAGTATTAGGTTTAATAAAGGATCAAGGGTCATATGTGTTAAATTTATCTTAGTTACAATACTAATGTCAACTGCTTTCCCAAAGCAAGGTTCATAATCGTTGAGAACTTTTCCTGGTACTTCACACGTGTGCATTGATGCGAGCATAAATTACGTTAAAGTTGTCTGAAATCTTGAAATATGTACTTAGTATCGAGTTGTTCCGGTGGTCATTTGTGGCTCTCGTCATCAAATCATCGTTAGACATTACCGTGTTTATCAATGTGCTATTAAGTTAATTTTTAAAATTTAAAGTTGCCTAATGTTATTTATTATTAAATCTTTTCGTTTTATTATTAAATCTAAAATTGAAAATTATCACAATTGACATTATCTCCTCAGACCTCCTCCTTTTTGTGAAGTCGGTTAAATAATAAGGTGATACGAAGGCGATAACTTTATTAGAACGAAGTTACTTATCGCGCGTTATACGCCCTGAGCGGTCGGGAGCGAGACCGAAAAATGTGGAACAAGACTTTTTTCCGGCGCCGACACGCACACATCAAACGTCTATCAAAAAGCGAAAGGAACTTCGTTCCGACTGGAGACCAGCACACCGTTTTTTTAAAGTTCCCATTTACGAGTTATCAGTAGGTTACGAGATTGGAAGTTATCTCACAAGCCCGGCTAGCTCAGTCGGTAGAGCATGAGACTCTTAATCTCAGGGTCGTGGGTTCGAGCCCCACGTTGGGCGAAACACTTTTTATTTTGCTATCTTCTTGAATTTACGAAGTAGCCGCTTTTTTTATATATTTAGATAATTATAATTGGCAAAAAAAAAAAAACATTTATATTAGTTTTTGTTTTTACATTATTCACCCTTGTCGTCGTGGCAACCTACTATCATGAATTAGGTAAGGCGATGCGTATACTACTAAACTAGCACGAAGTTCTTGAGTTAAACTTGTAAACTTTCAATTTTTAAAATATTTGCGAAAACCTTCGTCAGTAACCAAAGCCTCTTTGCAAGACTTCCTCCCTCCAACTCCAAGGAAAATGAATGATGATATAAATTACAACACATACAGAACATTTCCAAGTGAAAACTGGAATTAGAATATTTCTGATTGCTACACAAACTAAATTCTACCCCTAAGGGTGAAAAGTAAGAAATAAAGAATACAATTTATTACAATTCAGCATGTAGTGGCATTGTGGTCGGTGTTACCATTTTAAAAGTTAATTACGTATACTAATAAGGTGACAAGCGTCAAATGAAAGGTTTAGTCAATCAAACCAAAACCATATCACGTTTTCAGTATAGTAAAACATAAATTATATGAAGTACATACCAAATACAAAAGTAAAATAGCAATCCCAATAGCGAACATGTCGAAGTTAACCGTAGTTTCGGAGAGGTATTCAGTCATCTTCTGTAGTGATTCCTCGTAAAATTCTTTAGAGATCTTAGCGGCACTCTGTTGGCCGGTAGCTAAGAAGTGGGCGAATTGTTTCTCGGCGCGTTTAAATTGCTTGTAGAATTCTGCAAATAAAGTAAGCACATAACACATCGAGGTGCTACTAACAATGTAGCAGAACGGACACGTTTCGTCGATTTAAGATTAAACCATAAGAACAAAGAAAAATTTAAATAAAATATTACCTAATACCTTTAAACGAGCAATTCTTGAATATATACCTATACTAGCTGACCCGGCGAACTCTGTTCCGCCTTAAACGCAATAAATAAGCCGATTTTCGAATTCATTAAATTCATTTTTTTCTTAGAAAAAAAAACGAAGTACAACTGTTGTCGACAACGAAATCCATTCTTTTCACTTTTTTTGTGACAGTTCCACCGTTGTCATCTGGTGATCGACGCCGGTACAAAAAAAAAAAACGGAATAAATCACCAATTTTCAGTCATATCGGTAAAGCCATTCTTGAGTTATAAATAGTGTAACTAACACGACTTTCTTTTATATATATAGATATAATCTGAATCTCGGAAACGGCTCCAACAATTTTAATACTAAATATTTTTTTTAGAAAATTAACCATAAAAATACCGAGCAAAGCTCGATCATCTAGGTACTATTGTTTTAATATAGTTGCCTCAATCACATTATTTTGCATGTTTCAAATTTAATGATATCATTATCATCAACAGCCTTTACTAGTCCACTGCTGCACATAGGCCTCTCCTTAGAAAGGAGGTAATTTAATGATATATCAAATTAATTTTAATTAAAACCTTATTAGAATTTAATTAGAACATTGTTCATTCACAATGAAAAAATTGATTTGAAAATATATGAGATATATAGAATTAACAAAGAATTCTAGATTTACTAGATATATTCAGCTTCTTCACCAACATATGACAATCCAATGGTAATGCCATCATTAAGATCAAAATTAGTGTAGTAAAGAATGCTTTTTCTTTTTTATTCAAAACATACCCGTATCTGTGGGAAGGGACTGCTTAGAATTGTGGTCAGCCATTACGTGTAATAAGTAAAGATGCTGGCGTGTGTCCTGGGGCAATAGAGCCGGAAGGATACGTCCCACGCTGTCACCTGGGGGAGGGCCTCCCAACAACCACGATATCGTTGGAGCCACGTCTACCTGAGCTACCGTGGGGCCAGGACCCAACCTGTAAACAATGATATTACGGTGTAACAATAGCATTTGACTGCAGCGTTAGGCGTAGCGGGTTTGTTTTTTATCTCATAGTGCAAATACTTTTGTAATTTCTATTCGTACTTATTAAAGATATACCGTTTTAATCATTCCGCCTCGACAGCCGTTTCATTGCTTGAAACAGGGCGAGGGGCCTTCTTTTGGATCCGAAACTATTAATCCTAATGTCTTTGGCCATGGCCTGTCTATTATTTAGAAATAAAATGGAGCGTAGTTTGTTTACTCTTATTAGCTATATTATTACTCTAGCTTATACTCTAGATATAGATTATACTTTATAATGTCACTAGCTTTTGCCCGCTATGTAATTGATATCAGAGGTAAAGATTGCAGAAAGATTACTTTTAAAGGCTTTTATCTCCAACTAACTGAAACCTGAGAAAGATGAACTCCGTTGTGGTCTTTCCTCGTCTTAAACTAGCATGTACGTAGTAGGTATGTGATACTGACGGGTGGGGACACGAGAAGTCACTGCTCTTGGCCACGAGGAGCGGCACCAGAACTTCGCTTGGGCTGGACCCGCCGTGGCCGCCTGCGTCACGCATGCCGTGATCACCGCATACCAGTAGCACCCCGTTGCGATCCTGGACATCATAAGAACATTTTTTGGCACGTAGTCGCAAACTGTCTCAAGGATTACTATTCTGAGTTATGCCCGAGTTTCTTGTAAAATACCGAATAGTAACGGCACTTCTTGAAGTTTTAATCCGTTCGATTTTAATGTATTACTTAAACGTGCTGTGGCTGATGCAAATAATAAAATTAAAATATTATTTAACTTTTATTAGGTGCCAACTGGGCCCAATGTGTTAGTAACAATTACCTTAAGCCTAATAATAATAACATAACGTTTTTTATTATCGTGACCTCATTAGGATTGTCGTTGCATGACTCAACCAAGGTGCATCATGCTTATTGCTTAGCATGGTTAGGATGCTATTGGAACTAGACCGCGTTCCTGCAAGCACCGAGTTGGTTTTTGTACGTATAATTGTGTGGAGATAAATGACATGTGGAAGTTTCTGAATCAAAAAAGGTTCGTCTTGGTTATGACGCATCGAGTGCTCGAGTAAAACTGAGGTTGAGGTTAGGGAACGTAGTAAAAATATGAGTATCTTCTCACATACATGTATGTTACAAGAACCTAATTGTTTACGATTATCTAATAGGATCTTGATAAGCGATGAAGGCACTCCATTAATTTATTTAAAGAAAACTAAATCATGGGATTAGATATTGTTAATTAGTAAATTAGTAATGTGTTGCCTATATTTCTCTATGGGATCGATATATTGTAACAGGTAAATGGATTTTAACTGACTGATTCTGACTCACTCTCAGTAAATGAAAAAAATAACTTATATTTATAGAATGTTAAGTTTAAAACTTTGTAGGCAGATAAATGATCACAATTGGCAAATGAACTGATTTACTAGTTGCTTTTTCCTTACCCACTTTTGCATAGCCGTAAAGATTTTCTTCACGATTTCATCCATTTCCAGTAACTTGGGCTTAATCTTGGAACTTCTTGCGCCTTCCAAATGTCCAATATGATCTAGTCCCAAATAGTGCAGGACAAGAAAGTCGAATGTTGGCTTTTTCTTCTCATCAGGAGTTAGCACTTTGTCTAGATGTCTAGTAACATTATTATCTACCTGTAAACAAAACAGCACGATATATAGTTTAAAAATGTAAGAATGGCGTAGTGGTTGAGCGTCCGGTACGCCGCTTCCTGCTAGGCTGAGTGTTGTTGGTTTGATCCCCACATGGGACGACGATTTTTGGGTCTGGGTGTTTTTTGTATCATGTGTTCATGTATGTTTCTAAAGTCCCGCGACACAGAATATATTTCTAGTGCGGGAGTTGTCTTTAAAAAAAAGAACAGAAAAATAAATAAAACGCTTGTCTTTAAGAAATTAGCTCACAATAATTTCAAACCATTTCTCGCAATAATCTCTATAATTTAGAACACTTTTTAATTTTATAAAACTGTAGAAAGGCAGTTTCCAGATATTTTTGGTTATATGCAACTTCTATTGTAAGTACTTGTACTGTATTTTTGGGATTAATCTTTCAGGTACTAGGTGATATTAGGTATATTAATAGTAGACATAGACATTATTGCTACTTCTAAATCATATTCATTGATGAAATGATTGGTTTTAGTCAAAGCTTCACATGTGATTGTGATTTCGTCATAGACAAAGATAAATGGCATTAAAATCAATCAAAAATATTTTTCTCCAAGATTGCGACCTTTTTTTAGATTCAGACCTTTCGCGAGTCTTGCGCTAGCGTAATAATAATAGTTAAGTCGCAATGGTTTTGTACATAAGTCACAGGTGTGATGATATGATTTATCACATGTGATTGTGACTGTATTATATCCCTAATTACTTAATTTAAATCGTTTATTGAACTTCATAATGTATACACAGGTCTTATAAATGTAATGTAAGAGTAATATATTATTCCAGAACAAGAACCTCAGTATAATCGGTGACAAAAAACGATGTGGTTCCGTCATACTCGGTCCACAGCCCCGGGAACAAACGCAGCCATGTATCATCTCCGTACATGATAGACTTGCGCCCTCTAGAGTTAGCAACACGCAACACGCTGTCCCCGCGTACAGCGGGCGCGCCAAAGTTGAGTGCTACGTCAGCGAATGTCGATACACTGCCTGTCATCATAGCCTGTAACAAGAAAGGAACAAATAAGCTTCACTATATGTACTGTTCTAGTAAGTACGCAAATTAACGAAACAATGGTTGATGGCTCAATTATTTCACAGACAGTATTATGTATGTATATTAATATATCCTTTTCCATAACTGTTAACTAAGTTTAATAAAAACAGCAAGTTCAAGAACCTAACGTACACTAAAGTATCAACAGCATAGCAACGCAAAGAATTAATATTTTCAGATGCAGGTATACACAGGTTCGTCTTTTGATATAAGTAGGTAAGTCAATATCTCAAAAAGGCCTGTTCGTACAAGAGCTATATTATGGGGAAAGAGGAAAGGTGTAATAATCGGTGGTGTTTTTATACGTTCCGAGATTTACACATGACATGTTTAATTGATATTACCCATATCCTACTTTGTAACTTGAAAACGATTTTATGATATTACCTGCTGATAACATTGACGCCGGGTTGTGGTACATTAAATCGAAGAACCCGATAGAGGGTCAGAAAGTAAAACAGTTTAACAAATGTTTTGAAAATATATGGCTGAACGACACATCGTCCAAATCACAATGGTCTTTATATGGCGTTAATCAAGTCATCGTACTAATAATACGGTCAAAAGCTTGTATGCATAGTTGAACAAGATAACGTCCAATTTCAGTAGCGCGATTGCTGTCAACATTACTAAAATTGGATTAAAATCACAAGGAACCTTCTCAGCGCCGAAGAAATATACGAGCAGAGAACAATTTGTAATAAACTGCCAGTTACATTAATTCCATAATGAAATAAGTATTGGTCATTTTCTTGATACATTACGTTAAACAAATTTAAATTATAAAATTATGTTCTGTTTTATAATATAATTAATTTTATGCTTGACTGTATTTCCCGTCATCAAAGATAATTTGACCATCTGGAAGAATTATTCCTGTTGGACAAATTAGTTTGACTACCCAGTTTGACCACGTGGAGGAAGGGGTTAAAAACTGCTAAAATATGTGTGACAGTTAGTTTTGTTTTTATTTTTTTTAACAGTCGTTATAAAAATAAATGGTTTATATTTATGTTTAACAAGCAGCTAGTAGGATTTTTATTTATTTTACGTCCATTTCTATTGAGAAATATTTGACACATTTACAGATCTCTAGCACTACATACGATGCACATGTATGCACTACACAGTTGAAGAGACAACCAACTATTAAAAAAAAATTGGCAAAATTTTAAAGGAAACAGAAAGAAAGTGTAATACCAAGTCAGATATGACTGATCGTTGCTCTAAAGGCGATGCGCATGAGTGGCTCATGTGCGGTGATTTTGAACTACAGGAATACATGTAATACTACTGATTTAACTTATCGTGTTACATAACAAACCAATTTACAGGTTGATTTATTATATATTAGGATTTTTAGTTATAATATTTTTTTTTACATTTAAACTTTTTCACTTATCTATTTTAGTTATATGAAATTGTTTGATCAGCTTTACTGCTGGCTTGAATATTTTTAAATGACATGTCTAACTAAATCTATAATTTAAGAGTTGTTTGGCTAAAAATGGGTTAAGTTTTGTTAGTAAGTTTTTATCCAATAGTTGTACTTAATGCCATTTTGATTGGAAATGTTATCAATAGTCCACAAACATCTACATACGTTATTTTTATATGGTCTCAAATGATCACCTCAATGAGCCATTTGAGCTATTTTATGGATTTTGGATATGCTTATGAACAAGTGTTAGTGTGTATAAATTAGCAACCACCATTTTGCATGCAACATTAGTGTTTTATATGCCTTATATATCATAAGAGCTATATATATAACATAAGAGCTACATGAATGTATGATGAAAAATTGTACAAATGTTTTTCACTACAGAATGTTCTAAATAGTCTTTTGAATTTTGTTCTGTTATTCAAACTTTCTAAAAACAGGTAAATATTTTTCTCAACACCTAGTAAAAGATTAGTTATAATACCTTGTATATCAAGAGTTGTGGTCTTAGCACAGTTTTTCAGTTCCTCTGTAATGTATTGAAAATGTTCATACATTCATTATGCTGTTATGAGTATATAATATAGGCTACAGCAAACACAAGACCAAAGAAAAAACTTAGTAAAATCTATCTTAGTTAACTTAGTAAATGCAGTAGTGTAAAAATATACAGTTTTTTCTTTGTTCTGTCACCAAACATAAAGCACAAAGCATATAATTTATAGTGTAATATATGAATTGTGACACTTGCAAAGATATCTCTCCAGAAGTTTATAGTGCGCCTCCACTGTGCCTTTTCCTTTTTTCGCTCTGGTGACTGTACAAAAAATACTTTGACATTTTATATCACTAAACATTACTGACACTGAAAGAAACATATTACATAAGAATTCTTCTTTGGTATTGTGATTGGTTTTATAGCACTTGTCCTGATGTTTTTTAAATGTTGTAGATGCTCACTACATTGAGACTTTTAGGAAATATTTGCAGATAACTGTTACTATGTATGATATTTTCATTGTATTTACAAAAAAAAAGTAATATTCTATCAGTCAATCTAGTTTTCATAGTACAAGCTCTGAAATACAATTTATTTAGTTTTCAAAATGGATATTCAATGTTCTATTAACAAACTATGGCATTTTTATTAGTTACTTTAGTGTGTTACCACTATTACACAAGTGATGCATTTGGAGGGATTTGAACCCATTGAACCCAATTTCTTAGTCTGTCTAGCCACTACCACTTTTTATTTATACAAGTATTTCACAAAATCAAGTCAAGATATAACAAATTTATTTAATGTTTAGTGTTGTATACTTCATTCAATCATTACTTAATGACATAAGACCTATTTCTTAGCGTTTCATGTAGTCACCGTGCGAGTGCCGGGTCTATGGAGTGATAGATGGCAGCAACACATGCGACTTCGACAACACCTGGGAATTGCGACCCAGGAGTAGGTGTAGGGAGCACTCCTCGCAAAGTGTCAGTGCTCACTTCCACTGTTTGCTGTGTTATCATACCATATTTGATATTAGTTTGAGAGAAGAGCTTACTGCAACTGGCAATCCAAGGTCTTTAAGAAGGTTATAGAGGGATTTAGCTGATATACCCCTCACACCCACTTTCATGGCATACAACGCAATGAAATATCCATTTTAGTTATTTCATTGGTTAAGTCCGAGTTTTTTTTTTTTTTTTTTAACTTTTTTATATAAATGAATATTGTCTGAAATTACTTCTTATATACCTTAATCCTTGGCATGGTGACTGTTGGTGGTTCAGCTCTAGAAATGTATATGCATGCTGATTTATTCTTCAGCAACTGGCCAGCATACGGCATGTACTCTTCAGTAAGAAAGTCATACCGTAGACCATCAATCACCATTAAAACTACTGTGTTTTCACCCGAATTGTATACTTGATGACCATCAATACTGCAAAAAAATTGTCTGCTAATAATTTTTTGTAGCAATACATTACCCATTTTACTGTTTTAATAACCTTGCTTTTAGTTAAAGGTAGATAACACTTTATAATGGCACTAAATATGTCTAAATTAAAGAACTGCCACTTTCTACAGTATATTCATTGAACAATTTGATGTGAGTTATATTAAATTATCTTAGTAATATCATTTGTTTAGTAAGGTCTGAATACACAAAAACCTAAATACTTTTACACCAACTGTGTAAAAAATTCTAGTTTTTATCATTGAGCCATCATTACATAGGCCTCTAATTAGAAAACAGGTTTTGGTCTAATTGTTTATTTTTTTAATAAAAATATCAATTTTACATAAAATATTTAACAACTATTTAGGTATTAGTTTATTACTAAAATGGTCCACAAGCTTACCTGATACCATCAATGAAGTTCGGAAGATCATCCAAATGTGATAGTTTTCCGGAATGATACTTAAGTGGAAAAAATCCATAAAGGAACAGTACTAAGGCCATAAGACCCATTACAAGAAGGCCAAAACCGGTCCATCTCTGGTGTATCAAACGCCGCATGACGACTATAACTTATAAACACTCAAAAATCAACACTCTTTAATTTCCAGTCACTTGCAAACTACATACAAATACTTTCTATTACTGAAGTGTTATAATGCCTGTTCATTCCTTACAAGCTACTCGTTACGGCAAACAGCATTGTGCCATGAGGGTAAGGCATATTTTACTCATTATGCACGTATCTTTACAATTGTTATCGTAGCCGGCACGATAAGCTCGCTCCAGGAAGAGTATGTTGTAAAGTGATTACTATCATAATACCATGCAATTTATATTCGAATTATGGATTTTAAGAAGTGTATTGGCAAATTATTTATAACGGATTATCTTAAAAAAATTTTTGTTGTAAGAGTTGAGAAGCAAAATTCATCTATTTATTCTATTTAAGTATTTACCTACATTACAATACAGATAGAATTGACATACGGGGAAATAGGGTGACGGCTATGACAATTGGTGTCATTGGTAATAATTCCACAACATAGCAGTTTTTAGAACTGTGGTTCACGATGCTTTAGAAAAAATTAGAAACTGTAATCTTATTGGAGTCTAACATAAAAATCTAGTGAGAACATTTGTTAATAAATTTGAAAAAAAGCGTTGGGTACCTGTTGTCAATTAAAATTTATTTTTCAAATCATCAATAATCAAAGCACCCCACGCTTTTATTAAAATTTATTTTCTGTTTTTTAGTTTGGTTTTCTATAAAAAGCGGGTTTTTTGTGTGTGTGACCGAGATCAATCCGGAATTTACACGGATGGTTCCAAGACTATGTCAGGAACTGGGGCCGGCGTTTTCTAGAAGGACCTAAATATGAACATATCACTAGCGTTAGGCCAACACAATTCCATATTCCATGTGTGGCAATAACTTACGCCGCCACAACGACTATGTCAAGGGGTATTAAGGACTATAACATCAGAATACTAACCGCCAGCATGGCCGTCCATGACCGTCCGTGACCTCTGGTGTTGCCTTCGAATGCCATCAAAAATTGGAGCAGCTTGTCACATTAAACGAGGTACTCCTCCAATGAATTAAAGGGCGCAGTAACTTACAGGGGAACGACGTCGCAGATGAGTTGGCAAGTAGGGGCTCGGGAACCTCGGCTACCGGCCCAACCTTACTCGTGCCACTACCGTTCAACCAACTACGATTCTGGACCAGGCAACGGATTCGTGAAGCACATAACCGGAGGTGGATAAATTCACCTAACTGCAGACAGTCCAAACTGGTGCTGATTGAAGTCACACCACGACTGACCTGCAGATTGACCAGTCTTAGCAAACTAGAAATCCGAATAGTTGTAGGAACTATAACAAGACACCTAGCCCTGAACCGACAAATATTCACGATTAATGAAATGAAATCACTTTGCAGAGGATATCTGAAAGCAGAAGAAACGGCCGCCCACGTAATCCTGGAATGCGAGGAAGTGGCCACACAATGGGCAAAATCGCTTCTAGAAGCTTGTGAACGCTCCAGGAGGGAGCAACGTTTCGGGAAGGAGCATGCTTGGTTCACCTGGCCAACCTGTACTCGACGTTTAAAGGACCACTCTGGAGTCTGAATGCATAAACCGGACCGCCCACAACCAATATCAATACCAATACGCCTGTTGGTGCGATAAGTTGTGAAAGTGCGTTGCGGAACATCGTAAAAAAAGACTAAATCAGTTTAAACGTTTAAACTTAGGTGAATTTAACAGAGCAAGCAAAGTAAAGGCCTAGTATGAGTTTATTTCACAGCATTAGGAAAACCTCACGAGATCTCCTAATTTTATTAAATAATTATTATAATGTAAATGTAATTATTTATGACGGATTAAAAGTAATAAAAAGTCTCAATCTTGAACAGAGGGCCTTTTATTTTTTATTCTCCTGCTCCTCGGGGACTCAGGAGCTAGGAGTATTGCGTGATTCCACTAAAAACCTCCCCGACGGCCGGCCTTAGGTGTCCTACTCTGGGGAGGACCCGGACCATGTTATTTCAGGTCCTCCCCGAATTGACACTATGCCTAATCAGGCCCTATCCCCCATCCCCCTTCTTCACACTTCCCCCTTCAATCGCGGCATGGCGGCCCGATCGCATCTTAATGCAATCAGGTCGGCCATTCCATTCCCAGAGGTCCCCACTCTCTGGCGGCCCGCGGCCCCGTCGACGGCTGATATCGCCGCCGACTTGAACAGAGGGCCTAGTGTAAGTTTATTACAAATCGACTCGATCGTCTACTACTACGCTGAATGTTGTGGGTTCGATCAGCATATGGGACGACACTTAGCGTGATTCATAAATTGTTGTTCTTAATCTAGGTGTTCTTTGCGTCCATTTAATGTATGTTTGTAAAGTCCCCGCGACACAGGATATATTCCTAATGCAGGAGTTGTCTTATAAAACAAATCTTTAGTGAAACAATAACTAACTGAAATTTTACTTAGCACTGCAGAATTCCTAATTTAGTTTAGTTTTATGATCACAGTCACACTTGCTTGTACTTATTTCGAATTGTGACTAATCAAAAAGCCATTTAAAAATATCTAGACTAAGTAAGATTTTGGAAAATTTCTTTACTTCATGCCAGAACTGTAAATGTAGCAAGTAATATACTCATGTATGTACACATTTTGGCTTCATTCTTTTACCATAACTTCTAAATGCCTTTTTTTTTTTTCGTGCGAATATCCCCTCGGATACCACCTATCACTGGACTCGAACCGACTAAAACCGCACGCCGTCTCGGGTACTAATAACCGGGGAACCAGGTATACCCTAGAAAGGAAGTCCCTGGTGACCTTCTAAATGCCTGGACAGATTTAAAGCTGTTAAATGATTTAACTCCTAAGTTCGTTCAATGTGTCCGATTTTATAATAAAATCCCAAATAATATTCAGGAGTTGAGTATTAACAAATTTAAATCCGCAATAAAACGTGGCTTGTGCCAGAGGGCCTACTACTCGATTGTGGATTACATGGAGGACAAGAATGCTTGGGATTAATTAGCGCAGGCTATTTCTTTCTTAAGTAAAAATGTGGTGTGGCTAGTATGTTTTTTATTATTTTTTCTATTTTTTATGTTTCACTTCATTTTCTCTTGTATTCGTTTGTTCTTCTTAATCTTGTTTTCTCTTCGTTGTTTTTTCACCTTTAAGTCCTTAATAACGGACATACTAGCACACATCAAAACAATGTTGTGATATATTTAATAGTGCCATTGTATCTACTTGTGAATTGCAAAAGAGTGGCCATGAGTTTGTTTGCCCTTTCTTCTCATAAGGCTCAACCCCTTGGAAACGGGCGGTTGTAGATCGGCACAGGCATATCATAGATTTTGTATGGGTTTGATTTTGTTAAATTTATTTGGTTACTATTTGACAAAACAGAGATTGTTGCTTTTGTGTGTGTTGATCTATGACTTTAGAGTCTACATGGAAGACGATTTCAAACAATTTTGAAAATTTTATGAAATAAAGAAAGTTTGAGTTTGAGTTTGAGTTAACGAAAAAAAAATATGCCGCGAAAAACGCATTTTTCGTAACTCTCAAGGGAATAAAAATTCATAGGGTACTTCCCGTTGACCTATAATTCTGAAATTTGGCAAGAACAATGTCTTGCACTACAAGCACAGGAAAAATCTGAAAACTGTACATTTGTAAATAATCATTAAAAATATAGTTTTATTTAAAGTACGTAATCAATCATCGAGGTACAATTTTTCTTATAAAACTCAAGAATATAAGTAATTATAGGTTGAAAACTGAATTTAAGCAAAGCTCGGATAAAAAACTGCGAGATTCGATTCCGAACCGGGATTCGGTGCGAATTATTTATAATATGTACCTACAAATGTGTACGGAACCCTCATTGGGCGAGGCCGACTCGCACTTGTCCGGTTTTTTTTTACGTAACTTTTACTAATATAACATTTAAATACAATGAAAATAACAGAAAATAATCCGCTTCATGATATTTGACACCAGGAATTGGTACTTAGTTACTCTACCTGTTACGTTTGCGAGATTACGATGCATTTTTGCGTACATACTCGCTGACCAAATTTATAAGCCAATTTTCTAGACGATTCAACATCATAAAGCGTCGACAGTCATGTCTCTCAGTTCTATTTATAAGATAACAATCACTCGTTGTAGGAGTACCGGGATAAAAATGACACTTGCCAGAATTAGACTCTTTATTTTGATCGCTCATGACGTAGCAATGCTGAATATTTATGCGTGACATGACAGTGATGATCAAAGTTCATGTACATTAAACAACATTTTAGTCTAAAAACACTGCCTAATAAGAAATAATATCTTTTAGTGGGTGCACCTTTTTACAAAAGAATGTACTTACTGCTACTTCTGCATGAAGGCTTTTGCTAATGTTCTTTCTACGACTTAAATATTGTTAGAAATTTTGAAAAACCAGGGACACAGTAAAAAAAAACTTTACAAGGGATGTAATTGTTACATTTCTGCTCATAAAAAATCTGAAGGTCAGTAAGTACTGGCAGACCTCAATAATCTTTCTTTTTAAACCTACTCTTTGATTCTCTGTCGCAAATCGAGTGCCCAAACAAGGTGGGTACACGTACTTATGACTATGAATATTGCTTTAAGCTGTCATGTCATGCGTTCTTAGGTTCAATTTAATTTTGTTTTTAGTAATAATTTTGCAACAAATTATGATCATTAATTCTTTTATCAATGTACTGACAGACCATAAACAATATATTAATTGAAATTACAACAGGATCTTAAAAAATGAATTTAATAGTCATGTCGTCCCACGACAATATCTTGTTGAATGACCCCCATGGTTTTTCATCGAGTCACAAATATCATTGGGAGTCATCACAGTATTTGTAAAAATGATAGTGGGCAATCGTTTGATTCATAAACCAGTAATGCTCCATTATGTAAGAAAAGAAACCTTCTTACTAAAATTAACTTACTGCAATTATTTTTAATATTTGTCGTCATTAGAACAGATTGTAAATAATGTTTGGATGGTCGTTACGAATAACAACAAAAGAAAGTTAGTTATCTATTTATCTAAGCAGCCTGTTGCACCACTGCTGGGCGTAGGCCTCTTCTCTATTACGCCACTCCTGGCGGTTTTGTGCCAGTCGAATCCATTGCTTTCCTAAGACCCTCACAATGTCGTCTGACCATCAGGCAGGTGGTCTGCCTCCGTCAGTTGCTGAAAATTAATTTAGTGATACATGCATAAGCAGTATATGTGCTCTCAAAACTTTGAGTTATTTAAACGATAAAACATTATCTACTAAAAGAGTAACAGAAGTTATTAAAGAATTTTCAGCTGGAATTAAAAAAAGGCAATTATGTGAAAAGTTTTGAAAAACCTGTAATAAATTCTCTAAACATCTTATAAATGTTTTTCATATTTAAAGAAAAAAGATGGGTGGCTACATTGAAGTTACGCAGAAATCTATCCTACCATGCCAGTGATGCCAACTCCGGTTTTGTCTCCCCAATTTTAGGGGGGAAAAAATCTCGGAGCGGGACCGGAAGAGATTAAGAACTCTCCCGGTCCGTCAGGCCCGGGTACGGGCCAGGTACCGCAAAAGAGACCAATATCACGTGGTATTCCCAGGCGGTTACCCATCCAAGTACTAACCACGCCCGATGTTGCTTAACTTCGGTGATCGGACGAGAACCGGTGTATTCAACATGGTATTGACGTTGGCTAGTCAAGAGGCACTGAGGATCGAACCGTCACCACTTTCGAACAATGATCTATTACACAGTATTATTCGCTAATCGCACGAGTCTGTCACTACGCTTTCTATACCTGCTTAATATGATTGTTATTGTATTTTTAACTATTATGGATATTTATGATTTGATGTAAAATATTACATGTTTTTCAGAGGTCCTGAAATTTTTAAGCATTATTGAAATATTCTTTTATAAATTCCACTTAATTAAATACAGCACATGGGTGTCGATTTTATTGCTTAAAGTAAGAATTGGTTGTTGTTGAAATAAAGTATTATTACTCTTAAATTTGTTATTAAAGTACATTTGAAATAAAATTATTTCGGCTCGACCAGACAATCTGAAATATAACAATAGGAGGAGAAAATTAATACAAAATAAAAAATGCACAGCAGAAGATAAAAAAAAAGTACAACTACAGTACTACAGTAAAAAAGAATGTCTCCCGACGGCATAACCGCATCGGCACGCGGCTCCGAAACGAAAAGATTTTGCTGATCTGTTTATGCAAATCAGATGTTTTTTATCCAGGTACAAAAAATATCAGTATCGAAGGGTGTCTAGGCGAGTATACTCTAGGCACAGATAAAGTTATTAGGGTATATCACTGTTTGTATGTCTAACGATTTGTTGTTATTTGTCAATTTGTCACTTTACAAGGTAGTTCCTCCAATGACCTTTCATGCTCATAGAGTAATGAATGATTTAGAACGTTCGCTGCAAGTTCAAGGTGTATTCACATGAATCAGCTCGTGTGGGCAGCTGAAAATTCTATTTAAATCACATTTCAGAGCATGGCATCTGTAGTCTTGTGAGCAAAGCGGCGCGCGCTTGCAACGAACAAATAACACGTTAAGGTAATTGTTTTTTTATTTTTTATTATTATTGTTTTAATCTTTTATCTGTCGCATTATTAAATCGGGGGCCGTAAAGAGGTCTATTGTTCTTAATACTTAGTTCTAAACGTTCATTGCAAGGTGGGCCTGTATTAATCAGAATATCTTTTTTATCTCTCAAAATAAGTATCTCTAGAAATTTTTGTCGTAAACTTCTTTTAAAATTATGTTTTTCTCCTCTAATGTTTTTTTCAAGTTTTAGTGTTGAATATTATTTCAAAGAAATAGTAAGGATTACGTAGAAAGACACTTTGTTCTAACGCACTTAGTCCCAATTCAAAATGCTTAATATTGGTGATTGAGTTTTATTAATAAAGAAATAGAAGTAGTTATTTTTCCCTTGCCTCAAAGGATTGATTTCTACTATATTTATTATTATAAACGACAATCTTTTTCTAACATTTTTTTTCGAACAAACAGGAAAAGAAAAGTTGGAAATAATAATGACTAAGTAACTACAATAACATCTCGCTAAAGGTAATAAAATGAGTGTGTGTTGCTTTTCAAACACATAAATATCGAATTACCAATGGCAAGTGTCTGTTGTGGTTGTAGGTGTTTCAATAACCCTGTGTGTGTAACATCTTCGATGTTTTTTATGATACTATGAATTTATTCATATGTTCATAATTACGAGTATAATGTAATGTGACAATATAATATTATTACTTGCTAATGCGTAAGAAACCTTGAAATGTATCTAAAACACGTATGGACACATTTCAAGGTTATATTATCATTTGTATTGACTAAGTATTCGAATAATAAGCCACTAGAAAATGAACTACTGTCAACCTTCTCAGAAAATATCGCTAACCTGAATAAGCATATGTGTCTATAAATACAAGTCATTCAAAAGTCAGGTGCGCAGCACGTAACGATATCCTTATTTTTAAGTCAACATTCAATTTAATTTTACCAGATTACAAAACGATACGTTAATTAACTTTCTTAAAGTAGATATTTGGTTCAGTGTTGCATCAGATCTAATTCTGTACTCAGGTGATTCACATGGAATAGTTCCAGAAAATAGTTCCCAATCTCTTGTAATAATATGCGTTTGAATGTAAACACAGATTGTAAATATCAATTAGTATGTATCAAGAGTTTGTAAAATATGTTTTCTGAGCGTGTCTAAGAGCATGCAGTTTTCGACTTTGTGAGCGGTTATCGGTGCTTAAAACGCTAGCTGTGTTAACACCTAACACCCCAATAGTTGTTACTAAGAATTATGAATACTTTCAGGTCAGACGGCTCAAATTCGAGTAGATATCTTCAGTTTCCTCTCTATTATTGTAAATACTTATTTATTAGGAAAATGATAGCCAAGTTACCCAGTTGATAAAGCGGTCTAACTATTCGTTTTAACCTTTGTACCTACATAAATTTATCCAAGCTACAACGACATATGTAGATAATTTAATCTGAGAACATTTTATTGAAAAATTTTATGTATATACCCGCTAATTATTTTTGAAATGTATATTTTACAATTTTCTTTAGCCTTTAATATTAAAGCTCTATTTCCGTTATTTGGTAATCTATAATTATATTCGTATTCGTTCTTCTGACAATATGTGTACAAAATTTCAGGAAAAATCGATTAAATAGTTAAGACTTGGGCGCTAGTAAACGAATACACCATTGTTTATTTATTTGTTTATGGCACTTATTTATTTATTTGACATAATTAACACTTTATGCCTTTCTAAAACCTTGCAAATTAAAATTTGATTAAATGTTCAACCCACACCGTTATCCACAGCTTACATAATTATAAATTCATGACAAATTTCAGGAAGTAATTAGTAAAATAATTAGTAAATTATTATTTGTTTTAACGGTGGAGTAAATTTCGCTTCTAAACAGAGACGTCTTTCGGTGATATATATCTACTACAGTTTTATCACACGAATGAACGTAACGCAATGGTACGATAAATGTAACACGAACGTAACTTCTGAAAATAACTGCAATGAAAATATCCCGCTGTTTATCTCGACTTCTTGAAAGCAACACATTGTTGTTGATTTATTTCGGGCTAGAGATACCAACTTATACGATCTCTTCAACAGTTTGAGTATCGATAACTCTATGGTTTTTTTTTGCGATTTATCGATTTGACTCTGTTTATTACTTGACTTGTGTTTAATAACGATTTTAAGTTGTAATAAAACATTTAATTAATGAGGACTTTACATAGGGTCTTCATTGTTTGTTTAGTTACCTAACTGGCATAAGTCAAAATGATTGATTCTATTTTTGTACTTCTTAACAATAAGAAGGTTGATTCTGTATGCTAGATTTACACACTATAGTACGTTATCTGCATGTCACGGTATGTGTATGGTTAAAAAATACGAATGTTATGTTTGCGCCATTTTTGCGAGTGTGTAGGGTATGAAGCGCAATAAACAAGAATTTTAAAGATCTTAACCTAAATTTTTGTTTGAAAAAATGACTCATTTGTTAAGTGATATATTCCTACTGCGGCAGTTGTTTTTTTTAAAGATAGTCATTCGCCTTATAGTGAATATTAGTGAATTCACTTTCAGAAGGTTAATCCTTATAGTGAAAGTAGCAACATAATTAAGTTTATTATCTGTGGTATTAAAGCTTAAAGTCTGTTTCTTTTTCTTCTTCTTAGTATCAATCCACAAACGTTTGTGACCGTAATCGTTACAAATATGAGCTTTACAATTACATTACAATTACGATAATTGATGTAGAAAGCAGAAGTGACTTAATATAGGTATAATTTATTATGTTGACGTCGGTATTAAGTTTAACCTGATTATACTTTTTTGTTACAGATGTCGATAGTACCAATGATGTTCCGCGACTGGTGGGATGAGTGGGATAGGCCTTCCCGTCTGCTCGACCAGCACTTTGGCATGGGGCTCAAGAGGGATGAGCTCCTATCATCTCTCTCAACATTTCCGTCCACTTCACTTCTCAGGAACTCCTACTTTAGGCCTTGGAGGACCAATCTTCAGAGACAAGAATCGGCCTCTACTATTAATTTGACCAAGGAGAAGTTTGAGGTAGATATTTTAAATTGTTTTATTCTTATTCCTAAAGTAAATAGTCCTTTTACAAGGTAAATATAATAGGTCTGAAATGTCGTGGTCTCTAGGTCTACAAACCTGGCAGGATCACCACAAAATGGCGTGGTAAATGAAACGCATCTGGTCTATCATCTAATTATCAACGAACTTTTAATATTTCTAACTTAGATTATTGTATGTTTACACACACATAGAGCATAATGCTTACTTACATACATACTACACTAAAGGGTCAGATTAGTAACAAAATCGTTAGTTTTACAAAATAGACACATTTACAGAAGCAATAATGCCCACGCAAGGTGTTATGTACAATTGTACCCGTTGACGTTACGAGCTAAATAGGATTTGTTACGGACGTTAGAGCTAATAATTTGTTAATTTGACAAAATTTAGTCATGTTAAATATTTTTACTAGGACCTTGAAGTAACATTCACAGGTGGTTAAAACTTAAGGGTCTATGAATGTGGATTTCACAGAAGGAAAGAGCAACCAGATGTTGCAAAAATATTGTGTTTAAGATTTTTTTTTTTTATTGTAGGTCATATTGGATGTTCAACAATTTGCTCCAGAGGAAATCACCGTCAAAGCATCCAACAACAGCGTACTAGTTGAAGGCAAGCACGAGGAAAAGCAGGACGAACACGGCTTCATCTCCAGACAGTTCACGCGCCGGTACATCCTTCCGACCGGCTACGACATTGCTGATTTAGTCAGCACTCTATCTTCTGACGGTGTGTTGACAGTAACAGCGCCAAGTCGTCCACCACCTAACTCCGGAGAACGCATAGTTCCTATTACGAAAACTGGCCCTGCAAAGCAACCTGAACCTCCAAAATCAGAACAGTCCCAACCTCGCGAACAAAACGTACCTATCGTCACTTCCCCCTAAATTGTTAATCTTTTAATGATTTCTACCCTCCGCCTCTTTCCTCCCTCATTAACGAGACATCGATTAGTCGATGTTAAACGATCGAATCATGAATAAGTAGCATTTATTTTAAGCGCCGTTGTTGGCCAAGAACGAGCTTAACATTCGAAATGAACGAATTAGGTTTTATATTATTTGTATAAAAGAGAAATGCAATATCATTGTTTATTATAAAATTTTAAACACCATATTTCTTTTTATTGACTCCATGACTCTCTCGTCACAAACCCGTCAAAGTTATGCGGACAAATGAACTACAAAAATTGGTGTAAAAACCTAATAAAGATTAATTTGTGTAGCTTGTGTAACTTCGAGATTCAGAAATTTACTAATTTAAATACTGGTGCTAGTTTTATCAAAATTATATGAGTTAAAACTGAAAATGCATTCTGTTTTAAATAATAATAATAAATAATAATAATTAATAGTGCTTGACTAGTTTTGTCGTATGTTAATGAAATTACCTAGAGCATAACTGTATTTTCATTACACCATCTTTGTTGACACGATGTAAATAATGCAACAATGGTCTCCCATAATGATTTTACGTTTTCAAAATCCGTTCGTGACCATAAAGTATGTTTTGTCGAAATTGTCTGCCTACCAATAAGACTAGGTGTGGCACTAGGACCATTTACTCTTATGTTTATAAATGACAGAACGCAATACTAAGAAACACTTAAGCGCGTCGGTGCTCGGAGTAAACCGCGAGCATACATTAATGTTTAGCAAACGCACTAGCCCACAAAGAGTAAGGAGACCTACCTACCACACTGAACTACAAATAATGAACAATAATTCCTTCACTAGTTAATGTAAAACAGAATGTGCGGTGTGACTCAAATGTAAAAATGTCAAGTGTGCTAACAAATATTCTATAATTCAGCGTGGCAACAGTCCTGGAGTAATAACGACTGAGTTTGACTAATTTAATTTCGCCGTTGAGTTTGAACTTCAATAACATTGTCAATTTATCATTGTGTCGCTGGGGTCGGGGTTGAGCGTGAAATTCCGATGCTTACGAGCTAAATTATTAGTTGATTATGGTAACTAGGTACTTAATGTTGTTCATTTCTGATGTATTACAGAGCCCACCTTTTTTATTGACACACACATTACAGTAAGTAATGAGATAAGTGGTTACAAATTAAAAACTTATAAACTGATGAAAATATAATCTATTAATAAATAAAAAGCACGTGGTCGACCTTGTAACGAGGATGTTTATTTGTGTAACATGGCTATTTATAAGGAAAAACACAGCAGTAAGAGTAAAACCTCAAAAAAATTGAGAATTTGATCCAAGCCATTAAGGATGTTTCTGAGATACAGAAAGTTACTTTTTTTTTAAACACAACTCCAGACAATTTCCCGCGGAGGACTTTACAAACATTCATAAAATGGACACATAGAACATCCAGATTTAGAAAGACAATTTGTGGATCGCACAATTGTCATCCCGTGTGGGGATCGAACTCACCACACTTAGTGTAGTAGAAAGCGGCGTGGCGACTGCAGCCCCGGATCTAGGGACGGCAGTTTCAGGAGGCGCCAAAATCATAGTATAGTACTGTTTATAAAAAAGTAATATATCGTTACCTTCCAACCACGAAAAATGCCAACCATCATAATCTATTTGTGAGTTTTTAAGTTATTTACCTCAAACGCTGCAGAGAGAAGGCGTTAATATTAAGTTTCTACCCCGGTTTGAAAAAATCGTAGACCCGGGGCTGGGCGACAGCTTAAACCACTACGCCATTCGTGCTGTCATTAAATATTTACAAGAATTGTAGGGGTCACATGATGGTAAGTGACTACCGCCGCCGTTTGAGTTTTAGTTTGAAAGTTTTCATCCCAGAAATCATCCTTCAATAGGGTGAAAGGGGTGGCAATTTGTATGAGGAATCAATAACCGCTGAACCGATTCAGATGAAATTTAGACTAGACATAGACTACTTTTTACCGCGATAACCGACATACACGCGGGCAGAGCCGCGGGCAAAAGCTAGAGATTTATATGTCAAATCGGAAATACTGCATACTACTGCCATCTGTGTATTCTTCCAGTCAACTACGAACACTTGGAGTTTAGGAAATCATTGCATACCTAGCGCCATCTTTTATGTTTGATTTGAATGAGTGATATAGTGATCTTTGTCAAGAGTTAGGTTAGTTGGAAAAAACTGAAAACTCAGATTTCAGTTTCATTCTGGTACTCGTATATTCAAATGAATTTTTTTCTCACTCAATGAATTACTCATTCTCCTTACAGTTATTTTCAGCACCCCTGGTAAAAGTGGCAAAAAACTTTAACTTGAAACTGTATCTTGTCTCTGTTGAATAGGAATAGTAATGAATGAAGTAGTATCTCGGAATTGAACCGACTAAAATTTTACTGGTCTGTTCGTTTAGTGGTTAGTGACCACGACTGCTCAGCCGGAGGTCGTAGGTTCGATTCCCACCCAGGACAAATAATTGATGACAACACAAATGAACGTGCGTGCAATACAATGAGCACGATCATTTGTGTTGTGTCTGGGTGTAATTTATCAATAGCATGTATGTATTTTGAAGTATTTAAGACAATTTAAATATGTTTATCAGCAGTCCTGTTACTATAGTACAGGCTCTGCCTAGTTTTGGATCAGACGGATGTATGTAAGACGCGTGAAGTTAAAAAAAAACACAGGGTGTTTTATAACATGTGTCCATTGCAGGTATATACCCTAGGAAGGCAGTCCCCGTCGTATCAAAGATAGAAATCTTACAGCTTCTTGGTAGTATTTGTATGTTTAAAACTATGTATTATTTTTTAAATTGCCCGCACGGATGGCGTAGTGCCTTAAGCGGTCGCCAGGCCGTTACTTACTGCGCTGAGGGTTTGATCTCCACGTGGGACGACACTTTGTGTGATTTACAAATTGTTACAATTACGTTTCATGTATGTTTGTAATGTCCCCCGCTACAGAGGATATATTCCAAATGCGGTAGTTGTCTTTAAAAATAAATGTTATTTTTAGAGTTTTATGATCTATATCGATAAATAAGGTCTATTAGGTGTCCAGTAATGTTAGTTGACTTATTATAAGTGGGAGCCATAGATATTGTAGCCCAAATTTAAATGATATATACTCAGTTAACTAAGTTTGAATAAGATGCTTTCTAGTTAATGGGCTCTATGAAAAATCTTCTGTATAAGTAAACTTAAATGAGCAATATGTAAAATAAAACAACAGAGCCGGGTATTGTGATAATGTAGTCTGGGTAATAGATCTCATAGTCATGGATCACTCGGGCTAAACGGCGGGGGAGTCCACTTCGCCTGGTGAGGAACGGGAGGGGTGGGTTCATCAATCAGCCCAGAGCGATTACAACAGCAATGGTTCAAGTTATAAGAAAATAATCTTCTTTGTATTTGATTCTTATATATAATAAATATGTATGACATTGCAGTGTGCAGTGTGCAATTATAGACGAGCCTAGTGGCTGGTGATCCAATTGCTAAGAAAGAAGAGCACGCTTTCAGCGACAAAACTCTTACATACATATCGCGATAAGAAATAGAAAATTAAATGCCAAAGGTTAAATATTCATTACATATACTCGTAACATTAATTGTACGAATTGTTTTTTTAATCACCATCACTTAACTAATTAAACACTGCAGGTTTTTTGTGGCATTCAAAATATGGGCCGCGTTTTGGGGAACTTCAGTCCAATATTTTCAACAAACAACAATATTTAAACAAAGGTTTTCGACCAGCGTGTATTACTAGTTAGTGTTACCCTAGTGATTGCATATTCCATATAGGATCTGAAACGTGATTTCTCACGATGTTGGGCTTAATGAATGAGCTCAGAGTCAGTCTGCACGCTATGGACAGCGCTATATTTGGGGTTTCTCTGCGGTATTGTATCAGAAATGATCAAATCAGTAGAAGGTACAATATTACTGATCTAGCCCAACAAATCAGCAACTCAAAATTGCAGGTGGGTGGGCTTCGTAGCTCGTAGAACGTAGGTACAGCTGATTGCCCGGTGAGGTTCTGGAGTGAAGACCATGGACAGAAAAATGGAGCATAGGATGTCAACTAACAAGAAGGACACATGACTTAAAACGGGTCGTTTCCAAACCGTCTTCTTGCAGGGTATTCACAGAGACTTATGTCCTGGAGAAGACGTTTTATAGCTGAGTTGATGATGATTATTGTAATGCAATACTGGACATTTGTTCTTCAGTAATATTTCGGTTGTAAAACTTACTTGTATTGATACGTATCGCATTTCAATCACTTGGCTTCCAATAGAGTTAAAGCAGCAAAAGAAGCGGAATAGAATGCAGTCTTTACGTTACCTGCAAAGGAGAACGGCAGATCCTGTACCCCTAGTAATATATGATGTGTGGTTATGAGATTTGTACCGTTTATAAAGTTTAACAACTATTTTCATGTAATCATCATATTTTTAGAATTTTGCTAAAAGTAAATAAATTCGTCTCAAAGAATTGTTACAACTGCAATAACTAAACGTTCAAGTGTTGTTAACAAAACGTATTCCTATATGTTTTAAACTTGGTATGCATAAAATATAAATTACTTACATAAAAACAATATGTTTACATCGATATTTATGAATGAACTCACTAGTGTATTTAACAGTTAAAAATAATTATGTCCTTATTAATAATGTTGACTGTAGAGATAAGACGAAGTAATAAAGGAATGATTATTTTTAAACAATTCATTTAAGGAAAGGTACTACTAAGTTTTTTTTAAATCGATTAAATTAATCGCGAACATTATGTAAAAAAGTAATTAAACTGATTTGGCAGGATAACTTTTTATTGACGGATCAAGATCAAGCATAAACGAATGATTTTGAAAGATATTTAAATTAACTTGTTGACTTGTCCATTGTCCTTTTTCGACCCTACCAAATATGAAAATACTTGTCGTCTAATT